TATTTACTTGTAGTATATTAAAATCAGCTAAAAAAACGTTGAATTAATGTTGAGAAAAATATAAAAATGTACTATGGAATATATTAAAATTAACTATTTGGTATTTAGAGTGGGCGCAAATTAAAATTACATAAGGTTCAACTTTTAATTGAACATGACACTTTAATGACAAAGGTGTACATTTTGTTTTTAATATTATTCATATTTAAATGAGAATTTGAATAGGTTTTTTAGTTTAATTTACTTTGTGACGTTTAATTTAATTACGAAATATTATAACATTGAATTGAAAATGAGAATATTAATTATTACTATGCAATTTTTTGTTGAGTGTATAACGATGAAACTTGGCATACGAGCATACTGAAATATGGGAGTTTTCCTGTAAAAAAAATGTTGGGGCACAAAAGGAAACCGCGCCAACAGCCCACAGCCCAAACGGTAAAAGCTATGAAGCTGAAATTTGGGGTCAAGTATTCTATCATAGTGTAGGCGCGCATTAAGAAGGGAAAATTCGAGCTCCAAAGGGGGGAAAACGGGCGCCAAAGTTTGTTTGAAAAATCGTCAGTTTTCCACCAATCAACTTTAAATTTGATTTTTATAATCTATAAAAGAATACAAAAATGCATACTCGGATTTTCGAAATTTTTGGTGGAGCTTGAAGCTTATTGGGGTTTTAATATTTATTCACCTTTTCAAATGAAAAGTTCGTGTTAAATTTAAATTAAATTTTGTCCGATCGATTTCAAATTTGGGGACTGTAATCTACGTAACTAAATCTACAACTTTGCGTTCAAGGATTTTCAAAATATGCATTCTACAAAAGCAGGCAGAACAAACAATACAAAATATCAAACAGTTGGGGACAACTAAGTATACTTGTACATACACACACACACACATACAAGCAGCTGTTCGTGTAGTTGCGTGTAAACGATTGAAATAGCCAAAGCAAAATGTGAGACACTAATGTGTGAATGTACACACATACATACATATGTACATACATATATACATATGTACACACAAAATTATTTAACATTTTTAAAAGTAATTTTTTCTTTGTTTAGTACATTTGGCATTCGAGTTTTCATTAGTAACTTTATGCAGCAACAACAAATTACAAAGAACGCAAATATCAAATAGTTGGGGACATCATATACACACACTCACACGCAGAACAAGCAACAGTTCGTGTCTATGTATGAAAAAGTAAAGAGAAACATGAATGCATATGTACATACGTATGTATGTATGCCTGTGTACGTATATATTAGCATTTATGTACATTCGTATGTACATACATATGTATACATTGGACAATCGAGCACTTTTGTTTGATTGTAATAAATAATGTTCTATGGTTTTAAATCAAATTGATTGTATCGACGGATTCAACTATCGATAGTTTTGATTCTCTAACACATAGAGCATCCGACACTTGCCCATCTCTAGCATCTCAGCTGATCGCATATTTACAGCGCCTTGCCATTCTAGTGTTAGCTAACAACGCTACAAATGTATTCTGAACAAATCTAAGAGTCATTTACCGTTAAGCCTATTTTGTGAGTTTATTCATGCGATTTACAAAAGCAGAAACACACCTTTTACATTCACAACAATCATATTTGGAATTGAAGACACAAATTAGCGTTGAATTAAAAAATGTAATACATACTTATATATGTATGTATGTATGTATGTATGTATATAGGTGGATACGGCTGCATGAAAAATTTCAATGTATGTACATATCAGTGTTGCCGAACGCTCCAATTTTGGCGGGACGTCCCGATTTATAAATCAAAATTAAATGTCCCGCGTCGGACTTTTCGGGGATAACTCGACCGTGTGTACAACGTGCTGAGGAAGCACACAGTTAAGTCAGGACTGGCAGTCCGCCCGGTGCGTAACGAAGATATGTACATATGTATGTAAGTATAACCATGCATAGTACTTATTGTACTATATTTGCTATTTGGAAAATGAACTCTTTAAAAAACTTTAAAAAGCGTCGAAAGAAGACTATCATATAGTAAATAAACCTTTAATTATAAGCACATTTTACTTAGCCCAACAAAGACGGGCAAGACCAGCTAGTAATGAATAAATTAAGTTTGGTTAAGGTAGCTTTTGAAATGTGGACGGTATTGATGAAATTCTGTGGCGGGGGAAGGGGGGAAAACTCCAAAAAATAAAATAAACTCGTCCTCTCTCGGACGTAGGAGAATCTGGATACCAACTTTGGTTATTTCAGCTGTTATAGTTTGTGAGATCCTCGCGTTGATCCAGACACACGGACGGACAGACGGACTTGTCTAGATCGATTTCTCTCGCCATGCTGATTCAGAATATATATACTTTATGGGGTCGGAAATGAAAAAATAGTTTGCAGCACTTGCAGCACCTCTGTAAATCTGTCATATCTCCGGCTCCACATGGTTTCATAAAGAGACGGTCTAGTACGACCAACTTGCTGGAATTTACTTCTTTGGTAAATGAAGCATTTACTCTAAAAATGCAGACTGATGTCGTTTACACTGACTTCAGTAAAGCATTTGACTCTGTGAACCATGATCTTTTGCTCTTTAAGCTAAGTCGTATAGGATTTCCCTCCGCTTTTTTGTGTTGGATTTCGTCTTATCTAAAAGACAGATCCCAACGGATCTTGCTTAGGTCGCACATTTCTAAGCCCGTGTTTGCATCATCAGGTGTGCCTCAAGGTAGCCATCTTGGCCCCTTACTTTTTACATTATTTATTAATGACCTCCCCTCTACCTTGTCACACTCTCATATTCTTATGTATGCTGATGATGTGAAACTTATTCTGACTTACAAAGACCATACTCATTTTCATCGCCTGCAGGATGATCTGAACTGCATGCAATCTTGGTGCTTAGCTAACCACTTGCACCTCAATTGCGCTAAGTGTAAGTTCATGACATTTCACCGAACTTTGCCTTATTTAGGGACGTATACGATTGACAATGTGCCATTGCAACGTATATCGACTGTTGAAGACCTTGGGGTTCCTTTTGATTTCAAATTGAACTTCAACCTTCACATATCTAGTATTGTCAATAAGGCCAAGGGATTACTTGGATTCATTAAAAGTCGGTCCAAGGAATTTAATGACCCTTATACCACTAAGCTTCTTTACACTGCTCTAGTACGCCCTGTGCTTGAATACTGCTCATGCGTTTGGTCTCCGCAGTATAGAAAGCATCAGGAAAGTATTGAGTCTGTTCAGAAGCAATTCCTTCTTTTTTCTCTACGTGGTTTAAGCTGGGATCCCAACCTCCGCTTGCCATCGTACTCTAGCAGGCTGATGCTTATAAACCTTCCTTCCTTAGTACATCGTAGGACGGTTCTTGGAGTTGTTTTTCTCCATAAGTTGGTTATTGGTGAGGTTGACTCCTCTGCTCTCTTAGGTCGCCTTAATTTTTCAGTTCCTTGTAGACCAACAAGGAATTATTTGCCATTCGTTTTGCCTAGGTGCACAACCGATTACGCTTTGCACAATCGTTTTCGGGTCATGTGCAGACATTATAACGATCTTTAACATTTACTTTCGACAGGGCTCTCTCTCTCTGTTCTATCAAATCTATTCTTTATAATTATCTTCGGGGAAATCTCTGACCACTTACTGCTGTGAGTTGGGGCATAGCTTACCGGACTGGCATTTAAAATTCCCCCCACCGGGTTGGAGATTTCCCTCTTTTTCTTTTCGTCTCTCTTTCTCCCTTTCTCTTTTTCTGTTTCTCTGACTCTCTTTCCTTCTTTCTTTTTCTCTTTCTCGTTCTACTTCGTACTTTTTCTAATTAGTTGTTAAATAGAATTAATTTTTCACCTTTATCTACTTTTTTCATAGTTTTTTAGGTTTAATGTCTCTGACCGCATATGGCTGTGAATCGGGGCATAGCTGGCCAATTGGCAAATAAAATTCCCCCAACGTGTCGGAGGCATTAATAGACGTCATTGTACAGCTTTGTGTTGTGTTTCTTATCTTCTATTTTGTTTAGTTTAATTTGTTATATTAAGTTTTATAATATAATCGACAGTATTGTTGTTGATATTTTGAATAAAATAAAAAAAAAAATTAAAAAAAAAAAATTAAAAAAAAAAAAATTATGCATGTCACCTTGCACAAACCTAATATACCCTTTTTACCCTACGGGTACAGGGTATGAAAATTTCAAGAACTATGGGAGCTATGGAAAATCATTAAGATCTCGGTAGTGGGGGGAAGGAGGCAAATTTTGAAAAACACTTGTACTGCGTACATCTAAATACATGTTTTACCAAAAAACAATACAAACCACCAGCCATCATACAAATTTCACATATCACACATAGTACCTGCATATGCCTAGGTGGCACAAACGAGCGTTCGGCTTTTGCAGGCCGGCTCGTAAGACTCTCAGTTCCTGCCAGACGGCTCACACGACCCACGGCAGTGATCCACGCCTACCCAAGGCAGCATTTTTCGTGGGTCCGAATGGGTCGTGCTCGTATTTTACGAACCCTGTTATATAATAAAAGAGAGTGGAATGTATTTTTAAATTTAAATTAAAACACAAAAACACAATATACTTTTCTCCGTTTCTAAATATATTTTAAGCAAATCGTTCCGTTGACTGGTATTTCGAGTTATTATTTAATTTAGTCGCCCCATTTTGGGGGTTTCTAATATCACACCTGTCGCTTTTTACCTTTTGAGAGGATATAATAAATTTGATATTTCGGTTTAGGCAGTAAATTAAAATGACTGACTTCTCCCTCTTTCTCTCTCGTTACCTCTTTAGTGAAAGCGAACATGCAGTGGGCGTTTGGAACTTGGAGTGTGTTGTGTTACACGTCAGTGAGATGGCGGTACAGGCACTAGAGCAGATCGGGGCAGAACTGATGTTGACAGAGTGGCACGAGATGGCGGTGGCGACTGATGTTAATCGCACGCAGGAAACCACGACGAGGGTCGACAGCCCGACACCTACTAGCTTCATGAATTTGTATAACGATGTAGCCAATGCGCTGGACTATTCTGTGGTGGACCCGGACGCAGATGCTGATGCAGATGCAGAAAATGACAGATACGCGCTGATCGATGATATAAGCGAGTGGCTGCTGGGCACTGTAGACAACAGCAATGACACCACCAGCAACATGTCGTGGAAGGCCGCAGAGAGCCAAAAACAAATAAACAACACTAATGTTGTTGTAGGCTTCGGTACGAATGACACGCTACTGTCCAGCATGGGTTGGCTGACGCTGGACTCTGGTGAAGGGCTCAATAGCACACTGCCAAACGGAAATACCAGTGGGATAAACAGCAGTAATAATAGGACCAGCGAGAATGACGCCAGTGGTGATTTTTATGCGCTGCGAAATTTTGTAAAGAAGCAAATGAATGGAGATTCTGATGACGAAGGCATTGCGTTCATCAATAGCGCCGAGGAGAACGCCCTGGACAACGTCGACAGCAACTATGAAATAGTCGGTCTTAATGGCGGCGGCAGCAACTCTGAGATGCTGCAGCACACCGTAGTGGCAGCGACGGCGAATCCGGCAAGCACGAATCGAACCATTACGTTCGCTTACGATGAAAACCCCGCTTGGCTGGCCAGCACCGAAACGGACACAGAAGATAGCACAGGGACGGACGCTGGTGGAGGAAGCTCATTTATGCTACTCCTGGAAAACTTTAACGACTATTTTCCAAACTATAACGGTACCTTAGTTTCGGGCACAACCGCCGGCGGTATTTTGGACCAGGCGACAGCAACGAACATGAGTTTGTACATGGAGAACTACCGCAATAATTGCACAAATGCAACTGCGAACCTAACAACTGAATCCTGTCACGAATTTCGAGTTGGTAAGTTAATGCTTTTTTTGTAAGTAAGAAATTAAGCAGTTTGCAAGCATTGCTCAACTGTGATCAGAGCCATAACCGGGCACTGGCTAGGAGGCACCCATGCCGCCTGACTAGGAGGAGGATGAAACAGTGACCCACCTCTACTACGACTGACCGGCCTAGTTAACGGCAAGACATCGAATTTTAGGAGCTAGACTTCAGTGTATTGATTTCTATAGAAGCTGTAGGAACGAGGAGGAGGAAACAGTGAGCCACCTCTACTACGACTGACCGGTCTTACTAATGACAAGATATCGAATTTTTAAGAGCTAGACTTCTTTAAAACGATTTCTGTAGAAGTTGTAGGGACGAGGAGAAGGAAACAGTGACCCACCTCTACTACGACTGACCGGTCTTACTAATGACAAGATATAGATTTTTAGGAGCGAGACTTCATTATAACGATTTCTGTAGAAGCTGTAGGAACGAGGAGGAGGAGGAAACAGTGAGCCACCTCTTCTGCGATTGCCCGGCCTATTCAACGAATGTGCTCTTGAGCATGGTTTTGGCTCCATCTAAGTTCATCTATTTAAATGCTGGGATTTTATTTTGATCCTTGAATATGGTTTGTTTTACATATTATTATAAATAAAAAAAATTATATCTTACTATATTTTTCTCATGCTCTCTTTCTCTTTTCAGTGGACCACAATTATTGGGCACTTATATTGATACTGTTCCCAATTTTAACACTGTTCGGAAACATACTCGTCATACTGTCTGTGTGTCGAGAGCGCTCGCTGCAAACAGTAACGAATTATTTTATTGTATCATTAGCCATAGCCGATCTGTTGGTTGCCGTAGTTGTAATGCCATTTGCTGTTTATTTTTTGGTAAGTACCTATCTATGTCAATCCCAATTTCCTTGACATTGAAACTAAAAAACAACATCGAGTACCACTTGAAGCTGACTAAACTACTATATATAACTGTTGTCCTTAATCCTTATGAAACAGACAAAATTACAGCTTGAGTTTTATTTTTGATAAAAAAAAACTCAAAGAATACACATTATTTTAAAAGTTTGTTTTTTTGTTTGCTCAAAAATAATGATTATTGGTTACATTTTAAAGTAGAACTCAAAATGAATCATTAAATTTTGAGGGAATGAATAAAATTAAACAAGTAAAAAAGCTAAAGTCGGGTGTCCCGACTTTGAAATACTCTGTACATATGTTTACAATAATTATAGAAAATAAAAAAAAAAAATAAAAAAAGAAAAAAAAATTGGATCGATTTTACCTCTCTCGGTATTCGAACTCACGTAAAGGGTGTATAATTGCACATTTACATAGCAATTGCGTCTGTGTGAGTGTATGTATGCCTATGTGCATCTATTCGTGTCTGTGTAAACATACGTGTAGTCAACCAAAGCACCAGCATCAACAGTCGCGGGCAGCGCTTGAGCAGCGCTGCAGCAGCAAATATATTTATGGCTATAACTTCTTGGTAAATCGGTCTATCATAGTGAAACTTGGCATACGGACACATAATTACTAACTGGGGGTATTTGCAAAATTTTAGTTCGAAATTCCAAGAATTACGGGAGTTAGAGAAAATCGCATTTGCGTGGGAGAAGGGGGAGGGAGGGGAATTCCAAAATATACATTTTCTGCGTATTCACACAAGGCATCTTGGACTAAAATTTGGTGTGCCTAGGTCTTATAGTCTCCGAGATATAGGCGATTATACGAATGGAAAATCGGGAAAACCCCCATAGGGGGGAAGTGGGGGGGGAAAATCAAAAAAATAAAACAAACTCGTATAGAATACACACATAACGCATCTTTGTGGAAAATTTGGTGTCTCTATCTCTTATAGTCTCTGAGATCCAGGTGTTCATACGGACGAACAGACGGACAGACAGACAGACAGGGCTAGATCGACTCGTCTTGTCACGCTGATCAATAATATATATACTTTGTGGGGTCTGCCACGCCTCCTTCTGCCTGTTACATTTTTCAGCTCCCGCAAACCTAATATACTCTTGTACATTTCATGTACAGAGTATAAAAATAATCATTAGTTTGTAATTTTCTTAATAACTCTTATAAGGATTGCAGTCCCTGATAATTACACCTATGCTCCTGCAGTTTGTGGGCGTAGTACTGGAGTGAAATTGTATTGCAAATATCTTTTCTTAGCAGTATTGAGTATTGAAATTCTATATCAGGAGGAGGGGCGGTAAAATCAAAAACAAAACCAAGTGGAGAACCTAAAATCGGGTGCCCCGACTATCTTGTATATTGTTTAAATAATTAAATTTTTTTTAAAATATTTTTTTAAACATTTTTTTATATTTTATTCCCATACAGGGTATTTAAGAGTTGAGCCCGCTCGACTTGTTTTTTTGTCCCCCAATTTTTTTGTAAATTAGCGTTGACAATTTCTTACCGCCCTTTAACAAATCAATTACAAACAATTACTGTTACATGTGTGGACACATAGTTCAATTTTACGTAAAGGACTGCTGATACTATTTATAGCTGGGCCTAATCTACGTACATGTGGTCTTCCCATTTGGGCAGGTCGTAAACATACATACAAGTACATACACGTATATGGTTGATTAACTGAATGACCGAGAACACCGTTGAGCATGAATTTTCACAGCTTCATTTTCATTTATTTATTAAGCATTTCACTAGTTAACTATTTTATTTACTATTGTATGAGTATTAGCTGAATGTATTAAAATGGCCTTTAATTTTCTTGTTACATACTTAGCATAAGAAAATTGCGGTCTTCAACAATATGTGCGTTTCATTGGCGCCATTAGGAATGTGAGAATAACCAACTTGTAATTATACTTAGTATACGTGTACCTTACTCAAATGTTAAAAGGCTATACTAGATTAATGCGCCTGTAAGTATGAAAGGCCCAGAAGGGCAATAACAAACCCCCAACTTCAAGAACAATGATTGCAGTAAAGTTCATGGGCAACAATTCGCCAACATCAACATTTGCTGGCGAAGTGTTATTCCCTTACTTCCTGCACATACCAAGTGGAAGTCGCGTGCCATTTCGTAGAAGCAATCATTTGGCTAACAACGTGTCGCTAACGTCAAGTTAGGATTAGGCAGAGTTAACTTTTAGTCGTAAAATTGCCTCTCCACGGGCCTATGAACATACAAGTGCTGTTTTTTTTTTCATTCTTACTTGCTCGAATTAGCAACAAATTAAGTTATATTGCTGATTAGTATGAGCAGACAAAACAAAGATTCTGAGCTTGTATTAAGAGAAAGGAGAAGCTCGTGTTATTTACAAGTATTATGATTATATAAATTTGATATCAGAAATTGTGTCAAAAGTTCGTTTTCGCTGATGCCGCCTCTGTCTACTCGTACTTGTACAGACAAATTGGAAAACAATTACTTGAGTACTTAATTTGCATTGTTCGTATATATAGTACTTATGCGTAAGTATGCGAATGAGGAATTTCATGTCCCCGTCACAAATTTGCTATCAGAAAATTCATGAGCTTGTAACGGCTAAGCGACAGACTGACTGACGCTCATGTTAGGCACGCTTTGAGGTTCTACTCTGCCGCCTCGACAAGTGGAAGATGTCCTTTGTTCCTCTCCCATCCATACGTGTGAGTTGCCTCAAATAATATTGTTAAAATACGCGTGCATTGAACAAGCAGTTAAGCAGCCGGGAGAGTACTCAGACAACTTAAGACATAAGAAAACATAAGACATTAACAATGTACTACAAAAACACAGTAACTACAGCGGAGCAAATAATTAGGGAGACACTCGCCATTCGCCCCCACCCTAGCAGGGCCATTGCGCGTGCCAATAAGGAATCACTAGAGATAGGAGAGACTGCAGGAAACCCTTTTAACTGTAAATGAACTTCACATTTTCATGCGTGCACATCTAAGCTCTACGAACTGCATACCCGCATACAAGGGCGTAGGCAGCTTTTGCCAAGGGGGGGGCCAAAAAATTAAAATTTTGATTAAATAATGCACGATGCATTTAAAAAATAACTTATGCATATGATCAATGAAAAAACTTCAACAAATCCAACTCAGATCCACTTTAAGGCGAAATAGTGCGTCATAATAATGACTTTATATGGCAACATTTTTTCTAGGGGGGCCCGTTGCCACCCCCCCCCCCCCCCCCACACACACACACACACACACACACCCTGCCTACGCGTTTGCCCACATATGCATATATCTATGTTTGTATGTACATACATATATACCCGCTAGTTTGCTGCAGAAGCAATAATACCAAGAGCACATCAATAGTAACAATTCCTGGCATTTTAAAGTGTGTGCACAAAAACCATGCATAAATCAATTTCTGAAAAAACGTATAATTTGTACTCCAGTACTACGTTTGAAAGGGAAATAAAACTGCAGAAAAATGTTTATGTTCATATAGTACATATGTATATTTATGCGTGGGTAAACCGTTGTCGGGGAAGCATAGACAAATTTAAGGCCTGAATCCACAATAAGCGAAAACTGAGATTTATACAACTATACACTTGTATGTATGTACATACTGGTGCATAAGATGTGTTGCAAAACTATAGAACCACTTAAAAAATTGCGTTTGCTTTAAAACGAATGACGGTACTTGGTAAGAATTTAGTGTACATTTTTAAGAAATAGGGGAAAAACGGATTTTGCTGTTGCATTACTATAGAACCACTTGCGTACATTTTCTATATTAAAACGAATAATAATTTTTAATGTATTTAAATGGCCTGAATTTATTAAATAAGGCTTCCTTTTTTGTTATTGTCTCAAAAATGCGATTCTTCATACTTGTAACAAGAGTTTTGAGCAAATTTGGTTCCAATTGCTCCCATTCTCTTATTATTGCCCTTTTCAATTCATCAACATGTACATGCATGCATGGTTCCTCACAGTTACTTAATTGTGTTCTCGGTCTAACACCATTAAAAATTTGTTACCTTTTCTCTTTTAACGCGCTGAAAACCTCATTCTTACACAATTAAAGTTCATGCAATAAATACTAGCTAAATCTGAATGTTAAAATAAAAGTTGGCACTTTTAAAACATAATATTACGAGTATTTTAGGCGATTAAGATTTCGGATGCAACTGAAACTATCTCCATCGATGTAATCAGTACTGGAAAGAATTTCCTATTGCCTTCAATTGTTTTTATTATCTCTAAAAGAGCTTAAGAAGGGAACATTGAATGGGTATTGGTAGAAATTATGACCAGCAGTTGTTTACATTCGCAAAACACTTTCTTTTTCAAGAAGTAGGACCACCACAAACAAGAAAATGTTTACCAGAAAAATGGCTTTTAATTTGATTACAAGTATATGCCGATGGGGCCAAATGGTTCTTTAAGAGGAAGCTATTTCCGAGGAAACTTCTCTTTGGAACGAGAGGTCCTTAATTGTTTAGCGGACTCAGTTCCAAGACGTCTTCAAAAAGTTATTGAAGCCAAAGAAGGGTATACATTTTAATAATCTAAAATCAATCTCTTATGTTTTATTATTAAGCTATATTATTCTAAAGTTTAGTATAAGGCATTGTTTTTTATACCCTGTATCCAAAGGGTACAAGGGTATATTAGTTTTGTGTGAGTGTACATGGAACACACAGAAGGAGGCGTGGCAGACCCCACAAAGTATATATATTCTTGATCAGCATGACAAGCCGAGTCGATATAGCCATGTCCGTCTGTCTGTCTGTGTGAACGCAAGGCTCTCAGAAAGTATAAGATAAGTATAGAATAACCAAACTTGGTATACAGATTCTACTGCGTAATAACTTAAAAGTAATCTCTTACTTGTAACGCTAGGATAAGTTAATAATAAATAGAAATAGGACTTACCAGGTCCAATGCACACATATGTACAAGTACACCAACTCAAGTAGACACGATTCTGATGTAAATGTAACTGTATGTATGCATGAATGGATATTTTATATTTAATTTAATTAATTAATTAAATTTTGTATAAATTTTTTTTTGGTGGGGTGGTACAGGGTTTTTAAGAGTTGAGCCTGCTCGACTTTAGCATTCCTTTCTTGTTTTTTTTTTTTTTTTTTTTTTTTTTTTTTTTTTTGTTAATATGCATTAATAAAATACGTATGCCAACCCATGAAAATTAGCTTGGCTAATAACTTTAAACGATTATATAAATCTACTTGTATATATAAATCTATATATATATATATATATATATATATATATATATATATATATATATATATATATATATATATATATATATATATATATATATATATATATATATATATATATATATATATATAAATCTATATAGTCATATTATCTATGTAGTGAACGTGTCACCATACTTATTCGAGCCACTATAATGTTTTCCTTGCTTGCCGGCATCACAAATTAGCAAAGGGTATTAACATAATGACATTGATTTTGTTTGGGCCAATGCGATGTTGTTGTGGTGGTAGATTGCGCCACGGAAATTATTCACGCATATTTGCGCACCATATAGACTTACTATATATACAGTAGATTTAAAACTATCACGATTTAATTGGATGCTGTTATTTTAAGTAGAGCATTGCGCTGTATATAAGCTATTCAATATTTACCATTGGCCAGGAGGGTGATGAGGCGTGTGCGGTTTAATGCGCATTACCGTGCTAGTCAATAGCGATGGGATTAATGTAGTTTACATTTTATTTAATGGTTGATTTAATGGCAGACAAATTGATTACGGGCATGTGATGAATTAAGTGAGACCTTAGAAGTAGAGCGAGGAATCGTAGTCAGAATGGATCGGGTTTAGCCACATTGATTGCCTTCGAAAATGTTTGTAGCACAATAGGAAACTTTCATGTGACAAATGAAATAAAAGCAATATAAGTTATAATGAATAAACAAAAAAAAGGTAATTAAATAAACAGGTACTTAGACTAAAGTATTAGCCTACAAGTGTAATTTGAAATCTTTTCTTACATGTTGTTGCCTAAGACTTGAAAGGTATCGTCTCCTGTACTCTTAATTTTCTAGACAATCAAAATAAGGATCATGAATAAAGAATATGCTAACGAAGTTTTTTCTTTTATTACAGGTAAATGGCGCATGGGCATTACCTAATGTTGTTTGTGATTTCTATATAGCCATGGATGTGATATGCTCTACTTCATCGATATTTAATTTAGTTGCAATATCAATAGACAGGTGCGTAGCTCGTCCGCTAATTTGTCTCCATTCCATTGTCTGCATTGCATTGTTTCATACGAGTATGCCCGTTGTCCTTCATCTTGCAGATACATCGCTGTGACGCAGCCAATAAAGTATGCCAAACACAAAAACAGTCGCCGCGTATGCCTTACAATTCTGCTGGTCTGGGCAATATCGTCCGCCATTGGCTCGCCCATAGTACTTGGCCTGAATAACACGCCTAATCGCGAGCCGGATGTGTGCGCCTTCTACAATGCCGATTTCATTTTATATTCATCGCTAAGTAGTTTCTATATACCGTGCATCATAATGGTTTTTCTCTATTGGAATATATTCAAGGTAAGTGAACTGCCCATGGGCAGAAGCAGAATCAGCTACAAGCATAACTAATTCCGCAAATCACAATGGCCCTGTGCTTCTGCTGATAAAAAATTCCCATTAAGCTACTATTTGCTTACATAAATAGGCCGAGGTAGCAACCGCAGAAATTCTACTTATATACTATTACAGTAAAGTTGCGTTATGCTCGTAAAAAAGAGGACCATTATAACTTGTTTCTTCTCTTTTTCCTGGGGGCGTTGGGTGTCACTTTGGATCGATTTTCAGACCACCGACCGACTCGTTCCCGACAGGTCAACCAGCACTTTTTATACCCTGTACCCGTAGGGTAAAAAGGGTATATTAGGTTTGTGCAAAGTATGTAACATGCAGAAGGAAGCATCTCCGACCCCATAAAATATATATATTCTGAATCAGCATGACGAGAGAAATCGATCTAGACATGTCCGTCCGTCCGTCCGTCTGTCCGTCTGTCCGTCTGGATGAACGCGAGGATCTCAGAAACTATAAAAGCTAGAATAACCAAAGTTGGCATCCAGATTCTCCTAGGTCCGAGAAAGGACGAGTTTATTTTATTTTTTGGAATTTTCCCCCCCTTCCCCCGCTACAGAATTTCGTCAATAGCGTCCACATTTCAAATGCTACCTAAACCAAACTTTGCACACATAATTTATATATAATTTTCTACTGTTCTTTAAAATTTTATTCAATTTGGTCAATTCTAAGAAAAGTTATTAGCGAAACAAATTCTCGCCTGTACAACCCCCACAAACTGCAGCAACAAGTTCGCTCCTCTTCTTCCTCTTTTTGCTGCTGCTATGGGCGCATATAACTCAGCGACGGAAGTTTACCTGGGTACAGGGTATTACACTGTCGGGCTTGCTCGACTGTAGCGTTCTCTCTTGTTCATTCTAAATAAGGCAAATAAGTTGCAGGAAGAAAGACATAGAAAGAGCAAAGCACGTCGAAAACCAAGTAAGAAGAAGCACATGGCATTGCAATTTTTCGCTGTCCAATTAAAACGAATATAGTACGTACATACTCGTGCACGTACATACGTATATAAGTATGTATATGCGCAAGCAAAATCTGTAGCGGCATTAGTTCGTCGCAGTCCTGCTCTAGTCCGCTGGGTTGCAAAGGTTATTAACAGAATTGCGCAATCTCTAATACAAAATCAAAGGGCGTCTGAACGTGCTTCTTTGCACGTACGAATCTAGATTTACTTACTAGTTTCGCAATGATATCCTTAAAGCAAGTTCAAATCTTTGTTTCCTATTGGGAATAAAGGCGTACCTATCTACGAGTATATGACTATACATATGCCTCTACTTTAAGCAATAAGAAGAGAGAACGCTACAGTCGAGCAAGCCCGACAGTGTAATACCCTGTACCCAGGTAAATAAAAAAAAAAAATAAACTCGTCCTTTCTCGGACCTAGGAGAATCTGGATGCCAACTTTGGTTATTCTAGCTTTTATAGTTTCTGAGATTCTTGCGTTCATCCAGACGGACAGACGGACGGACATGTCTAGATCGATTTCTCTTGTCATGCTGATTCAGAATATATATACTTTATGGGGTCGGAGATGCTTCCTTCTGCATGTTACATACTTTGCACAAACCTAATATACCCTTTACCCTTACCCTACGGGTACAGGGTATAAATATATACATACATAGTGATTGAAAAATGTTGCGTGTGACTCGTTCTGTGCTAATGCGCTTAAAATTAAATTGCAAAAAATATATAAATCATTTTTGGGTAAATTCAAAACCATTTTTAACCTTCTTGAACTAGTCACATTGATATATTGACACGGGTTTCGCCGAAATCGGCATTTGACAAGAACTTCTGAGTCTGCCCTGTGGGAATGTCTTGTTTTTTTGCAATTATCTTGGAAACGAAAAGTTGCCCAAAATCAACCAATTGGCTTGGCACCAATTGTAGGGCTAGTTAAGCCCTTTATAAATAATTATAACCAATTATAGTGTAGTGGGACACAATAAAAATTTGTTTTCACGCCCATATACATGTATACATATATGTACATATATATTTATGTATATGTATATTCTCAACATTATATCTTCACAGCAACATAGCTCATCAATTAAGCGCCATAAAATGAATGTGTCTTTTGTTGAGCGATTTTCATACAATGCGGCACAAATTCAAATTTATCATCAACATTTTTGTTCCGTTCATATCCTTCAGCTGCCCTCTTTGCCACCCCCTCCCTTCTCCCTCACTACGGCCATGCCCATACACAAGCACACATGCATATCAATGAATGAGTCCTTCACTTTTACCCTTTGGGTATTTTGTGAAAGGATAAACAAATTGAAGTCTGGGTATACTATACGAGTATACTCGTAGCGACAAATATAACAGGGTTGCTGTACTATCTTTCTTGGGCCTTCTTTTCAGGCGCTGCGCAGCCGTGCGCGTAAGCAACGAGCTGCCCGCAAGCCTCATTTATCGGAGCTTACAGGCGGCAGCGTCATCGAGAACATTACACAGACGAGGCGCCTGGCGGAGACTGCGTTGGATAGCAGTCGGCATGGCAGCCGCATCATGCCCGATGAAGCAGCCACAAACACTGCGAGCGGCTCAAACGAGGAGGATGATGAGAATGCAATAACGCCCGATATCGACGACTGCCACGTTATAGTGAACGATAAATCCACTGAATTTATGCTAGCCACGGTTGTCGAGGAGACAGGCAAGTAAGTAAATTAAAAGCCCATGCGGCTGGCATGCAGTGTCAATGTACCATTAATGTGATTAATGACGACAAAATTAATACCCGATACAAATAAGTATTTCATAAATTTAGCACTTAGGAATATCAATTCTATTTTATTTGGTATCGGCCAAATTTGGCAGCATAAATACACAAACCTATTTTTTATGGTGGCACTAAACTTAAGTCGAGGCGAATGCTAGCGTCGCGTGCGCCAAACTCTCTCTCTCTTCAATGTCTAATACCATGTACTATATAGCTGGTTGGAAGGACTGTGCATTATATTTTAAAAGCTGCTGGCAGAGCATGTGCAGAGATTACATTTCCGATTAAAACCTCATTAACATTTAATTGGAGGGTGCATCGAAAAAAGTTAAACATAAGCTTGTACTTTCCCAGACATTGAAGAACTTACAGTTGGCTTTTATACTTCGGAGATTGTTGTCGTCTTCTCATTTTCGTTCAGTACAGAGTTCAGTCATTGCAGGAAGCCCAACAACAACAACATGGGCAGCGACTATGGCTATACGTTTATTTAGAATGAACTAAACACTATGAGTAAGCAGTAACCTGGATAAAATTCGAAGCACTGTGCTAGGGCTGGTTGATATCTATTAACTGCAAAGCCCAGGAACCCCGAACGCGCAGTATCCTGTACTAAACAATACTCCAGCCCTTTGTGTTCCTAGAGAACTTTCGAACAGAAACATGTATTTTCAAGTAACAGGGGAGCGTGCTTGGACCGACACTGTACGTGTACATCATATACACAGCAGATATATATATATGTACATATGTATATATGCACCGACAAATAGTCTTACAACAATTTCGACATTTGCTGACGATACAGCTTACTTGTATGTCCTATTTCGCTCCAAGTGCCCAACAAGAGCAGCAGAACTTTTATCATTACATCTCGTGGCCTTGGAGAAATGGCTAGCAGACTGCCGCATACATGTAAACGAGCAGAAGTGCATGTCCCCTTTACCCCAAACAGACAAACTTGCCCTCCATTGTGTCTGAACAACATCAACAAACAAACCGAGATAACATACCTGGGTGTCCATTTGGATAGCCGGCTAACTTGGCGTAAGCACATCGAAGCGAAGATAAATCAACTATAATTAAAAGCTAGTAATCTACGTTGCCCCATTAAAACTGGAGAACAAAGTACCCTTGTACCATGCAGTTATCATGTTATGGGGAAACGCTTGCAGAAGTAACTTGGAAATAACCCAAAGAGCTCAATCGCAGATACTGAGAACTATCGCTGGGGCGCCATGGTACATACGGAATGAAAATATCCGTAAAGACTTACATAAATGTAAGATCTGTTAAAGACGAAATCGCCAAGGTGAAAGCAAAGTATCAGTCCAAGCTTCAGTCGCATCCTAATAGAGTTGCCGCACTTTAAATAATTAATACCAATTAATTAAATAAATATATTAGATTAAGATTTGCTTATATGTTACAGCTCGCTATGGGTCAAAATTCCGACGTGCATGATGATAGTCAGACAGACGGATATGGAATGCTTGTGATTGCATTCAAGAAAAGGGAAAACAGGCCTGATTCTATAATATACTTGCGCTAAACAGGCGATTTAGGGACACGTAATTCTTTTCGGCACTTCACTATGTTGCAACCAGTGGGAGCCAAAATACTCGAGTGGCATTTTAACTTGCAAATTTTGGTCTCGCATCTTTTGGAGTATTTGAATACCTTCAAGTGTTACCGCCGTTTTTAGAGCACTTTTGGGGTGTTCTTGGCATCACTAAAGCGTTTTTACAACACACTAAAACAGCATTCCTACTCTTATTTCATTCAGTTAAAAGCCTTTTTAATGAATGCTCAGAGCACTTTAGCTGCAAGTGTGAGGAAGACTGAGTTATGCCTAATAATTTAGCATACGCGTATAGTGTCATTTCGCAGCCTAATTGTCGATTTTAACAAATCATTCCCCAATCACAGGAGGATTGGAAATGATCGTACGCAGCAGCAAGATTAACTGATAAATATTGTATTATATTGGCAGACTGCGCGGTCGGGCAAGCAAAGTCAGATCTCAGAAAGTATACATAGTATACAGATTCTCCTATGTCCGCGTCTTATATGCCCTCATGTTAAGTTTTATAATGATTGGTCAAATGTAAAAGAAGTTATAGTCATAAGCGTAATCTCTGCCAGCAGCCATTTTTTTTTTTTTTTTTGTATCTGCTTTGGCTGTCACGCACAGAACAACATATATGTACACAATATTAATGTAAATCATAAATATTCTATTGAAACTGTGCGTACGTGTTATATATTTATTATTTTATTAATTTTTCTTAATAATTTAATTTTTAAAACTCTAGTATTAAATTGTTTTAAAAGATTTAAACTGGATTAAACCACATTGTGATATCACTCTTTTACCCACAAAATACACACACGTGTTATATATTTATTATTTCATTACCTTTATTTAATGAATTTATTTTTAAAACTCTAGCCTTCTATTCTTGTTTTAAAAGCTTCCACTGCTGTAAACTCAAATGTATTTAAAATAAAAACCAATATTAGCTAATAAAGGGGCATCTAGATTGGAGGAACACCCACTAGCAACGATATCGTCAGTACTCGATAGTCATTAGATTTCAACCGCACATGGATAAAAGTCTTAGTTCGAAGCAGCGATTAGTGGTTAACAAAGAAGAAGAGAAAAAAACCGTTATAGAAGTCAGCGGGCAGTCGTCGAAGCGGCGTGCATCGTTACAATCTAATACTCGTATATCTTGGAATCATACCTAATCATACTAGTCGTACATGAATAAAAGAAATACTAATTAACATTAGAGACTAGTTACATTTTGTAAGCTAAGCATCAGAGAACTGCAGCGGTGCACCGCAACAATAAGTACACCGCATACCTACTTAGAATATTTTACTCACGATCACACAAAACACCGCATAAAAAATGATGCGGTGTTGGTTATACTCATGGCCTTCTTATACTTAGATCAATGCAATCACAACAAGACTTTTCGCTATCCTCTTCACTCATTTTTGTACTTATGCGGTTGGTGATTGCAAAGAAACTTGTGAGAGTAAAAACCACCACCAAATGTTTGCGATCAATTGAGTATTGGGTTTTCTCGCACTCGGCAATTTTTTTACTCTGTCTTTTTGAGTGTTCGCTCTGCACGATCAATTCAGATGCGGTGCCTGCAATACTTGTACTTATGAAAGTATGATTTGCGATGTTGACCTTGGATATTCAGTGCACATGTGTTTACACGTATGTACATATGTATGTAGTAGAACATGTATGTATGTTCTTTTGTGTGTACACTGTACATATTCCGCTACGATTTTGTTTTGGCTATATCGCTAAGAATACAAACATAAATAAGGCAAGGTAAAAAAAAGATGTGTACAAAATTAAAAGGATTTATTTAATTCATTTTTTTGCTCTTATGAATACGTTCCTCTATGATCGATTCAACACTAATGAGGCTTATGCAGCAATTAACTATACCCTTCCATATGAAGCAGAATGCAGAAAAAAATAATTTACAGTGCATTATGAGCATACATAAAAAAACGCCGTTATGCACATGCGTTGTTTTCAGTACTTGGTCTTTGCTTCGCTTCGATTTTCATATGCGGTGTTTGCAGTACCCGGTCTTTGCTTTGCTAATCATCACATTGATTTTGTCAACTCTTCTCTCATCGTTTCTTGCGCACGCAATATTTGTATTGTGCGCGTATGAGTATAAGTACGATTGCAGAAAACGACAACAAGAATGTGCGATGAAAAAGTAAAGCAGAAACCGCATACACCCATGATCGAGTACGAAAGTGATCCAGTCATAGCAATACAAAAATGCCTTTTGAGTAGGTCACTGAATTGACAAAATAGTATGCGGTGGCGATCACACCGCAACCGCTTTTTCAGTAAGTATACTTAGAGTCACAAAAATAGGCACTCATGCAGTTCTCTGCTAAGCATATTTCGTGCATATTTTCCGCCACTATGTGAACGTGCCCGATTGTTTGTTTTTTTCCGCAAAAGGCTTTGTTGATAGATAAATATGTAAATGCATACATACATACAAATGTATGTATATATGCATGTAAATAATGTATTTGTAGCATCGTTGAGAATAATTTAAATGTGGACTGCACATTTGTTATGGCAGTAAATTAGCAGGACGCACTTTAATGAGCCAATAAAAACAATAATGCAATATATGTATGTATATACATACGTGGACATACTCGTACATGATTAAAATTGAAAAATTGAACAATCAGTTAACGCGTTTTTAACCACTACACACTTTTTCTCTCTTTTCTTTCGGAACACAATTTCACCCCTCCACTCACGCTGCTGCTCCCACGCTCACGCTCACGCACTTGTCTGTTTGCTTAATTGATTTCTCGTTGTGACTAATGAAATGATTTGTAATTGCTGTACGAACGCGTCTGCACTTACATATGTATGTGTGGGCAGCAGCGTTGTGGCACAGATCACTACACATCCGCAGCTTGTTGTGGCCGACCCAAATGGTAATCATGATTCTGGTTATGCTCCATCAAACGTTGACGATGTCCTTGCAGGCGCCGCTTTATGCAGCAGCACGCCACCAGATAGTCCGGTGCCAAGCAGTGGCACGTTGCAGCGCTCAAGCGTCAGCAATCGACGCAACACAGCGGAGGATTCACCGAAGATCGGCGAGCCGGCTCTGAGGTGAGTTGCGTTCTCGCACGTTCCGTTTCTATAGCTTATGCTACACCTTTCTATTTGACAGTGTTTCCATGAAACCGTTTCCCTTCGGACGATACGGAGCACAGGAAGCCATGACTTTGGCACGCAACGACTCCACGCTATCAACAACATCGAAAACGTCGTCGCGCAAAGATAAAAAAAACTCACAGGCATCAAGGTAAGAAACGAATGTCATCACGCAGACCTTCGTTATATTTTGCGTATACCTTTCAATCTGGCTCCACTACATACGAAAAATCCCTATTATTCATCGGCGTAGATTTACAATATACAAGGTGCACAAGGCTTCCAAAAAGAAACGAGAAAAATCATCGGCAAAAAAGGAGCGCAAGGCCACGAAAACACTAGCGATCGTCCTGGGTAAGCTATTTAATTATTTCATTTAATTGTCTTATTTAATAGGTTCTAACATAATTGCAACATTCTAATTATTTATTAATTGCAAAATTTAGCTCCAACTAACAAATCTTTGCAGTGGTTCTTAGCAATACTACTTGTATCTATATATATAAAACAGTTTGTCCTGACTGACTGACTGACTGATTGGTGATCAACGCACAGCCCAAACGGTAAAGGCTAGGAAGCTGAAATTTGGCCTCAAGTATCCTTTTATAGTCTAGGTGCCCACTAAGAAGGGATTTTGGAAACCGCAAAGGGGGGAAAACGAGCTCCAACGTTTGTATGAAAAATCTACAGTTTTCATCTGATTAACTTCAAACTTAGTTTGTATACTCTCAGAACAATTCCAAGAAAAACAGTATACTTGGTTTTTTGACATTTTTTTTGGGGCCTAAAATATGGGAGTTTTCCTGTAAAAAAAAATGTTGGGGCACAAAAGCAAACCGCGTCAACAGCCCACAGCCCACACGGTAAAAGCTAGGATGCTGAAAATTGCGCTCAAGTATCCTATCATAGTGTAAATGTGCATTAAGAAAGGCTTTTGGAAAATTCTAGCTCCAAAGGGGGGAAAACGAGCTTTAAACAATATTAGTTATAGTGGTCATGTTCGTTTAACGAAATAGTTTGGCAAGAACAAAAATGTAACGGACTACTGAACAATTTTTTGTCAAGAACAGAAAATGTTCACTTAAATACCTTAAATGCCTTCCTACTGGTAACTTATAAGGTGAAAACATATGGATAGGTTATGCACACACAAAATAAATACAATTGGAAACATTATATTGAGCCGGGTTAAGACGGGCAATACCTGCTAGTCACATTATAATAGTTTTCTGATCTGTTTGGTATAAAAATAGGATTAGCGTAGAATTCAAGAAAATTGACCAAACACTTCCATTTATGAATTTGATGACCCAAAATCTTTTATCACAACGTTACAAAACAAATAAATTGTTACTATTATCTTAATACAACCGTTGGTGTTTTTTGCAGCCCCCAGTTTTAAATTCTGTTGTCTGAATGCAAATAAATGTATTAGAGCACAGCTTTATTAATAGAGAAGAACATCTGGAAGACCAGGTGGAGAATGGCACCGAAATGTCAGCTTACCGTTAGTCAAATCTTCTTTGGTTGTGCAATGTTTTCGAGCTGGCTAGTCTTTAAGGGAATCCTTTATAAATACGAAATTCTAAAAAAAAAGAATATTATAAAACACTTGGAATAGTCGATTCCGATAGGCGACGCTAATATCCATCCATAATTTGCATTGCTAAACCGAAAGGGAGCTCTCCCTCTCATCTCCCCTAGTTCCACTTTTGTAGTTGACCTTTTATACTTTTTTATTTGCTAATTCATTTCATTAAATTGACTGTTAACATCGATTTCATCATTCTTTATGGTATACTTGTAAGCCCTGTAGCCAAAGGATAACATTAAAAAATAAATATATATATTTATACTCTGTACATGAAATGTACAGAAGTATATTAGGTTTGCGGGAGCTGAAAAATGTAACAGGCAGAAGGAGGCGTGGTAGACCCCACACAGTATATATATTCTTGATCAGCATGACGAGACGAGTCGATCTAGCCCTGTCTGTCTGTCTGTCCGTCTGTCCGTCTGTCAGTCTGTCCGTCTGTCCGTCCGTATGAACACCTGGATCTCAGAGACTATAAGAGCTAGAGACACCAAATTTTGCACAAAGATGCGTTATGTGTGTATTCTATACGAGTTTGTTTTATTTTTTTGATTTTCCCCCCACTTCCCCCCTATGGGGGTTTTCCCGATTTTCCATTCGTATAATCGCCTATATCTCGGAGACTATAAGACCTAGGAACACCAAATTTTAGTCCCAGATGCCTTATATGAATACGCAGAAAATGTATATTTTGGAATTTCCCTCCCTCCCCCCTCTACCCCACAAATCGTAACTCCCGTAATTCTTGGAATTTCGAACTAAAATTTTGCAAATACCCCCAGTTGGTAATTATGTGTCCGTATGGCAAGTTTCACTATGATAGACCGATTTACCAAGAAGTTATAGCCATAAATATATTTGCTGCTGCAGCGCTGCTCAAGCGCTGCCCGCGGCTGTTGTTGATGTTGCTGTTTGGTTGACTGCGAAAATGCTTACACAGACACGAATAGATGCGCATAGGCATACATACACTCACACAGACGCAATTGCTATGTAAATGTGCAATTATAAACCCTTTACGTGAGTTCGAATACTGAGAGAGGTAAAATCGATCAAATTTTTTTTTTTATTTTCTTAATTTTTTTTTATTTTCTATAATTATTGTAAACATATGTACAGAGTATTTCAAAGTCGGGACACCCGACTTTAGCTTTTTTACTTGTTTTCCACTTCTATCGTGTAAGAACGAGGTTTTCACCGTGTTAAAAGAAAAAAGGTAGCAAATTTTTAATCGTGTTAGACCGAGTTCGTATTAAAAGAGGCATTGTTAAGCGAGGCTAGGTGTACTTTATTCATAAGACATTATTTGTTTCTATAGTATGGATACAGTATTTCCTACAGTTTGCGTAGAATATGGTAATATACTTTTTGGATTACATAGATAGTTACAATACGATAGACTGAAAACGTGTGCATCAATGAGGTAGGAATGAATCGAAAGAACCTGTGAGATTCATGAGATCTATGAGATCTTCCTTCAGACAGACATCGCCACATATGTACATTCATAATAATATGGAGTTGTTTGGTTGTATACTACGTATGTTTATAAACACATACATTTTTTATTGGGTCTTTTGTTCTAGGTACTCTAATTTAATTAATTTAATTAATTCACCTTAATAATTGGATACACGGTATTACATTAGAGTACAAATAAAAAAAAGCTATAAGAATGGGCTCTGCTTATACACAGGACTCCGCAATAACTCTCCCCAATTCTAAAATATTACGAACACATCCTCAATGGAATTAACCGCCTTCCCTGCCCGTCCTGTGGGGAAGAATTGAGTACCGACGGCATAGCGACATATCTCCGAGGACATATATCCGCCTAGTACATTTTTGTGGCGGAGATATCTCCGATCGGATCTACGTCAATTGGAAAGCCCAAGGGTCAAACTTTTCGGCTCTCAGTTTCGCTCTTAGAAACTCCCTCAACTATCTAAATAGCTAAAATAAACAATTTTATAAAAGAAGCATAAATTATAATGTATTCTTGTAAATTAAAGATGAAAGAATTTAACATCGAGTCGAAGGTCCTGGTAGCTAGCTTCGTTACTAAATACTAGATTTCATTTGTTGAATAAGTAAATGAAATTTTATATGGCTTGGGGACATTTTATTTGGCTTACCAATAACTATAGAAAATAGTATCAATAGTTGATGATATATAATTTTAAAAGTAACAATAGTTAATAATATATAGCTTTAATGTAATTAATAAACTGTTAATTATTAAATTATAACTATTTTCTCCATTTCACTTGCTTTTCTTCAACAACACAGGTGTCTTTCTCTTCTGCTGGCTGCCGTTCTTTACTTGCAACATTATGGACGCTATGTGCGCAAAGTTCAATAAAGACTGTCGACCGGGTCTAACCGCTTTTATGCTGACCACTTGGCTGGGCTACATCAATAGTTTTGTTAATCCCGTTATATACACAATATTTAACCCAGAATTTCGGAAGGCATTCAAGAAGATCATGCATATGGTATGATTAAGGACAACAACATCCGCAGCAGCAAAAACAGCAACTAAAAAGTGTATAAATAAAATAGACTAATAATGTTCAGTAAGATACTCAAGCAAATTGATAATGTTATATGTGTGTATGTTTTTTTCAATAGAGTGCGAGTAATACCTGAAATACACGAGGGATTCTTTTTATGCAACTTTTTGTGCCTTTTATACATTGCACCCGAACGGTAAAAACGTCCATTCGACGCCCCAAGCTGCAGCAGCACATTACATTCATGTCCTCCCTTTTGCTTCTTTACTCCAGGCGTATACCACGGATCAACGATTTTGTTTTGTTATTGTTGTTTTGGTGGCTACAGGGTATTTCGCAGTCGGGTTAACCTGATTGTAGCATTCTGTCTTGTTTTGTTTGTTGGCAGGAGGCAAGCAGGGAGGTTTATTTAGGGTCCTTAACTTCCCTGAAAAATTAAAAAGACTTAAGAGTTTTTGTTGTGAACTTTGTCAAAACCGAGAAAATAGAATGGTAGACTTGTTATATAAGTACCATGTCCATGTCCATAACAATCGGCATGATGGGACAGAAATGACAAAACTAAGGACAATGGGAAGAAAATGAATAAATAATAGCAATAATAATAATAGTATTGAGTATAAGTATAAAACAATAAAAATATAAATAGGAAAAGTGTATTGCATTTTGGAACTCACGCAGATAATGATGATGCGGGGACAGACCAGATCAGACAACCGCACCAGCTTAGCCATGTGATTTAAAAAGAAGTCTTTCTACATAATACTTTTTTATAAGTTTTTATACCCTGCACCCAAAGAACAGAAGGGTATACTTGTTTAATGCGTTTGTAGCATGCAGAAAGGGGGGATTGTAACATTTTGATGACTAGATAAGTCAATATATCCTTGTCCATCTGTCCGTCTAAGTGAACGTAAGATTCTTGGGAGATGAAACCTAGAATAACCAAACTTGGGATACATATTCTTTTAATACGTACATACATATTCTATTAAGCAGGACCAGTTTTACGATGTTCCTCCCACTTCCTAGCTAAAAGTGATTTTCCAGAACTTAAGAAAAATGTGTTTTTGCTGTGGGTAACGGATCTGTATTTTCGTTTAAAATTACTTTGATAATTATTAAAACAAATATATATACATATTTATAAATATATGAATAGAATGTTAATCAGCATATGCCCATGTATATTTTCAATTGCATAAGTTCCTATTTAGATAAAGCTTATATCTAGCATGAATATTTAAAAAAAAAGCGTATCTCTCTCTTAAATTAGGGCTTAGGAGAACATTTAAGCCAAGTTTGATTATTATGATGGTTTGGAAACCCATGACCAGGAACTGCTTACATTTCTATTTTCAATCACTTTTAATACAAACTGTCTGGCTTGTAATTTTTGTAGAGTGATTTTGGTAGCTTTATGTGGCCTGTTATGGGAAATAATTGAAGGAGAGGACTATGGCTTGTCGAACTGATCAGTATTGTGCGTACAAGTATGTATATCTGCACTGATCCGTATACTATATATGGTCTACCATTCTTCAGTCTGGGTTTTACGAGCTTTCACTTCAGAAAAAGTATACCATTTCACGTTTCAATGAAGGGTATGAGGAGAATCGAAATAAAGACGCTGATTGATTTTGATTCAAAATCAAAACCTTGAATTTGCTATGTAAATAATCGAAATGAAATATAAAAAGTTGCAATTGACTATTCCACCGTGTATAGTCGAGCGGGATGACGCAGAAACTTCAAAAGAAAATGCGCGAGAATTCCCAGTTGAAAGCTTCTCGTGTAGATCTAGTAGTATATGTAAGTGTTGTATGATCGAGCATTTGAACTTTTATTTATATTAATTAGTATTCCAACATCCAAGATAGAGAAGTTAGGGCTGTATGCTCCTTCTAAGTTCACTGATACAGATTATATGTGCATGCATATCTCCACCTTTACATTAGTATATCAGCCTATAAGTACACCTACGTAGTAAACGCCCCTCATAATACAAGTACACGTACTCGTATGTATTACAAATGTAATTAATTGCATACATACCCGTACATGAGTGGCAATTGCTTTAGCAAATCTTTTAATACATACATACATACATACATGCATACATGTAAAAGAATAATTATACTGTATAATAAATAAGTGCAGATAATGCCGCTGGACTAGTGTGCCATGCAGCCAAATCAAAATATTTATTCCTAATTTACATATCACATGCAACAACCCACGAAATAAAAGGAAGTGAAAAGAACTTTTGTTATTGCTTAGGTTTTACAGTCAATTTTTTTGTTTATCTCTTAGCTCTAAGTTCCGATTAAAATCGAACAATGCCAGAGCATATCTTTCAAAGCAAAAACTACAAGAGCAATGTTGAATTATTTGATCGCATCATACAATATAAAAATATAACAATTACAAATAATAAACGATCATAAGTATGTACTTTTTGATAGAAATGCTGTATCAGGTATTTAGCGAAAGCGTTTGTTACTTAGCCCAATGTTAGGGACTACATTATTCTATAGGTTTATTTAGCTTAAGGGCAAAATTCAAGAAACGTTTTATAATTATCCGATACAATGAGCCCCGGAAATGACAAAAACCACAATACACACACACACATGTTATTGTTTTCAAAAAAAGATAAAAGAAAAAAAACTATTTCAACCTTTGTAATACAACAGCAGGGCTTTATAACTAATCTATGAACATATGTACATATTGAGATAAGTTAGGGCATGATATAGTAGCTAAATTAAAGTATGATATAATCATCTAAACATAATGTTCTTAGTACACGCAAAAACTTATGTGAAGACCAAACAACAAAATTGAACAGTAAGCATTTGGTATTAAATTGTAACAGAGCTAAGATTATTTGGTATTAGAATGAAATATATAGTATACATGTATTGTAAGTATGTATAACGGAAACAAAAACAAAAAGGTAGAAAATACTTTAATAATTAATTGTGCTAAAAGTTTCATCAGGGTATTCAAAGTATAGGTTAACAAATTTCAGTAGTAATCTTCCTGCATAACTAATATTTTATTTACGAGTACATACTACGAGTATAAGCAGAAAAGAAATTAAATTAATATCAAAACTCTATTTGATACATGAACCAGACATCTGCCAGTGAATGATGTTGCCTTGAATTTGATCAACAGTTTTCGCGCGAAAGTCTTTGCATTTGATTAATTAAAATCATTTAGAAAATCTACATACAAACTTTATTTTAGAAATTTCAGTGTACAATGTAGCGAGGGCATTGAATGAGAAAATATACATACACGTACATGCTGCATACGAGTATTTGCATATACATAGGTATATAAGCATTATAACACACATATATAATGGATAGGCTCATAATGTCAAAGATGTTTAAAGCCTATCCAAGTTGTGGTAGTGCTTTTATTTACGAGGCTTTGAGAATGTCCTTGGACGCGAGTCGACAATACTAATTTAATTCAAGGCATCATCGTTGCATCTTTTTGGTTCCTGCGTTTGATGACCGTCCTTCCAATTGTTTCTATGTGACAAATAATAAAAGTTTAATACTTACATCAAAACTAAATGGTAATTGAATACGTCATAGTTATGTATGTAGATTTTAAATGTATGTATAAGTACGTTTTTCAAAGAGAGAACATTGTGAAAAAAAGAAGCTCAAACATTTTGTACTACTATGTACATATAAGTATATTACAAGGAAACTACTGTTTAAAGAAAATATATAGTAAATATTTTTTTCACATAGCTTAAAGTTGGTTGAATTCAAAAGCATATTCAAATATATGTTAAAAAATCAAAATACTATATATGTTGAGCTTGTATATCATTATGGAGCATACATTTCCATGCTTCGTCGCTATGAAATAATTTTCGAGAGTTTAAATAACATTAGGCTCCGTCGCATAGTTAAGTTCTTTCAAAAGAAAACCGATTTTTAATTAGAGAGTTTAAAAAGAAGAAATGCAAGGTAATACATATGTAAATGGTAAATTGGGGAAGAATTTAACACAATTTAAAAATTAGATATTGTGGGTTGAGTTATGTAATATTTGTACGCTGTATAAAAAATAAAATTTGGCACCGTTTATATAAAATATAATCCAAAAATATATATATATATAAAACATACATTTTAAATTAACTATTACCAAGACAAACTTTTTTTGCCTACAAGTTATATATTTAAATTATATAATGACTATATTAATGTAAGGTTATCTACATAACTCAGAAAACGTCAGTTGAGTACCTATCATAAATGAAGAGCCAACCTTTTCACCTTTTTGGAACAAGAATACACAAATACAGTAGCATTAACATACAAGTAAAAAAAAGACATGGAAAGTAAGAAAAAATATCAAATAAATATTTAAATTTAACAGAATATGTGAATTAAATTGTTGTTTTGACTAAATGTGGAGCGCGTAAAAAGTTTTGCAACCCCGAGATTTAACATTACAAAATGTTAAAGTAAAACAAAATTAAATAAATAAACCATAAAGTTTGAAATGAATTGGAATGAAACTAACTAACAAAAATCAAATAATTTAGTTTTCTAGGAAGTTTTAAGGAAGTCCCTCCCTTGCTGGTTATAACGATTCAAATACTTCTTTACAGCACTATTAGCACACGTTAACAATTCACTTGGTTTGGTTTTTTATTTGTTTTACAGCCGGTATTAAAATTTACACCTATTCCACTATACATATTACATTAACTTTTCTATTGTTTAAAGCAACACGCGGGTTAATAAGAAATTAATAAATGAGTAATAAATAAATTAATAATCAGCAAGCAATGATTAAAACAACGGGAAGTCTCCATAACATTGAAACAAAAATCTATGTATTTATTTAATTGAGAATCTTCGACCCAAAAAACATTACTAAATATAATGAATTAAAAAAAGAAATTCCATTACTGATTTCCAGCTAATTATTTTCTAAGCAACATGGAGTCTATATTGGTAAGTTTGTAGCCTATGTTAGCAATATCGATCGGACGTCGCTCGGGTGTTCTAAAAGGTACTAACCAATACTTCTAGTACGGTGAGCATTGGCGTCACATCCAACAACAAGATGATTTTTATTTCTGCGGCAAAAGTTGATCAATTGGTGAACTTCCATCAGTGGTGCCCTAATTCCCTAATACCGCGTGTTCTGTTGGCCATGGTTCTGGTTCATCACATGCACAACTTATTATTTTAACGCACCTTCCTTGATTAATTCCAAATTTTAAAGCACCGGGAGTGGCTGTTACGGTACTTTCACGTTACCTGAGTGTTGGTCCTAAGGATTGGTATGAGTGATGTTTTTAACAATAAATAACAAGAAAGAAATGCTAAAGTCGAGCAGGCTCAACTCTTAAATACCCTGTACCACCCCACAAAAAAGTAATTAAATTAATTTAATTAATTTACATTTACATCAGAATCGTGCCTTATGCGTGTTTGTGTACTTGTACATATGTATGTATGTGTGCATTGGGCCTGGTTATATGGCTATAACTTTCTTTCCGATCATTCTATCATAATGTAACTTGGTATACGGATATATAATTACTAACCTAATGTGACTACCAAATTTTACATCAGAATCGTGCCTTATGCGTGTTTGTGTACTTGTACATATGTATGTATGTGTGCATTGGGCCTGGTTATATGGCTATAACTTTCTTTCCGATCATTCTATCATAATGTAACTTGGTATACGGATATATAATTACTAACCTAATGTGACTACCAAATTTTAGTTCAAAATTCCAAGAATTACGGGAGTTATAGAAAATCGTTAATAGGGGGGGAGTGGGGTGGATCAGAAAAAATGAACAAACTCGTCCTTTCTCGGTCTCAGGAGAATCTGTATACCAAGTTTGGTTATTCTAGCTCTTATACTTTCGGAGATCCTTGCGTTCATACAGACAGACAGACGGACAGACGGACATGGCTATATCGACTCGGCTTGTCACCCTGATCAAGAATATATATACTTTGTGGTGTCTACCAAGCCTCCTTCTGTGTGTTCCATGTGCACTCGCACAAAACTAATATACCCTTGTACCCTTTGGGTACAGGGTATAAAAATGTAATTAATCACATGCAAAACGCGATTTTCCAAAATATTTTTTGTTGGAAGGAAGAATGGAAGAAAATGTCTCCAGCATAAAATCGAAGTATTACGGCGACCTTGAAACTGTAGTGAATTAATACAAGCCAAGAGTAATGATATATATTTTAAAATGCGCCAAACAAATACCCCATGTATTGAAATCCTTAAAAATGCCCACATCGACGGCACGTGGTCAAAAATTTGTACACAACCGACATTTCTTTACATATTCCAATATAGGAACTTTTTAGCTGAATTATTTATATTGATATGTTAAATTTTTCATTCATTTTTTATGATAACTTTATTACTATAACTAATACTTAGTAACACCGTCCTTCGCATTAATAACTGCCTGCAACCTGGCTGGAGTAGACTCAACCAAGTTTCTGGCAAATTCAACAGTCAATTTGAGCTAAATTTTCCTTATTTCATGTATGGTATCATTGCGATTTCGATTCTTGGCGATAGTCCTTTGCTGTTTTATGAATGCCCAAACATTTCAATGATATTTAAATCTGGGGAGGTCATTGAGGAACAGCCTTTGTCTTTAAAAAATTTTGTGAGTATCCAACCTTTATGATATGGAGCATTGACGTGTTGTAGAATCAAGCAATTGGTTGGAAAGAAGGGTTTCCCCGAAGTAAAAGCATGCTCATTGATAATTCTAATAAAACGTATTGATTTAAAATGCCTTTTATCGGAACCAAATCACCAAATACGTATGACATATAGTACAATATACGTACATAGTACATTCGTCACAGCGCAATCTCCAACGTTTTTAAGTGGGTGTACTGCTTTATTTTTCTGGTGCTGTCGTAGATGCATATAGTTTTTACCAAATGAACCCTGGAACTGAAATGCGGACTCATCTGTCCATAACACATTGTGCCACATTGTTCCAAAGCAAATGGCAACATTTGCTTGGATTGTTGGGGTAATATTCAATATTTGCGTACAAAATACGTATTTATAACAACATCTTTCAACCTGCAACGCAGTGTGGCATCACTAACTTTTTTCCCAATTATTTTTTCCGATGATACTGTAACTTTCACAGGACATATTGTACGTTTTTTTATGAATGTGTGGAATAATTTTCTGCATTCAATTTGGTTCAGGGCAGGATTTTGCCCACATCTTTTTATAGCCTGTACCCAAAGGGTGAAACCAAACTTAATAATTTATAAATAAATATCTACTGTTGTTTAAAACTTTTTTCAATTCTGTCGATTCTAAGAAAAGTTATTAGCGAAACAAATTCTCGCCAGTACAACCCCCACAAACTGCAGCAACAAGTTCGCTCTTCTTCTTCCTTTGTTTGCTGCTTCTTTGGGCGCATATAACTCAGTGACGGAAGTTTACCTGGATACAGGGTATTACACTGTCGGGCTTGCTCGACTGTAGCGTTCTCTCTTGTTTTCTATTGTTCGAGTCAGTGTCGGAAGTTTACCTGGGTACAGGGTATTTCACAGTCGGGCTTGCCTGCAGTTTGGTTTAGGTAGCATTTGAAATGTGGACGCTATTGACGAAATTCTGCAGCGGGGGAAGGGAGGGAAAATTAAGGAGGAAATTCTGGTCCTTTGGAACCAACTTTGCAGCAAGACGGCGGAAACCCAAATCTATAATGTCCTGAATTGATCTATAAAAAATGTTTAAGACCTCTGCCAGCTTTCTGATGGCCAATTAGCAATTGTTGACCAATGCGTCTTATGCACAGTGGCTATTCCTAAAGATAATTCTCGATTTTAAATGCAAACATTCGAAACAAAAATACTAAATTGCAATCGATATTAATGTAATTATACTTGACCTCGAGGCTGGAATACCGGCATACTCCTATGTACATACATAGGTAGATATGTATGCACACACTATTTATATACATACCTTTCTATGTACATACGGGCATCCGGTTTTATTATATCACTTCGCAGTAGAAAGAATATCGAAAGTTTAATTCATTTTCCAGTTATAGCGCACTTCGTACAATAACAAAAAATGTAAGTAATTGGTTTGTTTACCTTTATTAATAAATACTGTGTGTTATGGTATCTGCAGAACCGACAGGACAAGATGCAGAACCGATTATGTACTTTTTATCGGTTGGTGCAAATAATTGCTGGTGAGCTTTGAGCTAAGATCGGTACAAAATCAGCTTGCCCTAAGATTCCACATCAACACTGCACTGATCGCTGATCAGGTGTCCCTGGCGAATGCGCCCACTGAGAAACTATAGCTAATATTGCAAGAAAAGTATTGTTGTTTATTATCTCTTTATTACTTAGTTTGATGCTCTTTGAAATGGTAATCGCTTTTTTAGTATCTCAACTCTATCTCTCCAAACACTGACTAAAAGGTGTGGCTATAGTTATGCACCATACCTTATATCGGTAAAACGTAAAAAGAGTTGAAAAATTCACAAAAACATTCAGTTGGGCTTTTTATTTCTGAAGCATACTTTATGATTAGGTCTCAGAATTTGGGACTTTCCTGCTGATCCCAATTATTTATGTATATACTACAAGTATTTCCTCAAATATGGTGCTACTTACACATATTGTAGCTCCACGACTATGTTTGGTTAAACAAGTATCTTTAGATTTTGTTTCGTTTAGGCACAATTACAGAAACTTGTGGAATACGAAATCAAAATATAATGTGCTGCACATTATTTACATTGCAAACTGGTCGGAATTCCCTTATTTTAGGCAAAATGTATAAACTCAAAGATGTTGTTACGACGACTTTTAATGCCGTGGTGGTTAATTAATAGTGAAGCAAAGGTATGTAGTAACTACATTAAAGTTACACGTATAACCTCTTTTGTAATTGTTGTAAATGCTCTCACACACTTGTTCTCATTAGTCGATTTGTGGCCAAGAAGGAATTGTTTTCCATAGATTAAACTATTGATGGCACTCGTTGCGACTGAAACTCTTAATGTTTTAGTCATATTTATATGTATATGTATCTATATTAGAATTCTGCCGCTAGACAATTAAGCAAATGTCCTGCTTATTTACTATTTATGTATGTACCATATTTATTGGATTAGAAAAAAAACTGGTACAATTGAAAAAAGGTAAGTCCCTTACTATTTCAAATACATACGTTTTACATCTGCTACTTACATATACAAATACTAAGCCCATTTATATTTTTTTTTAAATACTTAAAATACATAAAATTCATTTATGTGTTTGTATACAGGCGGGAGAGGGTCTAACTTAACAATATTCTTTGTTGTTTTTTAACTAAATCAACAATTACCTTAAAGAGTACATAGGAAAAATTACAAAGCTCTGGCTTTGTTTTCGGTTATTTTTTTGTTAAGGGCACTTCCGACCACTGTGCATTTGACACTAAAAATAAATTCATTATAAAGTAAACAATAACCACATTTTTTTCTTGTTGTTATTATTGGTGTCGCATGGAAGAATTTTTACCAAACTTCACATTTGTTGGTCGGATTCATGCGTTTTCCCGGTTTACATTGAAAAACATCCGCAAACTCTTTCATGTTCGATAGCGTGCCTATAACTCGATATTCGGATGGTGAGTGTGGATCCTTTTCCAATTGCAGCAGATTGGTTTCATCTGTAGTGCTGGAGCACCATACCTGTAATCGAAAAAAGATATAAATGAAAAATTATTTTTTGATGGCTGTACTGGTGCCCAAGAAGAAAATGAAATGTAACTCTTAAAACAATAATTAGATAATTCTTTAAAGTGCAAATATGGACAGTACTTCTAATACTCGTATCGTATGTACATAAACTTTGATATCTAGTATCACGTTCTATTTTCCTGTAGCTGCAGAGGATTCGAGAGTTAAGAACTCTTTGGAAAACTTTGCGTTTCCCTGGACATAGGAGATCTGGCTCTGGAGTCTGAGTTCGGTTATTTTAGCACACAAATATTACCAGGATTTATGGCTATAAATGACGAAATCTTTAATTATTTATTAAAATATATTTTATTTCCTGGAAAGTAATCCTTTCCAGATGCAATATACGTATGCCAATCCTCGAAGCTGTCAAAAAAGCCCTTTCTGGAATGCTCCGCACCTTCTTTGATTTGGCTTAAATCTTCTCAACTGTTTCAAAACTGTGTCTTCAATTTCTCATATACAAGTAGCTATAATTTCCATCCGTTTTGTTTTTGGCGAAATGCTCATGGAAACTAGTGCAGTGTTGCAGCGTTTTTGAAACCAAACGACACTTGACTTTAAAGAGGCTCGAAAGGTAATTTGAAATAGTGTTGACTGATCCATAAGAAATGCCAACCGCATCAACAATGTCTCTAGTTGTCAATCGACGATTTAGGAGCACCAATCCTTTTGATTGTTTAACGTGTCGCGAATCACTTTATGTTCTTGGTCGACTTGGACGTGGTTTGTCTTCAACGCTTTCTCGATCCTCCTTAAAAAATCTTAACGTTTTTATCCTTTACAAAAAAATGTGACAACATAAAAATACAGTATAACTTGCTTAGCTCCATCGACAAGATAGCTGTATGAAATTTTCTTTAAGCAGCATAAATGGGGGATGTCGTATGAAAATAATTACATTTTGTGGCATCCAAGTTAACAGCCTTTTGGACTTAAGCGCCCCATATCGGCTGTCGTTTTTTGTCATTTTCTAAAAATATTTCTTGTTTTTATCGTGGCTTTGGTCTTTCAGTGCACACATACATACTAGACACCTGAATGAATGGCAAAAAAACCACATTCGAATGCACAATGCTGATTGAATGAATGAGTATACACACGTACAACTCAGTCGCACTCAGTCGAAACGTAGAAAAATGAATTGAATGGAGTGAGAATACGAAAAATTTAGACGTAGATCTCGAATGATTCGAATGACAAACCGGTAAAGAAGAAAGGGGGGGGGGGGGGGGGGGGGGTGTGTATCAGAAAAAAAACACAAACTCGTTCTGCCTAGGGCTTTGGGGAACCTGAATGCCAAGTTTGGTTATCCTAGCTATTGTACTTGCTGAGATCGTTGCGCTCATACAGACAGACGGACGGACGGACAGACGGACATAGCTATATTGACTTGTCTTGTCATCCTGATCAATAATATATATACTTTGTGGGGTTTGTCACGCCTCCTTCTCTGTGTTACATACATGCGCACAAAACTAGTATAGCCTTTCACCCTTTGGGTGTAGGCTATAAAAATGTGTGGGACCCCCACAACATAATAAAACTTCATGTACATACTGTATACAAACCGCAGGAGATACAAATTTTGGTTAAAAGATAAAGGTACTTGTATGTTAGTTGCCTTTTTAGGATAGCTGCCAAAAAAGTCTGGGCACAGTATTGAAGGCAGCAAGCAAATTATACTGCTTTTTCCGTATCGTAACACCCGCTCGACTTCAGGGCATATTTCCCGGTTATACAAGTAAATACTTGTAGTTGTGCACAGTATAAGCATGTTTAAAATTTGAAAATAAATGCATATTCCGAAATGTTTCAACACCATTCGATTGATATGCATATTCGCCAATAAAATCTTATAATTAGCTATAACAGTGCTCTCACACCATGTGCTGGTGAAGACGTTATCTGAGACATCATGCCAGTATGTGTGTAAATAGGCCTTTTATCATTGGAACTTACTTGGGCAAATGAAACGAAAAACAATTGTGGATGCGTTAAATTCAGACCAGGCAATTTTAGTACGTCTGCTTCCTTTTCGGGTTTAGTGCGCAAATAGGCATGATAGGCTGCTTTTAGGCCGCCATTATCCGCAATATTCTCACCTGTAACAATACGGTAAATTAGAGAAGGAAACTTTTTACTACAAGTAGCTCTGCCAATCGTTATCAATCCACTCACCTAACATTTGCTTTCCATTCAAATTGCGCCCGTTCATCTTATAATTGCTATATTGCTTCGCAATGCATTCCGATTTCTCGTTGAAGCGTGCAATACTTTTTTCATCCCACCAGCGGTTGATGTTGCCATATTTGTCATATTCACGTCCCTGATCGTCGAATGCATGCGTCAACTCGTGCCCCATAACAACTCCCATGGCCCCAAAATTTAGGCTCTTGGGGTTGTTGATATCAAAAAAGGGGGTCTGCAGTATGCCAGCAGGAAAAACAATTTGATTTTTCGTGGGTGTATAGTAGGCATTAACAGTTTGCGGTGTCATGCCCCAGTGGGTCTTATTCACCGGCTGATCTAAACGCTGCAGGTTACTCTTCAAATTATAGATTGCCACCTGTATGTTATTTTCAAAATACGCGTTTGCTGTGATAGTCAAGTCAGCATACTTCCGATCCAGCTCCTCATGGTTAAGTATATAATCGGGAAAGCCAATCATGTCCGAAATTTCGTTTGCTTTTTCGATAGCACGTTCACGCGTTACTTTGTCCACCCAACTGAGGTTCTGAAGGTTGAGCTTAAAGGCCTCGCGGATCTCGACAATCATTTGCTCAGCGGCGGGCTTGCTCTCTCCATGAAAGGCTTGGCGCACAAATATAGCGCCCACTGCGAATCCGACTACATTATTGGTATCAGAGACGCAATACCGCCAAATTTCCTCGCCGCCGTCCGACCCCATCAACGCTTTTCGTACGCCCTTGTACGCATCTCGAAAGGGCTTGGACAGGCATGAAGTGAGCGTTCGCACAGCTTGCCAAATTAAATAGTTGTTCAATGTTCTGAAATGTAGTTAGCTAATATGACCATTCAAAGTTAAACCATCATGATAGGGGGCATACTCACATTTTGCCTGCCTGCGTCTGCCCCATGGCCTGAATGATATGTGAAAGATTCTTTAGAAAATCGGGTGCATACACTACGACTACCTCCCGCTCAGTCACGCGCCGATTAACCAGCTGCAGAGCATCGTCGAAATGCTCTGTCCAGTTTAGAAAAGGCGAAAGCACTCCCAGCTCCTTCAATGTCATTGGATGATACATTGCTTCCTCATTCCGTCGATCTTCCAGTGGTATCGTAATATTGGCAAGTTTCTTTTCAAATTCAATGACCGCTTCCATTTGAACACGTGCATCCTTCTCGTTGGCCCCCAGCAGTACACATACCTTGGTCATATATTCAATATACTCACTTAGCACCTTGCGATGTATATCCGTTTTGTTATTATAATAATCAGCAGTTGGCAATGTTAGACCACCCTGATCTATTTGTATAACATGGCGAGATGAATTCTTGTCATCCTCGCCTATGGCCCAACCAAAAAGGCAATTGAAATTGTATCTGTGAAAGCACAAATATTTTATGACGAACTTAATACGCGTGATAGGCGATAATTCGCAAGTCTTACTTATTGTGCAGTATTTTCAGTGTATCGCCCAAATTCCATTTATCCACATTGTAGCCGCTTTGCGTAACATTCCATCCACCAATTTGGACAAGCAAATCGGTCATGGGCTTGGCACCCAGTTTTTCCATATGATCTTCTGAATCTAGGCATGACTCATAGTAGGTTTTAGCCTTACGCTCAGCTTCCGATTTGAAGCTCTTTGCTGGCCTCTCAAGAACATTTCGTATGATCAGCTGATTCATTTGCTCCAATTTGCCAAAAGTTCCCCACGTAGACTTCCCCTCCGGTATTGGATTATTCTTAATCCATTGGTTACTGCGAAGCGCAAATGCAACGGGCTTATTGACTTTTACAACTCTGTTCGCCTTCAAACATACCAAGCATATCCATAGAAGTCATCGCAGGGATCAACAGATGCATCAATGGACTTAAGTATCTCACTAGACGCAAATATGCAGTGCCCGTTGAGGCAGGGCAACTCATTGGCGCTCAAGCAGTCTATTCAAAGAGTAAATTAGTTATTACAAGTAGCTCGATGTGCTACGCAATACCTGACACTCACCCTTTTTATGGGGTTGTACATGTAGCACGTGTTTAGTCTTATCGTTTGATCCATTAAAAAATATCACTATAAGCAAGTTCAGAATTATGATGAACATGACAAAGGTGGTTATAAGCAGCCATTTTTCCGTTTTGTTGCGCGAACGCCAATTCCAAGTGGCCTGAAAATAGCAAAGTGAATAAGAAATATGTATATACAAGTACTATATGTAATTGTTTAACTCAATCCCAAATGCTCGTACATGAAAACTTAGTTGTTTGCGCAACAACCCAACATTATATCAAGGACAGGTCTAAATAAAAATTATTCAACTCCCGAAAGTGGCAATGCGAAAAATCAGCATAAATAGGACCGACCTAAGGAAAACCTACCCAACCCTATTGGCTGCAAATGTGGCATGGAAAGATGGGGGCGAAAGGGATACTACGCCGTAAATGACAGTAAATGAGAGATACCGAACAGTTGTCCAGATTCACTATTACTTTTATGCGCAATACCCTACTAGCATTACGCGGTAAATTGGTCATCTGTGCCCAAGGCTTAATCCGCCACAATTTTGTTAATAACATTTAACTTTCTCCTATGCCAACAATTTCATAAATACTACCTACGAATTCGATCCAAAAAAATTTTGTACCCCTTATCGGTAGTTCCTTAGACCTATAAGACATGTACTGGTGAGTTAGTGGCAGGAATGCTTCCGTTATTTAAGTTTTGATATTTTTACTCTGTACATGAAATGTACAGAAGTATATTAGGTTTGCGGGAGCTGAAAAATGTAGCAGGCTTGATCAGCATGACAAGACGAGTCGATCTATGTCTGTCTGTCTGTCTGTCCGTCTGTCCGTTCATATGAACACCTGGATCTCAGAGACTATAAGAGATAGAGACACCAAATTTTTCACAAAGATGCCTTATGTGTGTACGCTATACGAGTTTGTTTTATTTTTTTGATTTAATATGGGCGTTTTCCCGATTTTCGATCCAATTTTTTTTTTTTAATTTTCTTAACTTTTTTAAACTCTATAATTATTGTAAACATATGTACAGAGTATTTCAAAGTCGGGACACCCGACTTTAGCTTTTTTACTTTAAGATGTTTTTAAGAGTTTAAGATACTTGTAGTAGTAGATAGTTTTTAATATTATAAAGTTTAATATATATAGTGTATTTTAAAATCATAGAATTTTACATACATAAAACAAAAGTAGAGAATTACATATACATGTATATACTTGTATGTATATATTAATCGTGTCTGCAAATTGTTGTTTATGAAATATTATTAATGCAGTGTTGACAATATTATGTAGAGGGAATCGGGCGAAGATCTCAACAAAATATAATAAGCTCGTGTTGCCTTCCGAAAACCAGACAAATGGAAGGACGAACTTTTCCAGATCGATTCCTCTCCTTATGTTGATTAGGAATATATACTTTTGGGATAGGAGATGCTTCCTTCTCCCTGTTACATCCTTTTTAATCTTCTGGTACAGGGTATAAAAAGGGTTTGTACTTAGGAACAAATCTGTTTAGTTGCAGCATAAATATTTCAAAATCAAATTGGGCATTGAAAAGTGAATACTAAGGAATTTAATATTGATCGATTCAAATTTGTCTGTATACTCGTATATGAATGGATATACATTTGTATATAGTACTATATATGTACGACTATATACTTATGTATTTGAATGTGTGTACGTTTATTTTTCTGTACTAAAAATACCGCTGTCGTTAATAAAATGCTTATACATACAATTAAAAGAACCACAAGGAAATGCTATGATCTTTTAATCTTAAATATCACGCATGCTCCGCTTATAATTAATTGTAATTGCCCGAACAGTTAACCAATATCGCAAAAAATGATCAGAACATCAGACTCTCAGGACACCAGACCGCCACCATAGAACCAAATCTCCCCAGCACCTTTCGCTAGATTAGATAAATTATGCTACGTAACATAATATTTCACTAGATGCGAAAAGGACTGGGACTAGAGCTAGGCACCACCATTGCGACTACCTCTGCGTTGATTTTTCCCTCATCACAGACCCGCCGGGAGCTTCCCAAACCACTTGCTAGCCACCATGCACGAGTCGAGGTTAGTGTCTCTCGGCAGCAAATCTTATTGGATGCACACCACCGTGACAGTCATCGCTAAATTCTACATTGTTTCCCCTTCCTCAGCACGCGATGCTCATTTTTTTCTCGCTGCCATAAGACTCGCTGTGGCATAAAACGCCAAGCCAGGGCTTCACATTGGATGATTGATTTTGATTTACAATTCCCGGTGCAATAATTTAAAGCTTTCTCACTAACAATCGCCATCTGGATATCTACTTAAGATATAACAATTCAGCGAATGCCAGTTTGTGCTGTTTCTGCAACCAAGACATCGTATGTTACCACCAGATCGTTGCGATTCCACGATAGGTCTGCGAGACTATTCAGACTCGAATAGAGTTTTATAGTATGTACTGCTAAGACATCTATATCTTTCTCAATGCTTCTTGTTGCAACATTCATCTCTCATTCATGCTCTCCCTAAAGCTTTTCATCAAAACGACCAGCTTATATAATTGTGGCCGAAATTAGCTTGAGATCTTACTTGGGGCGTTTTGGTTCTGTTACCATATTTGCCATTGCTGTTCATGCACTTCGTTTGTTACTGTTGAGGTTGTAGAAAGGTCCTGAAAACAGATATAACGGTATTATGTTACTTAGGCCTAGAAATGAAAATAAGAAAGACGGATAGATAGATAGCAGGATAAATGATAGTCAGGCATGTTGAAGGGTATAGGAGCTTGAAATGCACTTGGGGTGAGTGGACTAAGCAATATGTTTTCCAGCATAATTTGTATTGAGTTCCATGAATGCTGCTGCGACTGGATCAGTGTAGCGCCGAGGAGCAGTCAAATCAATCAAAAGCCTGTGTTTCGGTTTTTTCGATACAAATACTAGGTATACCGGCTTCGTCAACCAGATGACAGCTTGGCAAGGGTTGAGTGGCCTCCAAGTACACTGTTGTCTTTCAGGATCTGTACTTGTATGATACAAGCAACACATATGTTCTGGATTTGTTTTGTGCTCCTAAGCTGCCTGGTAGGTGATCGATCTGTGATTGGAGTAGTCGACTTTGGCGCAGCCGTGAATTATTATTTGTTATGTTGGACGACGATTCCAATCTGGGCTTCCGTTTAAAAGTGGTCTGTACATGACATATTGCTTATTCGGATGACGGAACCTTGGCCATTTCAGGTTTATATTAATCCACATTGTAAGGAAGACGGCATGCGAACGGATGATAGGATATTGCTTAAGCTCACGGAAGAAAATTGCTAGAGGGTCAGATCCTTAGTAATTCAGAATCAGAAGAGAGTATAATAGCGTGCAAGACTATCTCGACTTCACATGGCGCTTGAATACATAAAAGTCAATTAGTAAAAGAGACAATAACCTCCTAAGGTATTTATTTTTAATATTGAAATGGATCTGCCATAGCTGAACTCAACTTATATCTGGGGTCATAAAATGCACCCCTGGTTAAGCAATGTTGTTGATGCCAAAAGGTCTGCACCTTCACCAAAAAGATATCATCGGGTGCGTGTTTATATAACCGATTTGGATCTGTAAGAGCTGCTCGTTGTTGGACTCCTCCCCTAATTCCGCCGTACAGGCGATTGGGTCGGGCGTAAAGCGATGGTTATATTGTTGGATCCCAGTGTTGGCGATTTGATAGTGGCCTGCATCTTGTTGGAGCAGGAGCCCTGCGGGAAGCGCTGTTGGCTTTACATACCTTCGAATTGAACCTGTCATAAACCTGACTCAGTCCGTTAAAAAAATTAAATAGCGAGATTATTGATAAAGTAGAAGCGCATGTTCGCTCTAGATTAAGATTATCGCGTGCTACTGCACTTGCGGGTGCAGCATGGGCTTTTGACCTTCTTGACGTTTCCCCTATTGTCGCCATCACTGGCAAATGCTATTAATGGCTCCAGGCTGTTTTTGTTAAATTCTGAGTAGCGAATTCCGATAGCAAGCCATATATATTTTGACTGGCAGCGGATGGGTCTTAACCTACTTGGCCTTTCGACCAGTTTGCGCTGGAACTTTTAATAAGAAAACAAGAAAGGAATGCTAAAGTCGAGCAGGCTCAACTCTTAAATACCCTGTACCACCCCATAAAAAAGTATTTAAATTAATTAATTAATTTAATTTAAATAATTAACTAAATTAATTTAATTAATTAATTAATTAAATATAAAATATTCCATGCATGCATACATACATTTACATTTACATCAGAATCGTGCCTTATGCGTGTTTGTGTATGCATGTATGCATTGGGCCTGGTTATATGGCTATAACTTTCTTTCCGATCATTCTATCATAATGAGAATTGGTATACGGTTATATAATAACTAACCTAATATGACTACCAAATTTTAGTTCAAAATTCTAAGAATTACGGGAGTTATAGAAAATCGGTAATTGGGGGGGAGTGGGGGGGTGGATCAGAAAAAATGAACAAACTCGTCCTTTCTCGGTCTCAGGAGAATCTGTTTACCAAGTTTGGTTATTCTAGCTCTTATACTTTCGGAGATCCTTGCGTTCATACAGACAGACAGACAGACAGACGGACAGACGGTCAGACGGACAGACGGACATGGCTATATCGACTCGGCTTGTCATGCTGATCAAGAATATATATACTTTGTGGGGTCTACCAAGCCTCCTTCTGTGTGTTCCATGTGCACTCGCACAAAACTAATATACCCTTGTACCCTTTGGGTACAGGGTATAACAAGAAAGGAATGCTAAAGTCGAGCAGGCTCAACTCAAAATACTCTGTACCACCCCACAAAAAATGAATAAAATAAAATTAAATTAAATACAAAATATTCAGAATATATATACTTTATGGGGTCGGAGATGCTTCCTTCTGCATGTTACATACGTTGCACAAACCTAATATACCCTTTTTACCCTACGGGTACAGGGTATAAAAAGTTTGATCCTTTGGTATTCGAACTCACATTTACATAGGAATTGTGTCTATGTGAGTGTATGCATGTCTAGGCGTGTCTATTCGTGCCTGTGTAAGCATGTGTGCAGTACAAAGTTGAAGCAAAACAACAACAACATTTCCTGGCAGTACTTGGGAGTGATTATATGCATGGCTATAACTTCCTTTGAAATCGGCCTATCATGCAACTTATATATACTTATATATACGGAGAGAAATTCCAAAATACACATTTTTTGCGTAAGGCATATTGGAAAAAATTTTGGTGTCCCTAGGTTTTATAGTCTCCGAGATATAGGTGATTATCAACAAAATAAAAAAACTCGTATAGCGTAAAATTTGAAAGTATGCGTCGACATTTGGAGGACGCCTAAAGCTGGTCTACAATATATTGAAAAGTAAATGATTATTTTCATTTGAAATATTATGGAAAACATCAACTCAACGAATAATTTGTGTGCGTAAAAAAGTGTTAATTCTAAGGTTCCCAGTAGCTCATGATTAATTGACAGTAAAATATATTAATAAATGACTGGCATCTTAAAGCTCTGCACCAATTTCTGATGATTTCTGGTGTCCCTAGGTCTTATAGCTTTCGAGATATTATATATATATTATACGAATGGCGTTACGGAAAAATCCCCATAGGAGGAAGTGGGGGGGGGGGGGGGGAAAGGCGAAATCAAAAATATAAAACAAACTCGTATAGCGTACACACATAAGGCATCTTTGTGCAAAATTTGGTGTCTCAAGCTCTTATAGTCCCTGAGATCCAGGTGTTCATACGGACGAACAGACGGACAGACAGACAGGGCTAGATCGACTCGTCTTGTCATGCTGATCAAGAATATATACACTTTGTTCGGTCTGCCACGCCTCCTTCTGACTGTTACATTTTTCAGATCGCGCGAACCTAATATACTTACTCTTGTACATTTCATATACAGAGTATAAAAAGAGGTTTGCTGCAAAGTTTCATCACGATGGTCTACAACTTTGGTTAGTATTACAACGTCATCCATGACAACATGGGCCTCCCCGCTGACATAATCGATCAAGGCATAATCGATCAAGATTTTTTGCATTACAAATTTTGTTTGAAATTTATTTTTAGCTTCTATAATTATTGTTCTCTTAGGTTACACGTATTTCAAAGATGGGACACCCGACTTTTCCACTTGGTGTACCCTGTACCTGAAGGGTATATTAGGTAAATGCAAAGTGTGTAACAGGGCGTTCCTAGGGCTCACCCCCTTTCCACGCTACAGAATTTCAATAATAAAAACACAATTCCTGACTCTTCTTTTAAATTTCATTAAAATTTAAATGTTACTGTCGGGCTTGCTCGAGTTCAACGTTCACTCTTTTTTTAATTATTTTGTATGTATATGTATCTTCTGTATTGCTAATGGTAACAAAATACTAAGAAGTGCCGTTAATTTTTACCGATATGACTAAAAATAGCTTGCCAGCGAAATAAGTAGAATAACGACAAATAACAGAAAACATTTATTTAATATATTCAATATTTTAAAATACTATTTTTAAAACCTTACTACCGGTTCAATAAGGGTTTTTAAATCGAGCCGTTATTATTATTTATACCCATAATTATACCGGATTCCATTGAATTCATTAGGTTTTGAATAACTTTTCGATAAATTTAAGCCCATTATATACAATCTTTAAGGGCCTTTAAAGTATTAAGCTGCCTTCTTTTGACATACAACTTACTACATTTGGTTTTATAGTAAGTCTGGGCTGCGAGCAGTCCACTTGAACACATCAATATTTCATTCAGCAAAGAATATTTAAATAAGAACAATGAATTGAATATGTAAATATTTATTTGTGTTATGCAATTTGTTTCAGTGTCACTATTACGGGAGTTTAATGAAATCACTAATTGCGGTATGTATAGGGAACAAAATTCTGAAATACACATTCTTTGCATATTCATATAAGGTACATTGGAATAAAATTTGGTGGCCCTAGGTCTTGTAGCCCCTCCTCCCAGTCATCTGAAGCAAAAATGGGTCAATTTCGGAATTTGAGATAATAAGCTGAAAATTGATATACACCTTTTTTTGGCGTTCTATATGTTTCATAAATTATCGTGTCCGCGTCTTAAGATATTCAAGATTTGCTGCAAAGTTTCATTACGATAGGCTTACAGCTACGGGCAGTTTTTGAACAGGCAGATAGACAGACGAACCGAGTCATTACGGTTGATTGTGATTTGGATTCGTCTCGTCATGCCATGTCAAGTTATTAAAAATATGAAAAATACTAAGTCGGGCATCGTTTGCGCTTTAAAAGCAACAAGATCGTTCCACCGTCTGAACAAAGAGTTAATCTAACCTTTGCCTGTGTGGGTTTGCTTTAAATGTCTTTAATTTTAGTTCCTTGTAGCTTTTGAGTTGTATTATTTATTTTAATGTGCATTTTTTTCATAATACTATAAAAGAGCATATTTGAATATCAGATGTTCCAGATCAAGTTGCTTAAGGGCAATATGCAAGCAACATGTCTGACAATACAAGTATGTACGTGAATTGTTTCACTTTTTTATTTGCTTTCATTGTTAACATTGAGCCGAATAAATTCTGATACTAGAGCTGCTTTTTAGGTCACTGCCATGGGAATTGAGTACACCTCCAATTATTCTTATTTACTTACCCGCGCTGTATGGTATCTTATCTGAATACCAGTATGCCCAGTCGCTTCGTTAAGCTGGATGCCGCCAATTGAACTTGAATCATCTTCCGTAAATTCAGTTTGTTTGTAGCGAGTCATCTGCAAGATTGTTTTTTTGTATTTTTTGCATTAGACTCTTGATAAGCTGTGCATGTATATGATAAGAATAATAAAAGCTTGTGCATTGCGCAGGTCCATAATTTGGCAATAGGGGGAGGGTGTTTCAAAGCGACAACGCAAATAGAGAATTGCGTCAATCTCCTTCACCCTAATCCACTTTTATTAACAAATTTGTGCACATGTGTCGCGCCAGCGTAAATAAATGCAGATTAAAACGAGTATCACGGTACCCTGTACCTGCCCCTCTCTCCACTAAAGCATACTTTGTTGCACCAATCGCTCATATGAACTAAAAGGCCTACAAATACAAATGTTTCTGGTACTGGTAATGAGCTTTTAATACTACTTGTATAAGTGATTCACTAACCAACCTATAGAAAATATAGCATAAATATACCAATAGCAAAAGCCAAAAATTAAAAAGTATAACCGTCTAACAAGTTTCAAAAACGTATAGTTTCTACACAACACAACATTTTATAATGACCTTTTTAAAAGCTTTTACTACCTATGAATTATAGGTAGTGATTAGCTTGGTCGACATTTTTCGTATATAAGTACATATCCCTATATAAATATAGCTTTCCTCTACTTATATTTAAATTTCGACATAGATTTATTTATAAATTCGCTGTAGCATCCGAACAAAAAATGTCTATCGAAAGTGGAATAAGCAAATTGTCCATTTCCGACTTAGGATAACCTGTATAAAAAGGTTGGTGACTTTAGCTTTTGTACGTTCGGAGATGCCTACACTCATACACACATAAATCTTCCAATATGATACTTTTGGACAAAGTTAAGTCTCTAAATTATTTTTTCCCATGATCTATATGTTTCTATGAAAAATAGTCTTTCGGTGTTGAAGTTATCGAACCGAAAGATACATCTATCATCAGCATGACTAGACAACTTCATATAAACATTTCCGCCTATACTTCTGTCCGTCCATATGAACATAGGGAACTGTTAAGCTACAACAGCTAAGAACATCAAACTTCGTTTGTACTCCTCTCTTATTTATCAGCAGATCGAGCTTACCTACCGACCAAACTATACTATATATAGCCTCAATATTTTATATATGTACTTAGGAATGATCGGTGCAATGTATCTTTTAGTAAAATAACTTTTACCATTATTGTAACACCATTTGAACCCCAGTAATCGGAATCGGTGCACTATGCAACCACAATACAATAATGTCTTAAAGTTGTCAGATACGGGAAAAGATCATATACATATACATATGTATAAGTATCGAGCACTCACGACCTGAACGCTGCCTCCTTTTGCCTGCAATTAGCGCTTGGGCTTTCTAGTACGAGTTCATAATCCATATCGGGTCTACACTTGGACTAATTCGAAATGCAATAAAATAAGATTGTTTAATTTAGTTTGTGGTGTACAGTTTGAAGTCTATCGGGAGAAAAACACCTATTAGTTATGCAGTACTTAAGGGAAAATTTAAACCAATTATGGCAATTCTGTCCCCAATGCTTCGCCAAATGATGATGGATCAAGACATGGGTCCACCATGCCTTCTACTTGATATTGTATACATTGTAGCCCCTAGGATAGCTAGTTGTCCCTTAGGGTACAGCGTATAATTATTGCCGCGCTTAATAAGAACTCAGAAGGACGGGGGAAAATCAACAAAAGGCGCAAAAACAAAAGATGCGAAAAGTCCATTAAATATGCATGCATTTTTTCTTCCAAGTATAATTCATTTCACCCATTATAATCCGAATAATACATAAATATTTTTGGTCGAATTCCGACTACTGGGAAGTACCAGCGAGAAATATTCTATTTAAAGAATTACAATAAGCAAACAAGCAAAATAGAAAGGGAAACCAAATCTGTTTAGATTATAGGTGGGGTTGGCTTTTCGCGCCTTGTCCTCCCTTTCTGCGACCATGCCTAAGGCACACCTACCGTACGGCAACTGGTGAGCCACATATGTATTTAGCAAATGCAAAAAGTAGATCAATTTTTCACAACTATTTCATTATTGTACAAACACGGATGATGGCAATAGCAAACAACAAGCGTCAGACTTAGAGAGGTCAGCGAAAACGACGCGCGTCTGTGCTCATCCCATGACCGTTGAATGTGAACTGAGAACGGCCGCGATTTCCAGGAGAACGTTGGTGGCAGGCGGCAACAGTCGAAGCAAACAGCTGTGGAATCTTCTCCTCTGCTTTGAAATAGTTTTGCAGTGTAAACAAATTAATTGGCTCAATGATGTTATACATATGCATGTATATATGTACATAAGATTGAATAAAGAGGTGTATGGATGTGTGCGTCAAATATTCAGAGTCTGTTGTGTATTGTAGTATTTTCGCTTAATATTTTATGGCTTATAATCACACTTGCATTAATTAATAAGCACAACCCCAATTTAAGTACAACAAAAAATATATTTTGGATCAAAGTTTTTGATTTGGGTAAAATAAATATATGTATATATAAAATAAATATATGAATCAGAAAATGGGGCTTTTTTCAGAAGGCACAATCAGAATCGCAGAAGCATGATCGAAGCTACGAGTTCTTATAAAAAGACAATTTTTAAAAAATATTCGTTTGAAATGTATTTAAATTCTGTTTACACAAATGCTCAATTGTATGACTTTAGTTGCCTACCGCTAATAGATATTCACAATGACTCGTAAAGTAATGGCCAAGCCATGTCCCATTAAAAAGGCTATTAAAAACAATTTAAAAAGCATTTAACAAATAATAATGACGATAAATGCGAGTTTCAAAAAGTGTTCATTATATCGATCCCAGTCCTTTACTATGGTTCAGAGATGAGCGCAGCAGAGTCAAACCGACATTACATACAAGTAGACATAAAAATGTCAATGCGTATTGGACAGTTTACACTCAAGAATGATACCATCTAGCCGCATATTGAGTTCACACAGTTTAGTTTGTAGAATACAAGACAAATTTCTAAAAGCAAACAAAGAGTGCTTATTGAAACTAATACCTTTTCTTAGAAACAACTGATTTGAATGATAATTCATTGACTTGGGCTTGACTTTGTTAATGGTTACAAGATTGACACAAAAATCAAACTGCTCGATGAATTCCACTAATTTTAAATCACTTCCAAAAAGACGCTCGAATATGTTTTACCAAATATGTCCTAAGTGATTTCAGACCGGAAGATCAAGCAAATTCATGGAAATCGTTACGGATAATGAAGCTTAGCTTTATAAGTCAATGTACTCAAACGAAAGAGATCGATAATGATAGGAACACTTTTAAGACAAATAGCTACAAATTTAAGGAATATACAAGTAATACAATGAACACAAATACTTATAAAATGCCTGTCTACTGAACAACTATCACTGAACAACAGACACTGATTTATTCTTCAAGACATGTCGGTCTGAAATTATACGTGGACTAATTACTCCTCCAAATTTTTGCATAGGCCTGTCTCATCAAGGACAAACTTACTACCCTTGCACTTTTAAATGAAAAATATAAAAGCAGTTTATTAATAACCTAATTACAATCCAAAATATTTAGTTTAAATTTGTAAAACCTGCAGCTTTACCTATTATAGTAAATCAAGTCCAATAGCACGGTTTAAGTGTTTATCAATTCTCCTTTCATATGCGATTTAAATTCTTCAAATATCTCAAAAGTTACAGTTAAGGAGGCCGCTTCTGTTTTACATCGTCAAGGTTTTATATATTTGTATGTATAGAATACAGTATAGAGATATTTGTATTTGACTGACAAGCAGAATAAGGTTTGTAGCTGCTTGTTTTTATGTATTTATGTACATATACTTACTACTATCACAATATGCAACTGGATGGTTGGGTGTTTGTGTGTGTTTTCGTTAAACATTTGTAGTTCGTAACGGTATACTAATAGAAATATAGATACACATATGGTACACGAAAAAAGACCTACGCAACAGAGCGTGATTGAATGCGATGTTAGTTGTATATGTAATTATATGTATGCGTGAATGTTATTTTATTATTTAGTTAATAAATAAATGTTTGCATTTAATACTTACTACTACAGTGTGGAACGAGTCAATAAAAGCTTATACGTAAAAAGTTTCCTTGCCCATATGGGACGCACAGCATTAAATCGCCGAAGCTACACTCTCTCTTACACCACATTTGTTGCATGTGTATGTAGGCTGTGTGTTTGTTTGTATGTGTTTGTGTGTGTGTGTGTGTGGTATTAGGGATGGGGGATATGTGCTCTACTGATTAAATTAAACAGGCAATTATAGTTGTAATTTAATTTTTTAAGTAACTGATGTGGTTCGCTGTCATCGACTGCTCGCCCGCCTTTCTTTAACTTTGCTGATAACGCTCAACACAACATAGCACACACACAGAAGTCGGTTATATCGTATGGCCAAACACATGCTTGTACGCAAATACCCACTCTCATTAAACACATGGATATACACAACTAGCGCACAGGCGCGCGCTCAACTCCCCGCTCTTGCCTACCTTTGCGCTCATCTTTTGTATGCGCCTGAATAGATGCAAGGCTTTTTTCCACGTTGTTGTTGGACTTTACAGTTTTTGTTTATTAACACTTAGTTCGGTTAGCATTTAAGCAAATACTTATGTTTGTATATCGCCCATTTATATTTATTCGATTTTTGGTTTATTTATTTTTTTACTTCAGTATTAAATGCACAATTCTGTGTTCACTGTGCTTTATAGCCAAATTGAACGAGATAGTGCTGTATACATACATACATATATACACGTATGTATATGTACATTAACATATGTGTGCATACAATTTTATTAGTATGTATTATATATTTATGGATTTGGTATATACATAGTATGTATTCGCACTGTTGCATATACATTTTTACGTATATGGGTATAAATTAATAAACAAATAGATACGTATATTGTATGCACAAATACGTGTATATATAAAAGTGCATATATGTAGTACATGCATATCTGTAGCTACCTATTTATTAATTTATTACTTTATTTATCTAGCAGATGGCTGTGCCACCCAAGTTACAGAGATGCTACTCCTCTGGCTTGTGCTGCAAATGAATTTACACCAATGAATGGTACAAGAATGCGAGCACCGGCGCGAGAGCCGACATTTAAGCAACCACTACGAACAGGAACATACAAAACGCCAGGGCAATGCAAAAACGAAAAAAAATACGCACACGGACGGCAACAGTTCCGATGATGACAATGACGATTGCGACTATGGCGTCGTTTAACTTACCGCTTTTTCCAGCGGTAGTTTTTCTTACATCTTGTGCGCATCATGTACAGCGCAGTTGTGGCCAGCGTTGCCAGAGCGTTGCAAGGATTGGTTACTTGTAGCCAGGTGGCGCCATTTTATAATAATGCGACCTACCTATGTACCTTTTGCTCAAATGTTTCGCCATTGAAGGCTTAAGAAACATTGGAAAAATCTTATCAATGGCATCTATGCATAATTTATGCTAATCGGAGGCAAACAAATTCAAACTAAAGTCTTACAGCAAGGCGTTGTTTTTTAAAGCAATACATTTTTGGCATTATTTAGTTGACCTTTGTAGATCATTTAATATTTGCATATAAAAATGTTATAGAAACACTAACATGGAACACTTTCTGTTTTTTTATAGCCTGTACCCAAAGGGTGAAAGGCTATAATAGTTTTGTGCGCATGTAACACACAGAAGGAGGCGTGTCAGACCCCCCAAAGTATATATATTATTGATCAGGATGACAAGACAAATCGATATAGCCATGTCCGTCTGTCCGTCTGTCTGTATGAGCGCAAGGATCTCAGGAAGTACAAGAGTTAGAATAACTAAACTTGGTATCGAGGTTGACCTAAGTCCTAGACAGGTCAAGTTTATTTTAATAGCCTGTACCCAAAGGTTAAAAGGCTATACTAGTTTTGTGCGAATGTATGTAACACACAGAAGGAGGTGTGGCACAAAGTATATATATAATATATATATGTATATTATTGATCAGGATGACAAGACAAGTCGATATAGCCATGTCCGTCTGTCCGTCCGTCCGACTGTCTGTATGAGCGCAAGGATCTCAGGAAGTACAAAAGCTAGAATAACTAAACTTGGTATCGAGGTTCCCCTAAGTCCTAGGCAGGTCAAGTTAATTTTTTTATTATGATACACCCACTCCCCCGCAATTCATGTTTTTTATAACTTCCGTAATTTTTGAAATTTTGAAATCAATTTTGGTAGTTACATCCAGTTAGTGCTTATGTGTCTGTGTGCCAAGGTCCATGGTCATGATAGGTCAATTCTGAAGAAAGTTATAGCCATACATAACATCGCTGTCCATGCTCTGCTTGTTGCTCTGGCCGCAGCGCAGCCCGCACCTGTTGTTGTTGCTGCGGCTTTGGTTCAACTTTGTGCTGCATACATACATGCATATAAACACGCATAGACACGATGATGTAAATGTATGCTGTTAAAGGTGTCTTCTGTGTACGTATTAAATAAATTTTCTTTATTAATTCAATTTTTTTTTAATAATTTGAAAGAAAGACGCTGCTGAATTAATATGGCGTATAATGGTATATACTTTGTGAGGTCTGCCACGCCTCCTTCTGTCTGTTACATTTTCAGCTCCCGCAAACCTAATATACTCTTGTACATTTTATGTACAGAGTATAAAAATAAACTTGACCTGCCTAGGGCTTAGGGGAACCTCGATACCAATTTTAGTTATTCTAGCTCTTGTACTTCCTGAGATCCTTTCGCTCATACAGACAGACGGACATGGCTATATCGACTTGTCTTGTCATCCTGATCAATAATATATATACTTTGTGGGGTCTGCCAGGCCTCCTTCTGTGTGTTACATACCTTCGCACAAAACTAGTATAGCCTTTTACCCTTTGGGTACTGGCTATAAACATAGCTGAAGTTATGTATCAAAATGATCACATAGACCCGAGTATTTTTATACCTTGTACACGATGGGGAAAAGGATATAGTACGTTTGTGCAAACGGGGTAACAGGGAGAGGGAAGCATCTCCGACCCCATAAAGTATGAATATTTTTAATCAGTATGATTACATTGACCAAACTTGGTATTTAGACAAGTTTAGTCCCAAGGCAACTCGATTTTATTTTAGTTTTCCCCCTTTTCACCCGCTACAGAATTTCGTCAATTTCATAGCTATACTATACAAGTATGAACTAAACTTTGTATACGCAATAAATACAGTAGAATCTCGAAAAAATTAAAATCACTCGGATAATTTTTTCAAGCTGTTCTTATAAAAACGTGGAAGAAGACAAAACAAAGTGGGATAATGATCAATACGATAGTGAAGACGGCATTCCGTTGTCTGAATTGAATAAATAATTTCTTACCACGATACCGCTCAAGAGGTTCAATAGTTGATGTCATAGGTGGGTAATAACTTAAACATCAACATTGATGACATTGAAAGTTGAAGCAGGGCTCAAACTACGGAAGAAGACGTCGATACGGGTTACTTATCGAGTAAGACATTCCTTTTTCTTATTTTTGCTTCTAATATGCGCGCATATAACGCACCTGCGAAAGTTGCTTGGGTACAGGGAATTTCTCTGCCGGGCTTGCTCAACTACAGCCTAGGGCGTATGCAAAAAATTTTTACATCAAAGTCGACCACACGTTCAATATTAAATCGCACTATTTTACCATATAATGGAACTGAGTTGGATATGTTCAAGTTTTTTCATTGATCATATGCATAAATTATTTTTTAAATGCATCGTGCATTATTTAATAAAAATCTTAATTTTTTGGCCCCCCCTTTGGTAAAAACTGCGTACGCCCTTGACTACAGCTATTGTTTATTTCAGATCAGTGTTCAAATTCTGCTCATATATGTGCTCATATCGACGAGCAAATCATAAGCAAATACCCAAGAGTAATTTTTAAAGGAAGTAGCGCATGCTCGAGGGTTAAAAGAGAACACTCAGGAGTGAGGAAGTAAGAAACCCATGCCATGGCGTCGCCGCAGGTACATGCATATGTACAATTTTTATAGATGACAGGCTTGTGTGGTTCTGATAAGGCGAAATGTGTGTGGATATGAATGTTGTTTTAATCAATTTCATTACACGGTAGATTGGTTCCTAAAAAAGTCGTATTAAAACAAGAGAGAACGCTACAGTCGAGCAAGCCCGACAGTGTAATACCCTGTACCCAGGTAAACTTCCGTCACTGATATGTGCCCATAGCAGCAGCAAAAAGAGGAAGAAGAAGAGCAAACTTGTTGCTGCAGTTTGGTGGGGTTGTACTGGCGAGAATTTGTTTCGCTAATAACTTTTCTTAGAATTGACCGAATTGAATAAATTTTGAACAACAGTAGACAATTATATATAAATTATGTGTTTGGTTTAGGTAGCATTTGAAATGTGGGCGCTATTGACGAAATTCTGCAGCGGGGGAAGGGGGGGAAAATTAAAAAAAAAAAAATAAACTCGTCCTTACTCGGACCTAGGAGAATCTGGATGCCAACTTTGGTTATTCTAGCTTTTATAGTTTCTGAGATCCTCGCGTTCATCCAGACGGACGGACATGTCTAGATCGATTTCTCTCGTCATGCTGATCAAGAATATATATACTTTATGGGGTCGGAGATGCTTCCTTCTGTATGTTACATACTTTGCACAAACCTAATATACCCTTTTTACCCTACGGGTACAGGGTATAAAAACCGTGTAAAAAAGACATTGATGATATGCAAAATGAATCGTGCAAAATGGAATAAAATCGTGTACATTTTTATACCCTGTACTCGTAGGGTAAAAATGGTATATTAGGTTTGTGCAAAGTATGTAACATACAGAAGGAAGCATCTCCGACCCCATAAAGTATATATATTCTTGATCAGCATGACGAGAGAAATCGATCTAGACATGTCCGTCCGTCTGTCCGTCTGGATGAACGCGAGGATCTCAGAAACTATAAAAGCTAGAATAACCAAAGTTGGCATCCAGATTCTCCTGGGTCCGAGTTAGGACGAGTTTATTTTATTTTTTTTAATTCCCCCCCCCCCCCCCCCCCCCCCCCCCCCCTTCCCCAGCTACAGAATTTCGTCAATAGCGTCCACATTTCAAATGCTACCTAAACCAAACACATAATTTATATATAATTGTCTACTGTTGTTCAAAATTTATTCAATTCGGTCAATTCTAAGAAAAGTTATTAGCGAAACAAATTCTCGCCAGTACAACCCCACCAAACTGCAGCAACAAGTTCGCTCTTCTTCTTCCTCTTTTTGCTGCTGCTATGGGCGCATATAACTCAGAGACGGAAGTTTACCTGGGTACAGAGTATTACACTGTCGGGCTTGCTCGACTGTAGCGTTCTCTCTTGTTTAATTTTCAAGCCGTGTTAAATCAAAACCGTGTAAAAACCGAATTAGGTGTATTTAACTTTTGAAACAACTCATACAATTTATCATTTCCACACGTGTATGTGTGGTTGGCCCACATGTTTTTTGGGAATATACATATGTAAATAGATGAGCGGTTTTGAAGTTTTAATTTTAAACTTAAGCATCAGGTAGCTTCGGCACCCCTCCCCTCCCTGATGATGCCGGTTGGCTTCGTGGGTGCTTTAATATAATGGCCTGCGAAGATGATCGATCTGTGGAGCTGCATAGACAGGCCATCGAGAAAGTCGGGGAGGTCTATCCTGGCGCATAGCTTTCTGTGGTGGACCCCACAAGAAGGCTACCATGCAGGTGGCACTCCTCCTAAACAACGCATAGAGCAGCTGTCTAGTAGCCATAGGCGCCTAAAATATGGCTTCGACAAGGTCAAGCTGAATGTGTACAAGGCTTACACCGAAGCCTGGTAACTAACAATGACAACATCGAGCCCCCCAGCGACGATGATATGTAAATCAACGTAGAGGATCCCAGCGGGGAACTGCGCGACGACATATCAACAGGCTCGGACTACGGAAGGAACTGAGGAGGTTGTATACGGAGCAGGAGCTTCTCGACGTTACTGACGGTGAGGCCGATGCGACCCTTCTCCAGATTAACCTGCACCACAGCAAAGCGGTGTCCGCGTAACTATATTATTAGTAGTAATTTGTTGATTTGCAACAAAGGTAGTACCCTCGCCTTTATTGCAAGGAACTGTAGCGAGGTGTTGGACGCTTGCGCCTGACACCCTAGCTGATAAAATACAAGAATGGAGGGTCTTTGAAGAACATTCGTTCTCGGACCATAAATTTATTACTTAGCTATTGGGACCTGATGGGGCTTCCTTCCTCGTGTGGTTCACTGAATCTACCAGGCCATCATTCGACCGATCGCACTTCATGGGGTTGTCGTTTGGTGGCCGGCGCTGGACAATTCCTCTGGACTCTCTGCCCTGGATGATCTCTCAGAGCTCAAAAAGATTGAATTTGGGAATATAGTCAATTTCATTATAAGTACCGGATGGCTGAAGTAATGCAGTGGAGATTATATGGTATCACAATGGCCCTTTTATGCCTAAGCGTGGGGTAAACACCGTCACCTCGGGCATTGCAACCTAACCTAACCATTCAGTCCGGCCCTATTCAATATTGGAGATAAAAGTGTTTATCGTTTAATGAAAAAGCGTCGTCCCTGTTGGCTTTGAGTAAAGTTTAATTAAAATTTAATATAAGAAAGACAGTACCTAGTATATTATCCAAATAGCGGTTAGTAAAGGGACGACTTTATAAAGCTAAGAAAGGGAAACTCAACAACCGCTTTTATGAAAATATCGAGTGCGAAAGGTGGTCGTATGGTACTTATGCTTATTTAAAAATCATGCCTAATGCATGCATAAATTATAATGTGTAACGTAATATATTATAAACACTCAGTTCGGTCCCCCAAGCTATCTATATAAGGTGATACTTTGTCTTGGTCGATGGTTTCAATGTTTGTCTGACTTTTCGCGATAAAGTTTACGGAAACGGTGGCAGAAGAACTGCATTTAAAATCAATGCTTCCATTGGTCTACTTGGTAATACATTTCTAAAAGTCAGCCGCAGGTTCATAGTAGTGGTAGTTCAATACTGTAGGTACAAGCACTACTCAACACAACTGATCTAAATTAAAATCCAGTATTAAATTAAATTAAATTAGTTATAAAATCAAAAACTTGCTATGTGGGAGAGCTATACAGCGCGAAATAGAAATGTTTGATGAGGCAAAAAAAAAGCACCTCAGTAAGTTTGTTTGCTACTTATTTAATAAGTGTACTCCCAATATTTTTCCCACTGCTACTTATATCACTCAATTATTTCTTTGTAAAATAAAACTGCATCCACCGAAAAATAGTTGGCAAGTGTATATTTTAGACCTAGGGGGTGATCAAGGTGAAAAGAACGATCGCTATAATGTGCGAACAACTGACTAAGTCTCAGTCAAATCGTCGCTCCCATTAAATTCTTATCCGCAGAAGTACGCCACACCTGCCGTTAACCCATCTTCCATTACTTTAATACCACACAATATACAATCAGTACATTAGTATATCTAAAATTACATAATCATTGATACAAATAATAATCAAATGTACACACACACATTATATATAATCATATATATAATTAAATATATGATCCTCCCTCCCTATTATACTATGCATATATGTACATTTTAAGATAAGTTTATAAACATAGTACATATACCATATGTTCAATAAACTTCATCAACGCAATAAAGGGTTGGCTTGCTCCAAAAAGATCAGCAGTTCCTGCGACGAATTTAAATAAATATTTGGAAGTGTATTTAAATACATTGTATGTATATTGTAAATAATTTAGTTAATTTCTTTTTAATTTTGAAGTTCTCTTTTTAAATATTACTCAACTTAACTGGATGTTTTCAATGACTTACATTTAATACACTTCATAATAATCAACGTAGCTAAAATTTAGTTAAATTAAAGAATGCAAAAATGTACACATATTATGTTGTATTATTTTGTTATTAAGTATTATTGGTTTGTGTGTTTCACATTTTACTTTGCTTGTCGGTTAAGCTAATAATTTACATCTAAACTAAACGCGATTCCGGTATATATAAAAGACATAGAGAGACACAGACAAAGTTCTAGAACGAATGCTCCCGTTCTAATGGTATGGCTTCAAATGCTCTACATAGTTTTCGGGTATCAGGCCCGTCTTCCCATTCAGTGTGCCCTGCAGCCATCCGGGCTCATGTGAGAAGCGCACTGCAAAAGCAATAATATATTAATTCAAGAATATTATGGACTTAACTTTTAGAGTTACTAACCATTGGTTATAATTTGATTTGGTTCAAAAGATAGTTCGCCTTCGCTCTCACCCATGCAGGCATAAAGGGTGCGAACACGTCTAAAAGAGAAATGAAGCAAATAGTTTTATTAGATTAAGGACTTTCTTGTTATGTATATATTATGCTGACCTCGAATTAATAGTATGTAAATAATTATTTTATAAAACACAAAAAAAAAGTTGTGATTTTACTTTAGTCGATTTCGTTAGAAAGACAATAATATCGAAAGTAGACATATAATAATCCAATGTTTGTTATCAGACTTTGAAAGGTATGGCGCCAGGGAAGCCTCGAAAGCTCAAATTACTTACAATCGTTCACTACACACAGAGTCGCTATATCTCTCGCTGGAAAAGTCACTAAGCATTAAGTTTCTTACCTCGTCAAGAAGGTTTTTATATTGATAAATCATTTATTCGTACAAACAACAATGTTTTTCGATAAAATGGCTTTTCAAAACCTTATCATTCCTATGCCAGCTTATGATATTGTAGTGCCATTTGGATCAAACTCGATTACATGTTAAATCCAGCCGGGCTTAGCAAACGGTGAAAATAATTCGCATAGGAACAGACAGAAGGGCAGCAGAAGATGGCTTTATCTGTTCGTCCCATCCGGCAGATCATTTATGTACCTAAGTATAACATGGCGTCATATCAGCATGTCTTTTTCTGGCCGTTGCAAATAATATATCAAATGCCATATACACTTTGCGATGGTATAAAAGCGGAAATGCAGGAACATTCGATTAAAGAAAATGGAATGGCTTCAAAGCGAGCAGGCATCCCATTACATCGATGGTTAGCTGAGCTGGCATAGGGTATGAGTATCATGAAACGGAATCCACAGACGAAACGAAAGAAGAAATAGACGGGAAAAGCGCACTCAGTGTTCTCACCGACCCATTTACGCAAAGAGAAAGAGAGAGAAACAGAAAGAGAGAGAGGGAGAAACATCAAAGAGAGTGAGACAGAGTGAGAGAGCTGCTGCTTGACCTTGTAAGAGCGCTCCATACTGTGGTGCACAGTAAAGCAGCCTAGGCTGCGATTTATTTACACATAGCCCAGGACAAATTATATAAAAACCATGGATAAGGACAAAGAACCTGCAAGCGTAAATTGTAAAAGCCCAACTGTACCACGAGCCTTCGCGGGTATCCCTTTCGCAATACGAATCTCACAGACTTTTCAGCTTGTATATCGTTTACGTTCGAAGAGCCTTAAGCTGATAGCTTTTGTTAATCCCATTTTCCAGAGGCTTATAAATAATAACAAAATATGAAGTATTCTGAAATCCAAATGGAAAAAGTGAAGTTCTCAATTTCTGCGTATGTATCTATGAATGAATGTACATATATGTTTATGGCAGCATGTTTCGAGAAACAGAAAGCGTTGAAGCACCCAAGCACTTGACTCACGCAGAGAAGCCATTAGGCGCTTTCAATAATTTCTTAATCTTACGATATTCCTTCGGAAATGTATGGCAATCTAAAGATTGGTCCTGCAGCAGTAAAGTAGTGACACGATCAGCATACTGAGGAATGTTGTTACAAATTGTTCATGTAAAGCTCTACCCAATCTGTTTTTAAAGCACAAACGCGTATCCGGCTGAATCAAAACCAAGAAGTTAAGCCTTAGAAGGGAAACCTGCACGTTGGGCGCAAAAAAAGTTCCAGCATTATTTGTTGGGCATGTGCCTCAAATTGGAGATGAGTTGCATCGGTTTTAAGCAAACAATATAATCAGAATATTCTATTTACAAGACTTAATATGTATTTGTACAAGGTGCGTTCGAAAGTAAACAGGACTTTTTGAATCTAGCGCCCCCTGGTGGCGCTATCTATATGTCGACTGGTGCGTTAGAATCTGCTATCTTTATCGATTTTCCAGTGAGAATTTCATGACATTTCATCGATTGGAAGTGAAGTTATTGCGTTTTAAGTGTCAGTATGTTTGTGTTATCGGTGCGAAAATGAGCTTCGAACAAAGAGCCAACATTAAATTTTGTTTTAAAATTGGTAAAACTTATACCGAAACGTTTCAATTGATGGAACAAGTTTATGGAGATGATTGCCTATACCGTAGCAGAGTGCACGAGTGGTTTCAACGTTTTCAAAGTGGTCGTGAGGACATAAATGACGATCAACATGTGGGCCAATCAAAATTCGTAATCACCGAAAATTCCATCAAAAATCAGCCGAAATCATCATTGAAATTGATGGAAATGGAATTGAACATCTCCAAAACATCGATTTATCGCATTTTGACCGAACATTTGGGCTTACGAAAGGTGTGTGCATGGTTTGTTCCGCACAAATTGACTGACGACCAAAAATTGCTCTCATCGATCGACGCTTGTGTCCGATTATTTGACCAAAAATCACATTTTAACCATTAACCACTCGCCGTATTCACCTGATATGGCACCGTGGCATTTCTACCTTTTCGGAAAAATGCATTTGCCCATGAAAGGAAAGCGTTATGCAGACGTAGAGGCCATTCAAAAGGCTTGCACCGGCATACTGGCGGCCATACCGGCCAACGAGCTAAAACACTCTTTCGACATGTTTTTGATCGTGCAAAAAGCTGTATTGAAGCAGAAGGAGACTATTTTTAATATTGCCGAAAAAACCATTTGTTCTGTTTTTTTTTTTTTTTAAAGTCCTGTTTACTTTGGAACACAGCTTGTAGAACAACGTACAGCAAAAATATAAAACATGTTCAATGGAAAAAATAATAATTTCGAGTGTTATATTAGTTGAGATGAGTATGACTTTCCAGGTCAGTAACACTTTCATTTGAAAGCAATTAGGATACATGAAAGAATTGAGCCATATCTAGTATTTGGAAATTGGTTGTACTTACGCCGTGCCTGCGGAGAGATCGCGCTTTATTTGATTTATGTCCCGGTTGCGATGGACTTTAGTGGGTGCAAAATCGGCGCTGTCGTTCGTGTTACCGCTACCGCTCAAGCTTCCGATGCCAGCATTAGTAATCATTGAAGGAGCTGCAGTGGCTGTCACAATATCATCGCTCGTGGAACCCAGGAGCGTGGCGAGCGATGGCGCTTGAGTTGAAATGGCTGCATAGTCTATGGAGCTCCGTGGATTCAGTAATCTCGGCACACTTGAACCACTCGCAGGCAACAACGCCCCACCACCACCTCCGCTTGTTCCGTTGTTCGAACTAAGCGAATCGCAAACACTCTCGTTCGAGCTGGAGGTGGAGGCGGCAGCCACAGGTGAATAATGCTTTGGCTGGCCATAGGAAAAGTTGCTGCGGTGCACGGGTGGATGTTGTTGTGGGCCAGAGCTGGTACTTCCAGCTATACCCAGCAATCGTTCCTTTCGGGTGGCAGCCGTGGGCGGGGAAACGTTATTCAGACTTACACGATTACCGCTCGATGCAACATTTGTTACATTCGTATAGATGTGGCAGCTGGAGGCCGACTGAGTTACCGGTGTGGCAGTAGTCATCAGGAAGTCCGTGTGTCGCAAATTGGTTGCCGCAGTTGCTGGCTTGGCATGGTGGGATTGCAAGGCTGCATTGCCACCATTGGTGCTAGCACTGACACCCAAAATTCCATAGACAGCTGCGGCTGCAGATGTCGCTACATCAGAGCTGGCCCCTGTACGCCTACTGCTCATATCATTCTGTGTCACAACATGCAGATTTTTCATGCTACCCATTTGTGAGGATCGTGCGCTACCTTTGTTGGTATGTGGCGATACAGTTAATGAGGAGCCACCACTAGCTCCGCCACCTCCATTCGTGCTCCCGCTACCTGGCGGCGTGCTACTGCTATTGGTGGTTCCGTGTGAATAAATCATACCATTTGGAATATTTTGCAAACTCGACGATATGGGTGGTTCGGTATAGTTCGATTTTGTCACAACCCGATACACTTTCTGCTGCGGCGAGTACATAGATGTGCGGCCACCGCCCCCGCCACCACCGCCCGTGGACGCCGCTTTGGCAACCTGCGAAGCGCGCGGCATGCGCGTGGGCGGACTACAAGATCCTTGATGTACGCTGGCAACTGCTACCGCACTGCCTGTGTGGCTTGGATCATTCTTAAAAATGCGCTCGTAATTGTCGATTAGAATGTTAATGACTATGTTATTAAATTTAATGTCCAATATGGCGGCAACGGTCTCTTCGAGTGGGCGCAGCAGCGTAGGACCAAATACCACGCCCAGATTAAAAACAGACATTTTATTCTTCTCGTATTTTCGCGAGACTCTGTAAGAAATAATAATAATTTCATTTTTATTTTTATAACAAACAATTAACATATTAAGACAATCGGTCGCATAAACGTTTTTTAGAAAGGGGAGCAAAAGAGGGGCGCTTTTTATTCATTTCAGTTTTTTTTTTTTGGTAAGGCATGGTGGCCATCGCGTCAATTTATTGCAATGTTGAATGATTGATCCTCAAACGTGGCGCAAGACAGACAATAGCAATCGCTATCTGAAGTGCTCACCCACATTTTTGTACGTGTATTTAACATTGATAATCGAATTGTTTGAATTTAATTGCACCATTAAGCACTGAACCATTTGACCATTTAACAGCAAGAAAAATAATCATTCATACACAAAGTTGTATGTGTATTGAAAAGGAACCCCCAAAAATATATATATATTACAAATGTAACTACTTACTCAGTCAAATGCCGTATAACAATGTCTAACATCTCAAAGTTTGGCTGTGGGAGCTTGTGTACCAATTTGTGCACCTCATTTACCCGCTGATTGAGGTTATCTTTTTCTGTGGGCACAAATGAGTTCGATACGATATCATTGGCATGAGGTGGTTGTAATAGAAGATCTACTTACTTGCTGCCTCAATAAAACTACTATGATAATGATACGTCATCAGAGGTTCGCTTAGATTTCGCAGATACATCTTTAGTGCACTTGCTATCGTATTGCTTTCCATTAGATCACGATAATTATCATCACAAAAAACATCGTCGGTGTCTTTGCGTTCCATACCCAAGACCAGCAGCTTATTGATCTTAGTACCTACGCCGCTCTTTCGGTAGATACCCTCATCCTCCAAGCCACGACTTTCTAGCACCTGAATGCAGCGTCGCACAAACATAAAGCCCGCCTCATTCAGTTGGTAAGCCTCGCTGGTTTTCATCTTTCCGGGCGCCGAGTAAGACTGTAAAATTTTAAAATGTGTTGCTCAGTTAGTTTTAGTTTTTTGCGATTCTCACAATTTATCAAACGAAACTTACTGGCTCTGTGCTATCCATGGCGCACAGCCACGACCGATGATCCTTCTCACTTAGCGCTTGAAATGTATACACAATACCCGGCTTCTCCTTAAACGTCAGATCGAAGCAGAAGCGCTTCTCAAACTCCGAAGCGCGGCGTTGGCACGAAGACAGAGTGAGCTTTTCATCTTCACGCGACTCGGGACGTGTAAAACTGTGATTCATCTGATTGAACTGAAGCATAGTAAACTCGCGTTTTTGTTTCTTGAATGTACAATAATACTTTGTCCATGTTGCTTTGAAAGGCTCTAAAAGGGAGATTTTCAAAAGGGAACCTGAGACATAATTGTAGTTGCGATTATGTGTCACATTAGTTTGTTTAGATGTGGGATGTGGCAGTCGTAGTTGCATTTGATACCAAAAGCACATAAAGCAGCGCAACAAATACGACATTAGTTGTAGATAAGTGGAGAAAAGAGACAATAAAAATGTAAAGTCAAAAAAGCAACATGTATACGTTATATCGGTACATTTCAATATGTTTCGATAAGGATGGCGCAAATACTTATAGGTGCAATTAATAAAACGTATTGGCTTCATCATAATAAAAATCTTAAAAGTACCTCATTAAACCACCATGTACGACAGTCTACTTGTATTTAGTGCCGAAACTTCCTGCACATGGTGTGATGAAAACTACCCTATAATACAATTAATTTAGAGCTTTCATTGGCTGCACCATACAAATACATTTTTAAAATATGAACGAGTATTTAGATTTACAATGTTTAAATGAATTTTAAGAATTGTTTTTCTTTTATCCTAGGATACTACAGAGCCTATACGTTACCACTCTTTATTTCGCATACCTGGCTCAAATTTTAAACATTTAAGGAGTTGATTTTATTATTGTAGGTAGGTAGTATTTTTTTATAACTATATTAACTTTTTGGGTATACCGGGACTGCAACCTACTCTCTAGTTATACCCCTTTAATGTTTTTTATTTATCTGTCTCAGCGTAAACGCAAATTCATGAAATTGATTACACACAACATTTGATTATGATTTTTTAGAGCTCGAATGCGTGCTTAGGACCACCATAATCCTGAGAAAGGTTTATCCCCTGCATCAGGTAAGAGAGATGGTGCTGACTTTTCTAAAGAAGACCTAGGAGGAGTCTTTGGGTCTTTAATGTTGACAGCAAAACAAATTACAATCGGGAAACTGTTTTCTTGGCCCAGGAAAGACAAAAGACATATTTTACAGATTGAGAAATCTTTAGCGGGGCCTGGCGTAGCTCAACGAGCTAATAGGAATCCCACTACGAGTTCGTTCCTGAGTATATGACACGGTTTTAAATATTATGTACTTGCTGCTTAAAAAATTCTGTAGAGTGGTTTCAAATCTGCCCGCCGATTCCGCGACATAAGAATAATAATTAAAAAAGAAATCCCCAGCGACAAGTCTAAATTTGATTGCACCTCAGGGCAGGGATTGTGAGTGCTAACCGGGTATAGTTAAACGAGTAAATTGGGTAATTAATTTTAAGAATTACTAGAGTGTATTCAAGAAACCCACAAGCTTCACCATTCTCGGATCTTAGGAATTAAGAAATAGTAATAAGAATTCGCGACAAGATGATCCTCTCGCCTAATCACTGGGAATTCATCCATAATCTCATATTCTATTTAATACTATGTACCAAACCTATGAAAATTTCTTTAAACTTTTTCGCTCACTGCCATGTTGAACATTGAATCAAAGTTGAGAAAGTACTTACTTTTTTCCATCAAGAAAAGGTATCCGCGTTTAGTGAAGGTCTCTTCGGACTTCTGTGCAGTTTAAATAGCAATACATTAGGTGGGGTTTTTCCACTTTAGAGTCAAACTTACCGTACGTTTCTCCATATACTTGGTTTTTAGCTCAGTAACCTTTTCCCGTGCTTCCTCAAAGTTCTCACGCGTCTATTTTTGAAACATTTACAATTATTGTACGACTTGGCATTCAACGAACGACTTGCAAACATACCTTTTGCACCTTGTGTCTCAAATCCTGCAGATAATCGCGATGATCTTCTGCTTGTTCATGTGCAGTATGATAGAACACAAGCCAGCCGGAAATGAACGCCAATAAAATTTCCACAAATTCGAATTTTATTCGTTCCTGTACCTCCTGGATGCGGAGCACATAGCTGAGCGACTCCTGTATATATTCGCGCTCATGCATGCCCAAGCTGGCATCGGCCTGCAAAGCCACATAAGAATTAAAAATGAAATGAAAGAGATCCAATTACGAAATATTTGATATGCGTTGAAAATCATTAGTACTTAGGCATAATTGTGGAACTTTAGCCTTTGCCGATATCTTTGCATACTGTTGTCTGCAACAATGTTATTCAGTTTATATTTTAAACTAACTAAGCTTTTGTATACTAACGAAAGTACAGGACGTCGAACGGAAGAGTCTCCTATACTCTGTACTCAAAAAATGAAATTTTAATTAAATAATCCTATCAATGTTTTTCAAACTATTTACTGCAGCCGAAGGCCATATTATGATCGTGCAAAGTATTTAACAAACAAGAGGAAGCACATCCCAACAGATATGTATATAGAAGCATATATATGTGTATTGTAATTGGCTGGGGAATTTCAACTATTCGGAGTTGTCTCCCTGAAGGCAAGAAAATATACTGTAAATATTAATCTGCACAGATAAGGGTCGAAAAAGCAGAGAGGCAACATGGTGCTTAAATTTACAGCGGTGCCCATCTTTCTGGAAGAGTTGTGTCAGGCAACTCGTCTTGTTGTAATGATTTAGAGTATACAGGGTGCGCCATCTTTTATGTCGGTATGTAGATATTGAATAACTTTGTCATTAGTGAACCGATTGACTTGAGTAGACCAGTGTTGAAAACCTCAGTTCAAGAAATTGTACAGAACCAAATTAAAGAAAAATATCTCATACTTGAAAATCGGTTGTTTATTTTCAAGGATATTCAATGTTTGCATACCGACATAAAAGATGGCACACCCTGTATGTAGTATATGTATATGCCTTGTATACCATAGTTGTGTAAGAACTGATATCCTTCTATCCTTCGGGTAGAGGTAAAGCATCAAGTTAAGTTGACTACAACATTTTCTTTTTCTTTTTTTAAGGTGTGGGGGAAAAGTGGCAGATATATGTACAATATCTAGAAAACGATAATCTACCACTGCTTTGTGTACCGCTAGTGATTTTAAGACATTATTATATATTTTGTGCATCTGAAAATTTGTTAAGTTGATTATATTAATTTACACCTTTCATCGTATTATGACCTTTTGAAAAAGTCACAAATAACTGCTAGAGCTTATTCCATTTAGCGGTATACAACTTGCCAAATAGTGCTTGGAAACTGCCTTAATTTACACTAGGAATAGGTGTTACCACCAAATACGAATACATACGGTACATACTGTACAAGTATGTACAAGTACTTATGTATATACCTACATGTTTGCGGCCGTATTTTCATAAAAATGAAAAAAATGGCGATACCCCGCTTCAAACCACATAAAACCAAAATTCGTAGTACTATGAAAACTTGGCCTCCCCAGCTGTAGAACCAAGCCAGCTAATTTTGGCATTCGATATACATACGTGTAGCAAACAAAATTTGGGTGGTTTGGTTTCAAACGGTCTTTAAGACAGGACTTACAGCCAGGAAGGTTTTTCTGTGTATTTGGTACGAATAGAAGGGCTTGTCAGATATTCAAAGAGCATCCATAAAATAGTTCGGATCTGGCGCCAAGTGATTATCACCTTTTTTAAGACAATACTTGTATAAATTGCAGAGCACGAGAAACTAATTTTTGATGCCCAAAAAAGCATTCTGAACATTTAACATGTGTTACTCAAATATATATTATGCCATCTAATGCTGGACTTAAAGAAATATTTATATTTCAGACTAAATTGTCTTGAAACACAATTGATACATGTCAGAAATTTTGAGAGTAACAGTGTTATCTTTCGACACAATATATATTAGACATTTTGGTGCAGTCCTACTGCTGCCACTAAGTTTATTCTCTTGTCGGGAGGTTTTTTTGTTTGACTATAGTCTAATGCAAGGGTCGCGCACGATATGTTTCGATGCAACAATAAGAATCTTCGTCGCATATACACATAGTTTACTTACAACATTCTACCACGGTCTACCATTGTTCGGTAAACACCGAAAGCAATATATTCTGTCACTTTTTGGTGAAGGATGTAAAAAAAATGTCAAAGGTCGTTATCATTTGTTTTTGTTTTTTTGCATTCCCTAAGCCAAGCCATGCCCATATTGGCAATATTCCAATTTTATTACCTACTGTTATCAGTGGTACTTACCACAAATACACTCAGCCGCAGCACACTCCATTTTACTTTTAGGCAAGTTAAAACGCCTAAAGTGTAGCATAATATTGAGTGATGCAACTATATATGTAAGCACACGGTTAAGAAGAAAACTTTGATACCGTCTAAAATAAAAACAGGATAAATAAAGATAACAACCCCAAGAACTAGATGCACTTTTATTTGAACTTTAACTTTTCACATTTGAAGACCTAAATATTGTTTATGTTAAACGTTTTGTATTGCTTTTTTTTTTTTAGCAATATTTGTCCGCTTGTGTTACATTGTTTAATGCTCGTAAAAAATTCGCATCTCCTGCTGATTGTTTACAACATATTCAACGTTCCTTGCTTTTGAGTAAAGGCAATTGAATTTGACTTAGGTTAAGAGTTCGAGTGGAGTTCATTTTGGACTGTCATTTTACGAAAGAGAAAAGCACGCACTACGACTGGAGAGCTATGTACTACAAGTATAAGAAACAACACGCACGTTAAAATTCTGCGCAGCTTTAGGTTTGTGTTGTTTTGAAGTTATTACAACTGGTATGTGTTACATTTCTTTTCCTCATTATTTAAAAAGGCAACTTTTATGAATTAGAAACAGCAGCAACAACCACTGCAGGAGAAAAACAACTGAGCTACCAATTGTTCTCCGTGGGCTAACAGGTAAAAGGGTGCGTGCGAACAGCGCGTGCGCTTTTCGGACTATAAAAAAGGTACTGATTGCAAAATGTTCCTGGACTCATAGACTCATAACTGCAAGCGAATTTACTTTATACATATCTACAAATTGGCAAAAAACGGCATTTTGTGAACACATCACGAACTATGCAGCATAGTATTTAAAGATTCCTTCGCCATGCAACAGTTTAAATTGTTTATCATTTTTAGACCCGTTTTCATTGTGTACAGTAAATCAAAGCGTATATGAACTAGTATTTGTTTAAAAAAAAAAGGCCTGGCATTACTTGAATACAACAACCCTAACGTCAATCAAGGCGCCACAATATGCCAGCATCCGGGGTTGGCAACATTTACTTAATTAACGGTATTTACGAATATAATGGCCACAAGCAAAGTCGGAAATTTGTAAATTGTGGGTCATCTGGAATACATACAGAGCTCACTGTCAGCAGTTTTGAACCAAAAGTGGTTGAAAAGATTCGTTGTCGAAAAGCAAGGATGCAAAGATTTCAGGATATACATATAAGACCTGAAATAACAAAAGTGTAACTATTCTTGAAACGAACATTAAAAAATATGTACATCCTGTTAATGCATATCCTCGCTTCAATTTTCATCGTAATAGGTCATTTCAACAATGTTAAATGTTACCTTCGCCAACAAGTAACAAGTTCCGAGGCGTTGCCACAATATGTGCATTGTGAAGGATAAGTGTTGCCACTTGTAATTTGCCAGGCGGATAAATTTAAAAATTGTGCAGTATTATGTATCCAGAGTGTGTTAGTCTTTGCAAATTATTGGATTTAGCGCAAGAAATTAAGCAGCCAGAAAAAATACTATACACATTTCTTCGAATATTACAAATTCCACTATTAAAGATAGTAGTAGTATTTGCTCTCAAATTCGATACAGATACTTCAAACTCTTTTAAACACCAAAGTTCGTTAACCTAATATTTATACGAATTTGGTCAACTCCGTTCATTTTGCTGCCTTTGAGAAATTTTGTGATTTGAATTTTCGTTAATCCTTACGAAATCTATGCGATTTTTCAGGCCTTCGCGATCACATACGTTTTTTTAAAGAATCACCAAATGCACAGCTGTAGGAAATCTTTAACGTAGATAATTCAGGCCTATTTGAAATTAATTAATAATGTTTTCCTCCGTAATGAAATGTAAATATCCAAATAAAAATACCCAAGAAAAAGGAGTGAAAAACAATAACGAAACAACTTCTGCAGTTTGGCTGGCTGGTTTAAAATAATTTGGTTTATATTTATACGGGCGGGCGGAAATGCTTCCTTCTGTCTGTTAAATTTTCAGTTTGCACAAACCTTATACCTTTAGGTACAAGGGATAGTAAAAATCTGCTGATGATGGGAATACATGCAATTAAGTTTAGAAATTTTGTAAAGGCATAATAAAATATATAAATACACTTCTATTGAACACCAACTGTTTCTCATAGATCCATCACTAGCCCTTAATAAATAGCTTATATTAGGAAATTTGTTTAAAAACCAATAATAATAAGAAAAGCACCAATATTCTCAATGTTTTCGCTAACGCAAGAAATTTACAAATGAAAATAAAAGTTAGGTTCTTCTTATTTTTAATGCGGTTTGTATATGTAACGTGCAATTAAATAATTTCTGAACTTGCCTAAAACTAAACAAGCATTATAGCAGCTCATAACAACAACAAATTGCGAATTTTGTTAGGGTTTCCCTAAGCGTGGTGTCGTAAAAATCGATTTACAACGTGATTTATTTTATTACAAAGACTTCGACTTTTAACCAAATCGTTCGTACACAAAACATCGATACGAGGTGGTCACTTGTTCCAACAAATCTGGAAATGGGAACATGGCTGAACATAAATGATTGCTACCCCATCTACCTATTAGTTTTATAGAAACGGTTATAAGCGGACTTTTTTAGACACGAATTCGTTAACCGAATTTTTCTAAGGTGCAGTCTTTGCACTCACCACTTTGATTTTTACTTCTTCGAGAGGTTTTTTGTACTGAATTTACTTTACTCAGCTCGCTCAACTCACCTCTTGTATAGTGTTTTCCGGCTTTTTGGTTGACATATTTAAAAATCGCTCCTGCGACTGACAAAATTTCTCCGTCTTTTTGTCAAATTTCTTTTTGTTTTCTTTAACGCCGCCAATTTGTTTCTTGCGAAAATCCTCAAGCGATTCGATAATGTGCTTATCGGCGAGTGTTAGCTGCAAGCGCATAGCATTTTACTGGCATCAAGCATACTTACGTACTTACTACTTACCATTTTCTCACGCTCATCCTCAATGGTTCCAATAATGGCACCGAAACGCTTCAAGCTCTCACAAATCACATTTTCATCATCGGTCTGAGCAGTGCCAATGCACTCGAAATTAAAATCATTCAGCAAAATCGCCAACTGTTTCATGCGAGTAGACAGCACTGAAAGCGAGAGATAAGAAACATTATCATTAGGTACATTATACGAGTATATCAGAATTACGAGTATATGCTTCGCCCCCAAATTCATGTACGTATGTATTTATAGCTCGATCATGTCCCAACGCAGCTTGAATGGCCAACAAAATGGACACCAATATTATTATACTCTGTACATGAGATGTACATGTTTGTTTTATTTTTTTGATTTTCCCAACACTTCCCCCTATGGGGGATTTCCCGATTTTCCTTTCGTATAATCGCCTAAATCTAAATTTTTTTTTGCAAAATGCTTTATACGCAGAAAATTTGAATTTTGGAGTTTTCCACCGTCCCCCCTTTCCCCGGCAATCACTGATTTTCCATTACTCCCGTATTTCTAGGAATTTTTTTTTTTTTTTATTAATAACGTGCTTCAGTGCAACTGGATTCGCCCTTAAGTCTACATTTTCTCTGATGTTTATCAGGTAGACTCCAAAATGTTGATTTGACTACTTCACTTCCATTCAAAACTTCATATATGTATATACGCTGATAACAATAGGTCATTCATGGACTTCATGACTCCCCGATAGTTTCTCAAGTACGTGTACAGTTCGTCTGAACCTTGCCCACCGCTCATTATCTTAAGTAGTTTCCGTTAGTGGCTGTTCGAGCTATGGTTCAAGGCCTGACTCACTTTGAAATTCCAATAGGCCAGCAACGGCTTAACGGGATCAAGTAAGTCAAGAGTGTTTCACTTATTATCAGGGTTCGCATTCTGTCCGTTTCTGTGCGCAATACGCACGAAGAGCTCGTGAGTAAATTTTAATCATGCACATGAGCAGAATGCGATCACTCAGTACCGAACAAGTGTTTCGCTCATGAATGAGCAGCACATGAGCAGAATGTGAGTAACAGTGGCCACACGTTGTATGATTTAGGAATTTTGTACGATGGCATGTCTGTGTTTGTTTTTGTTTGTTCTGTTTTTCTGCGTCTTTATGGACCAAACTTCAACTAGAATTTCACTTAGGAACAAGTACTAGTAATCCCAAAACTAGAACCCGTGTATACTTAGTCACATACATAAATCTGAATGTGTGCGAAACAATTCTAAACACTAGAAAATTGTTACACAATATTTCGCATTCACATACATTTTATGGTTGATTAGAACACTCGATATCATCGCTATGAAAATAACGTAATCTTATCAGGCGATGCAAAGTTTAAAATAGTAGACAAGTATTAAATAAGAATGGAATGCTAGAGTCGGGCGGGCCCTACTCCTAAATACCCTGTACCCGTCCATGCGTGTCTGCGTGTAAGAGTTGAGACAAAGCAGGAACAGCAACAACAGCTGTGGGCAGAGCATGTGCAGAGTTTACATTTGTGGCCATAACTCCGATTAGAGTTTACCTATCAAAATCAAATTTGACATCACGGAGGAGTTAGGGAAAATTAATCATAGTGCAAAGTGGGGGTGGGGTTGGGGCAAAAAATCATAAACATTACGTATCTAGGGGTTAGAGGAACCTGGATACCAAGTTTGGTTATTCAGCTTTTGTTTTTAGACGGACAGACAGACGGACATCGCTGTGTCGACTCGTCTTGTTATACTGATCAAGAATATATATACTTTGTAGGGTCTGTCACGCCTCCATCTATGTGTTACATATTAAATTCGCACTAAACTAGTATACGAGTACACTTTTACCATATGGGTACAGGGTATAAAAATCTACCAAAATATAATTAAATTTATTACATCAGTTTCCACGCAGATGCCTCATACATACATATGTGTGAGTGCAATGCAGTTTCTGTTTTTCTGATTTTAATAATTTAATGATTTAATTTTATTGCTTTTAGAGGCAGAAGAAAGCATCTCCGACCCCATATATGTATAAATATTTCTAAATATAGGTACAGAATATTTTGAAGTCGGGGCACAAGAACTTTTCCACTTCTTATTAGTTATCCGTCGTCCAAGGACGAAACAAACGAAAGTGTATTATAACATGGACTTCAACAATAATCACATTTCTCCAATTTTTTCCTAAAGGAAATAGTTCAATAGATAGCGGAATCGAGGAACCCCCAACTTGACGACCACCGATCATCCATGAAAAAGGATACAACTTAATTTCCGTGACATAGAAGGCGCCTTTAACAGCATTGCTTTTAATACAATCATCGAGATGCGCACAATGAGAGACGGGATGCAAGATACCACCGAATAAATCGGTAGAGGACAATTGTTATGCACACAATCTAGCGTCAGGGTAAATGTCCAAGACCGGCACCCACAAATACTACGGTTTCTTCCGAGCTCTTTTTAAAACTAGGAATCAAAATCTTTACCTCTTCTGATCTTTCTCTGAACAAGGATTGGGCGTTTTTGTCCAATCTTCTGATATCTAATCTATAACAAAAAAGTATTGTAGTAAATCGTAATACCAGCACTTCGACGGACACATTAGGCTAGTCTTCTTCTATATTAAAAGAAAAGCAAAAGAACTTTCTTACTATCGACATAATTTATACATAAATCTTTTCCGAACTATATTCAAGCATTAAAAAAATTATTATTATTAAAAATAAGTGATTTTGAATAAAAATCATTTTGAAAAAGTCCAGTTGACTTTGATCACACCTTTATATTTTCATGGTCAGCATAACATAACTATTTGAATGATAGAAATGTATTCGCCTGCTTATATAAACCTTAGAATTTCTGAAGATGCAAGAGCATATTCGCTCTTCCATAATGACGTCCACTTATCAGAAGCATTACTGATACTATCTCTTCACTTCGGGAAGTGGGTGTTGATTAGGAATTCTAGTGAATCTACCCCTTTTTGGGTAAAAGTTGTAAAAACATTAGTATTTAAAATAATTTCTGAGCCGGGATTAGGATATAAGCATACAGGCATTTGATTCATTTAATTATACCCTGTACCCTTAGGATATATTAGGTTTGTGCAAATTATGTAACATGCAGAAATAAGCATCTCCGACCCCATAAAGTATATATATTCTTGATCAGCATGACGAGAGAAATCGATCTAGACATGTCCGTCCGTCCGTCTGGATGAACGCCTGGATTTCGGAAACGGTTGAGCGCACATTAACCAAACTTAGTATGTAGACGCTCCTAGTCCCTAGGCTACACGAGTTTATTTTATTTTTTTGATTTTCCCTCCCCACCCCTCGCTACAGAATTTCGCCACATTTTTGAACCTATAAAAACTTTGCACACGTAATCTATTCACAAATATCTACTTTTGTGTGGCAATTGTTTTAATGGCATCCAAATCGGTCAATTCTAAGAAAAGTTATTAGCGTAACAATTTCACTCCAGTAGTACGCCCACAAACTGCAGAATTAAGTTCGCTCTTCTTCTTCTTTCCCTTCTTCTAAGGGCGCATATAACTCAGTGACGGAAGTTTGTCTGGGTACAGGGAATTTCACTGTCGGGCTTGCTCGACTGTAGCGTCTTCTTTTGTTTTATTTTAAACAATTAAAGGTATGTGCATGTAAAAAGTTAAAATAAAAATAATGATACTAAAATAATTATTCCCGAAGTGCTATAGGGTGATATAAGTGTCTTCTGCGCACGACTCTAGCATCCGAATCGTTTTTATTATTATATTTTTAAGTTTACCTCTTTATTTTCACCTATGTATGTATGTAGATTTGCTCTAGCATTAAATATAGATTTACTTCATGCAATTGCGTCAGCCATGCCTTTTCAAGAAATATTTCTTGCTTTAAAATAACTTTTGTGTATATTTACTTCGATCCGTTCCATCTGAGTGCTAAAACATTCATTCATGAGCACGAACTGCACGCATCTGTTGCCGACCAAAACAATATTATTTACCACGTATTCGCTCTTATGTATGTATGTATGTGTGTGTGTGTGTGTGTGTGTGTGTGTGTGTGTGTGTGTGTATGTCTGTGTGTTTGTGTGAATACAGGCCAATGTACAAACACATGTGTTTATTAATTTTTCCATAAATGTAAGCGCAAATTGTTTTTAAATTAAAATGTACATAAAATGCCCTTCAATTACAGTAACGAAAAGCAAAAAAAAAAAATATATATATATATATATATATAAAATGGAATGCTAAAGTACTGCGCGCGGGCTTTCATATACCCTGTAACCAATTGGAAACAATGATACAACATTTAAATAAATTACCTTTAAACTGGAAAATATAAAATAAAAATAATTATCGAAGAATTGCATTCATTTTAATTGGGTTAGTGTACATATTAGGTATACGTGAACCAATGCAGCAAAATGGGTTCTATGTGCTGGTTTCAAAATATCGTATCATATTAAGTTCAGAAGCCCATGGCAGACCCCGCAGAGCATAAATTTGTACAGGGTGCGCCATCTTTTATGCCGGTATGCAAACATTGAATATCCTTGAAAATAAACAACCGATTTTCAAGTATGAGATATTTTTCTTTAATTTGGTTCTGTACAATTTCTTGAACTGAGGTTTTCAACACTGGTCTACTCAAGTCAATCGGTTCAATAATGACAAAGTTATTCAATATCTACATACCGACATAAAAGATGGCGCACCCTGTATTATTGGTTAGCATGACTATACCTATTTTTCATTCTTCTAACACTAATTATTAAGATATTCATATTTAGTATGTTATTTCGATCACTGAATAAAACAGATTGGCAGACGAAATTTGCGAAGTTTATAAATACAAGTATCTCGGTAAAGAGAAATTGTTAAGAGACGAGGTACTAACAATCCAAAACTCATGCATGGTACAAAGAATTGCTGGCCAAATACTTTCCTTTTATACAACTCCTTTGTTGCCAGAAAGAGTTAACTATTTGACTTTTTAAAATAAATATCTCTAATTTAATTATTCTGTATTGTATCCTTAATGCTTCGGCCAACCTACCAATATTAACTAATCTTCAATCCAGGAAATTGGTCCACACATTTGACCAACATGAGATTGAAAATAAACACAGACAACACCAAAAGAAATAAAAACAATTGATTATATTAATTTTTTTATTATCATTATTTCCGATGGGATAAATACTAATAAAATACATCTTGTGGATTTTAAATTAAGGCCGAAACCAATGAAATTAAAGATATAAAATATAAAAGCAAATATACGAATTTCATAACAATAAATCAATGTATAAATAAACAAATGGTGCATTATCAATTATAGTAGACAAAAGCAGCTATAATCGTAATAGAGTATCATAACGACATATAGTAGCCCCAGCCACAAAATTAGTCAAATACCTCGCTTCACAAACAGTGATTAAAGAATTTCAGTAAACTGTAATAGGATCTATGAGTATTTTAATTATATATATGTTAGCCTTAGAACGATTCTGTAGGACGTATATAATCGAGACTAATGGGGGTTTCTGTACTTCTTTATGGAATCGGAGTAGTAGAGCTTAAAAAACTTGCTTACGATTTTTCCCGCTTCAAAATCACAAAAATTCAAAATCGATCACAGCATTTGTGTAACTCGTTGAAAAAGTTATTAGGTAGGTTTTCTAATGAGCGAAGTCAAAAATAAATAGCTTATATATAGCTCGTTAGCTTATATATAGCTATATATATATACATATATTTCAGGTTTTCCGCTGCGTGTAGACTACTAATTATACATTACATTTTTATGCAGGTCTTAGTACAAACGTAAAAAGGTAAACAAAAGTGAATGTTACAGTCAAGCCCGACGGTGAATTGCTTATTAGGCTCCGAGTGTGTAAAAGTCAAATGCAATGTGTACATAGTTGAAGTTCATTGTATTAATTTTTTTATTCACAAAATATAAATTCAATTACAAATTACTTACAACCTAACTAAATATATATCTTAGGTGCCAATATACTTGTATAAGGCCTTAAACCATAACTGTTTAAACATAAAATACACATAAAGTTGATTGTAAAATCATGTTTTACTCCCGATATACAAATAGATGAATGCGAATGGGCAACATTTGGTGCGTCATGCAATACAAGCCTTATTGAAAATTCGTTTCATTTTTCATGGAAGTCCCTTTTCTCATCATATTTGAAAGCCTATGACAATTATGTAGAGGGCTCGAAGCTAAACCAAACTATAAGCAGTACCCTATAATTCTTATGAAAAATCTCTGCACTGCCAAGATGATTATACAGGAACTTGGCGATTTAAGTCGCAGCAGGTTCAAAACTTCCGAAGTATGGACAAATTATAACAGGAAAAAGATTGAGTCCTTTTAAATAGTTTCTTTATTCAATTGCGTTTTTCGACGCCTCTAAAAGCAAGTTCCTTGTTTTCAAGTTCAGGCGAAGACTGAAGTAGATTGATCGTCATGAAGAAGTATAATGAAACCGCTTGCGATATAATATCTTTATTTTTGTTCTCTTTTTTCGCGGAATATAACAGGCAGGAAAACCTTCCAAGCGTTACTAGAATCCGCAAAACAAAATTTCCATTCATCCATTGGTGCAGTTAATTGCAATTGTTTTCATGTTGTATTTGCACACCTAATCGGGGAAAAGAATCCATTAATAAATACGGAAACTAATAGAAACAATGACATTGAATTGGGTGTATTTCTCTTCTTACCAAAGCCATTAGAAAAATGTCCTTAATGAATGCTTAAATCTGAAAATACACCATTGGTGGAAAATGTGAGCAATCAAAAAATTCACGAAAGCTGTTCTATGTGTGTATAAAGATAACTTACCGGTCATTTAACATGATCGAAGCACAAATATGTATGTATTTTCCCGCAAATGTCTCATTTCGTAGATCGAATGTTTTGCGTCTTTCAAAGCTGAAACTGCAAATGCAAACGACATATTCACAAAATGAATAAGATCGATTACAACATTTTGCGGCTTTCGGAGGAAGCACGAAAAACTGAAATCGCGTGCATAAAACGTAAAAGCTTGTGGAAATGTAAGCATAAAGTAAAAAGTAATTCACGTTTTCAATTTTGAAAAACTTATTCCCTAATTATACAGTTCACATCCAGTTACAGTAAATGGTTAAATTCTGATTTCAATTTATACGGTCGGAAAAGAGAATATTTACAAGTGGTATTAAAAAGTGCGAGAAACTGAAGTTACAGGTCATAAAATAATTGTCGATATCCGCTTAGTACACGGCGGGAACAACGAACCGCCCGAACACAGCAGAGATATAAATAATATGAAATAAACTTAATATTATTGTTATTATATAACTAAGAACATCTACAAAATTATCATCTACTGGGTTCCAGGTCACAAGCGACGAGGCATCGACTGGCAATATAATTTATACGCTTGCTGTGAGAAATAATTAAGACAATTGAGTTGCCTGTATAATACTTGTAGCCCTGTTTTTCAGAATACTCTTCGAGTAAGACAGTTTTGATTTCCAGCTTTTTTCCGTATTCAAATTGTACCTTCTACTTGCAATAAATTTAATCTCTTACTTGCAATTCTAATGCAAAAAGTAAAACAACGACTTAGCTTGCTAATGACGCTATTTAACATAGAAATAGTGCGACATATAGCCTTATAGTCGAACAAAAGTACTGATAAAATAAGTAAACGCTTATACTTTTCCTCGAATTTGGAAACTTTACAGAATATACGGAATAACGGAATAACTTATCAATAGCATTTTTATTTCGCATGAACTTTCGTTTCTAGTGAAAAGTGGAATATATCTTTAGTGCATCAAAACATATCGAGTTGCTCACTTTTGGAACGGGAAAAAACCAATATCCACTGATGAACTATTAAACTTAGTAAAAAATGTGTATAACATTTTAAGCTTATTTACCAATTTATTACATCGAGCTCATTTACAATAACATGGACCCGGGTAACAAAAAATATATAACGTGTGAAGGGAATGGAAGAAATGACTGAACATTGACGAATTATTTTTATTGGTTATTTGATAGAAACGTTTGGAACTATGGAGATATGGAGCGATCGCAATAATGGAAATTACAATATTATTTATCATGAGAACAGGCAGGTTGTCTACTCGTATGCTCCTGCTAATTAGTTGCTCCTACTCTACAAGAGAGAAACTAGCTATGAGCAATATAGTTACTTTGAAGTTATCTGGGTCTGCTCCTAGCCATGAGCAACGTGCGTTCGATTGTGGTAGGTTTCCAATCTGAACGACCGATGTACATAAGCATTTTGAGCGACGACATGTTTATGTGTGTGTGTATTGGGTGCGTATTTAGTGGGTGAAAGCGCATTTGTATAAGGTTTTTTGCGAAAGCGCTGTATACTCGTACATAGTAGTATGGTAAAATATGTTTGAATGCGTTATTTCCATAATTTACGAGTAAATTTGTTGCAATTTCATTTCAGGTTATTCCAAAGAAATTTTACATGGTAATGTCTATCATCATTGTCTAAACGCTAACTTACTAAGTGAAATTTTGTATGTCAACCAGAAAAAGAATTGATAAAGGGTGAAAAATTCGAGAATGTGCGGTCACTGCCTTAAAAAGAAATGGGAGCAGTTTTGTGAAGTCATTGATTACAAATAGATCCCGAGCAATTTTGCTACTTCAACATTTCTTAATAGCGCCTTGCCTACAAGATACACGACTCGGAGCAGCTCACTTGCTCCCTTTGTTCATGGTTAGGAGAAACTCATGAGCAGAGCCATAGCAAGAGAGAATGCTACAGTTGAGCCAGCCTGACAGTGAAAAACCCTATACCCGGAGGGCCAACCCGGTCCTGTAGTTTGTAGGCATACTACCTTAGTGAAAGTGTTTCCCTAATAACAACCGATTTGGATGAAACAAACGTATAGTAATAATATTTTTATGTTGAATTATGAATTATATTCGACCATCAAAGTCGCCCTGAATACCTTCAACCAGTCCCACTTCCCATCGTTCCTCAACGTAAATAACGGTTATACCAATATCGACTGGTACAAACCTATAAATGCACAGGCAGGTTTAACGATCATTTCTCGCTTGTAACAATCTTGGTACGCGTATGGACAAGCAAAGTCTATATGACAGGTTTAGCGTTTAGAGATATTATGGTTCAAAAGCTCCCGACGACGGACAGGCGTACATGTATGTATACATACATTAGTACATATATCTATAACATTGGGCCAGCTACGACTCCTTCTGAATTTTACAAATATTCAGACGTTTGAGTATAAACTTTGGTCAAATAACCAAACAGCGGGCACTACTCAAATGACTTATTTTGTAAAAATCGCAAAATAAAACTGACTTTCTTTCAATTTGTTTAAACTATAATTTGATATGTGTGTATGTATGCAAAACTGAATAATGTATACGTACTAAAAGCACGACACAGGTACATACATACATACATATATTGAAAATGATATACGAGTAGCTTCGCAATATTATTGAAGAAAAAACTGATATTTTCTTTGTCGATATATAATTTTTCAATTTGAAACACTTGTGTACGAGTATATTAAGTATAACATAGAAGTATGTACAAGTATGTATAACACAAGAAAATGCTAGCCCCCGCCTTATTTGGCGAAACATGAGCTGCTGTTGACCTTAAAAAGCGCGCAGGTCAGGTGATCGCGAGAGAGAAATATTGATTGTACTCACCTTTAGCCGCACTCATCAGATCTTTGACTTCTTTAATAATGCGCTTTATTTGATTACTGGTGTGGTCTAATTCTTTCTCATGACGATTTAAATTATCACGAAACTCTGGACTATCAACGATACATTCCTCGAATTCCAATGGCTCCAGACCGCGGCGAATATCTTTGCCGCCACCCATTTTTGAGATGACTGCTTTGCTGCTCCAATGTTTAATTTTTCTTTTTTTAGCAGCCGTGTTGTTTTCAATTAGTATTTCTTTTTTGCGATGAGTTGGAGTTGAGCCGCAACCGACGACGGACAAATGTGTTTATTTGTTGGATTACTTTTTTAAGCTGCAACTGCAGTTAAAGCTGCTGTTCCGTTCCGCAGAAACTCCCACTTTAATATTATTGATGTTCGTTTATTGCTGTTGCTGTTTGGTGCATTACAAGTAGTCTGGTTTTGCTTTTTAAATGTTTTTATCTATTTTTTTTCTTTCGCTAGTGTTCTTTTTAAACTGTAATGTTTAATGTGTTTACTATTTTCAAATTAACAGTAATAGTGTGTGTATATTTATTGTGTGTCTGCTTTAGTATTTTTAATATTTTTATTTAACACATGCATACACATACATATGCAATTTGGGTGCATCTTTAAATGTATAGACTCATACATATACAAAAACATGTTTGTACGCTCATATCTGTATGTACTATACATACACATGTATGGAAGTATATATGTATGTATGTATGTACGTATATTAAGTACTATACATGCACGTGTTCACACTGAACTTCAACAGGTTGTTGTATTTCATGTTTGTACGTTATTTACTTGCAATATGTATTAACACATAAAATTAGCCAGACGGGTGACTATTATTTTTCCTTTATTATTTTCCACATCTTAATGTACATATGTACATACTCGTGTGTGTAGATACGTTCATATCTCTAGCTTTCATTTCTCATGTAATTTATACCGAGCACAGCGCAAAAATAAACACACTTAAACCACAATGGTGTTTATAGTTATCAGTTAAAAAAGGTTCATAAATTTTTATAGTATTATTGTAGCTTTCGTGTATGTACATACATCCGCAGCTATTTCATTTCGTTGACATAATCAAAATATCAAATTTTTGCCAAGGGTCTGACTAATTCCAGCTACACATCAGATTAGCGATGCGCATACTATATATGTATGTACATATGTATATATATATATACATATGTATGTACGTATGTATTTAAATTGTGTCACGCCAAATACAATATACTAGCGTGAAATAAATAAACGTAGTTACTGGCAAAATTGCTGAAATGCATTTATAGTCATTAGCAGCTTTAAAAGAAACTGGTGGAGGGCTACGGCGACAGTGAATTCATTTATTTTGTTCATTGTTAACTACAATAAAATGACTAATCCCTAATTTAACATTGAAAAATGGTTCCTTTGAGCCCCGTTCTGATGTTGCATTTAAAGAAGCTGTGCATGTGCATATGATATTAGGAACGTTATACATACATACATACATATATGTATGTATGTAGGTGATATATGCAACGACGATCGGAATTTTAAGGATTGATAACAAGCTTGTCTAGCTCTGATAAAAATTGTTTTCATGTCACAGTGTTACGGCTGATTCGTGTATCGGAGGCTGCTGTGCGACTTATTTTTATGACATTTGACACGATACATGGAATAACAAGGCGTTTAAGGGCTGCGTCTGGCCAGCATTCACGATGCGCACTCGATATTGAAAGTGCAAAGACACTCATATGTACATATGGATGTGGATATATTAACAACTGTTACAGTTTTCTCAGAACTTTGAATGTTCGATTTTTCATTTTACTTTTGCACAGACATAGAACCGTCAAGCAAATATGTATGTATGTATATGTATGTATAGAAAAAAGTGCGGTATTATTTGCCAGAATAGCGTTCTGGTGGGTTGCTGGAGTAAAAAACAAACATACACAGGCCATTTGTTTCTTAAAGGCCATCAACGAAATTTGTTGTTGTAGACGCTTAGTGTAAATACACGGCACTATACTACGAAATGAATATGCGCATTCTATTAGTTTCGATTTTTATTTACACAAATTTTCGCACAATTTACGCCCATCTCTAATTCCGATGACAACAAATGTTTTCGCTTTTTTTTTGTTTAATTCAGCATTGGAAACGGCGCGGTTAAAATATACATATACATACACACGTTCTCTGTTTATTTCATTTCAGTTTGTGCAATTTCCTTTTTTGCTTTTTTTAATCAATTTGCTAAAAATCACAATTTGCTCTATTTCACACATAGCCGCAAGCACACATACATACAAATAACATGTACATATGTATGTGTGTATGTAAGCATTGGCATGCTAGCAGTTTTAGCAGAAACTTGTTGAGTGTACGTTTATACATACATACATATGTATATAATATGCACATACGCATATACACGTGTGTGTAAAAACTGGTTGCACGACAACGGCGCCCACAAAGTTACACATACAGACACAAAACGATCAACTTTAGTACGTTTTTCGTTGATTTTTTTACTACATTTGTAAACAGACTTTTTATTTTCCTATTCGAACACATGCAAATATGCAACAGCAAAAAATAAAAATAATTGATAAATATCTTTGGAAAAATACTACACACATTGTTGCATAATAATATCTACTGCGATGGCTGCCGTTGCCATTTTTAAATGCGCGACTAACAACTATGTAGATACGAATATTGAAAAGCGATGTACGCAAAAAAAAACAAAAAATTTCCGCCGTCCTGCACCCGGGCCAACCAACAAACTCCCGTGATAAAAGATGAACAGTGAATAAAAAACCGTGGTGGTTACAGTCAGCTGTAGCAACTTTCTACTCACCATGAGGTGGGTAGCGTAAATTTGCGGTGATTGTGGTGAAGTGGGTCAGCTGTTGTGATAGATGAAGTCATATTGTAATCATAAGAAGGTGACGCATTGTGCAAGTCCATTAGATGGCGTACAAATAAGGTGAAAAATAAACCATGAAAACATGCATACAATATGAAATCTTTCTTGTTTCTATAGTAATTTAAGATCCCGCAAATTTTAATTTATTTATGTATGGGTGCTAGCTTAAAGTTAAAACTATATAAGCTTGCCTAAAGTGTATAGCATAGCTCCTAGGACATTAAGCCATATTAGGTTTATGCTTCCCTCATACTATTTTTAGCAATATAATTATAAAACGATAGATAAAATTACAGAACTAAAACTGAATTGAAGGAACGAATTCCTTTGAGTATGTGATATTATCTTATTATGTGAGTGATTTACAGAAATTGTATGTAAGTACATAAGTACCATCATTCTGAAGGACATGCCGGCCGATGGCTTTAATGCTTCTTGATCATGCAAAGGCGATTATTTTAAATAAAATAAACTCGTATTGTTAAAATTGTAATTCTGTGTTTTTATTTTAAAATAGTTGTTTACTTTGATTAATAATAATTATTCTCTGCCAAATAATTATATCTCTGCTATTGGGAATCGAGGCGGAAAGTATACGACTGAGAGTCATTCATACCTTTCTTTAAGATAGATGGAAATGTCTCCCTCTCTCTCTCTCTCTTGAAGGTGGATATACGACTTCTATTGACGTACATTGACAGTTCAGTTCCTTGTAGACTCGCAAGGGACTATTTGTGTCTTCACACAATCAGATGTGCAATTGATTTCTCGCAGCACAATCTCTTTCTCGTCTTTTTTTTAATTGGAACGATCTTTCTTATCTGTTTCCAGCCGAACTTTGTCTCACTCTTCTACTAAAATCTCAGGCAGAAAATAACCATTTGAATTAGCATTTTGTCGGAAGGTTCTATAGCAACTGGTAGTAAAGCCGCTCATCTAAGAAGTGCGTGGAATTACAAGGCCACATACATGTCTTTAAAAATAATACCAACTCATGTGCATGTGAGAATGCTAATCCTGTTTAGAAGTAACAAAAGGTGTATTGATAGTACATAGTACTTTTGTTTATCTTTGCCACATGTAAGCCGGAAGTCTAAAACAATTTACACTGCTGCATATTTGCAAGTTCTCTGAAAACGTTAGCTGGTTTAGTCAGAACAATTTCAAGCTATTCACACAGATTTGATAGGTCTCCTCGTGATAGTGGTGTCCATATGAATCACATGACATAAATAGAGCACCTGCATTTATAGTACTTATGATAAGTATGGATTGCATTGTGCTACAATCTTTTAGATATATAGTATCCATCTTTGGCTTTAACATTTTATATAGCACCTTCCGGTACGCTCTAACAACGACATTCTATGTTTGAAAATTATTTACAGTCTTTAAACCATTTTGTTTTTCTCACGCCTGGACAGAATCTATCATTGGATTTTTACCTTTTTAAAAACTACAGATGAAATATTAGAGAACTCAAAGGGGTTTAAGAAAACTATTACAGATTATGCAGAACTATTGCAAATCAATGTTTTGTTAAATATTGTTAAATAGTATAAAAGCACGTGAAATACTAACACTAAGCTTCTTTTACTTAAACTTAGCTTTTTGGGGTTCCCACTAAACGTATACATTGGATTTGGTCATAATTTTCAGAATATTCTGATACAGTGTTTCTTTAAAAAGATACCTTCGAAGCTTGTTAGTAGTTTTTCGAGAGGAAAAGCTTATTTTCACGTAAAGTTGTGTATTTTTTCTTATGATCCGATTGATCATGTACTTCTGTCGATAAACTTATGTAGATTACCTAAGTTATTGACTAAAAACTAAATAATTTCCCTTTATTGAAATCTTATTTTTTGGACAATTAAAATCTGGGGGAATTCTCTCGTCAATAGTTTTCGACTCCATCGTAACTTTAACCGTTATGACAGGATAATTTTAACAGAGGAATCTTCTGCTAAAACTGCTTGTACTTAACTTTTAAATAAACCTACGTCCCGTATACATACGTATGTATATGGCCTACAAAATCAGAAGTGATTGGGCTTCAACTTGATAATTTTGGAACATGGATTTTAATGAAATATCATTATCGACTTATTGTCGACCGGCTAGTTCCGTTAAGCATGCCGTTCACGAGCAATAAGACTGATGTTGCACGTTCAGGCCCAATACCGCTAAAGAGCCGGAATGAAAGCTCTATTGGCTTTGGATGACGATGTCATGAAAAGCAGCAATCAAACTTACTATGAGCTGGAAAGAGACATCGAGATGGTCTGTGAGCTACGGCAGTTACTCTGAGACTTAAGAAACGGTTGCATTGTCTACAAAAACAACAGCTCGAACAATATGTATGTATGTATGTGCATTCGGCAGCACAAAACAAAAATGGTAAGAAAAATAAAAGCGTGAAATACGAAGAAACACTTTAAAATAGAGAAAGAAAAAACGAAAAAAGTGGGAAACATAGTGTAAGTGGAGGTGGGTTTGGAGAACAGTGGGGGAGCGTAGTTAGCAGCGGCTATAAACTGTGCCAGAGGCTGCAGCGACATGGGGGAAGTGTCAGAAGGTGCTGAAGTACAGTCGAGATATCATGTGATATCACTGATTTGGCATTGGGGTTTGAAAAAGAAGCGCTTCTGAAGTAGAATGTTTATTTGCGAATGTTATTTGTGGCTTAGCTAACCTGTACTGCCAAAGGAGGATCTATATGAACAATTGGAAGACAAAAATTGAACGGTGAATAAATGTACATATGTATGTACATACATGCATACATATGTATGTACATATACATATGTAGTTGGAAAATGCAAAATTGCAAAAGTACAGCATGTGGACTTTTTTAGTGAATAAAACGGTGAAATCGTTTATAAATGACATTCTTGCGGATGTGTGTGATTGCAGATTGTAGGAGTAGTAGTTGGCGCATGGGTTGCCGGCACGTGGTGGATATCGGCATAGCAGCTAATTACATATGTACATATGTTGTATGTATATTTTCTAGTCTATCCTGAACCTAAACGCGTCTCTCATAAGCCAAAGGATTGGGGGTGTATACTTTTCTCCGAAGATCACAGCCATACTTCCAATTCCAATAGATATCTCGTTTCTGATGCTAACAGTATTCTTGGTTTAGTATATGAACCAATCTCCAGCGATTAAACTAAGTATTGCCCAGTTTTGCTAAATCTTCAGCATTTGCTGTGGTTAGACTGGAGGGGTGCCCGGGGGATGGTCTCTATTTCGGCTACGATCGTCTCTACCTTTTTCGTGTTAGGGATACCCAGCGGCGATTTTGACTAGTACCGTCTTTGCAGACTTCAGAGCAGGCTAAGCAGAGCCCCCTTAAAAGTAAGGTTTTTGGGAAGACAGAAATGAGAATGTATGGTCCGATCGCTGCATTTTCGGAGAACGTGGTGTTTTATCTGCTCAGAAAACATTGTTTCAGCATTGACAAAGTTTGGGGAGTTGTCGCAGTATACAGCGGTGGCACCTTCCTGTTTGCTGGTAAATCGCCAGAGTCCTGTGGGAAATGCAAAAATGTTGGTTGCAATACACAGGAAATGGTCAAGTATATCCCGTGGGGTCTTTTGTCGTTTAATTTATACAAGCAGTAAGCCCACTACAGCCACAGCTGTTAAAGATTCTTGATTGGAAAGAAATAAATTGGCTCACTCTTTGCGCAGGAACATCGTTTATTATTTATTGAAACAGACCGAACTTCGCTCGACAAGACCGTGTTCATTGAATGTCTGTTGATCGTCTCGGCTACCTGTTATCTATTAATTATCCAGAAAAGTAGTGCCTAAGGGTGCGGGAGAGCAATGCAAATTAGTTGTGTGTTCAGATTTGATGAGCAATTTGGCTAAAGAGTTCTGATGTCGGTTTAATTTTTCTCCGTATTTTCATTCGTAACGCCTAGATGGTATGTAGAGCGACGTACATATCCTACGGGACAGCGGCATATATTTCATCTTGCAAAAATTAGAGGGCGTGCACCCATAGCGTGCTGTCCCTTAACCGAGCTTCAGAACGCGGAACAGCGCGTGCTGATATCTAACAGTGCTCTCTAAGCCGGCACGGCTGCAGCTATTAATTTGGATAAGTATACTAGCTCGGGTTTTGCGCCTGGCAGTGGACATGCAGTTGCATTTCCTCAGTGGTACCGTCAGCTCCTTTAATTCGATGAGTCTAGCCCTACAAGTTTGCCGCTGATCTCTAAGCGTAATTCCGTGTCGTGTTCCAAAGCTTCTACAATTGTTGCATGAATATTTCTGTGGTACTGACCATCAGACTGAATAACGGATCAAATATGTCTGCTATTTCAAGCTCCAAGCTCGGCATTTGGGTTAATGAGTAGTTGTAAGATAACTGTAGTTACGTGAGTCGACTACTAATGTTTTTACTACAAGTATGGTGTTTTTGCTTGTTTCGAGTCGAGGCTGACTTTGCAACTCTGTGCTGGCAGGGCTTGGAATAGTTCAAGGTTCTCGTGTTATAACATAATCTTGCTATTGTCACTAATATTTTTTAAACCTTGTACACACTTACTGCAAATGTATGTAACATTAGATTGACGAGATGTCCGTCATGTTATTCTATATGAAGGAAAGTGTAAGATCTAGAATAATTTATGTAACCCCCACGCTATTACCTAGTCCCTAATATTAGCACTTATTTGTCATCATGTGATCATCGCGAAAAGCCAATTCCAAAGAGAGTTATACCCAGAAATACAAACTCTGCCAAGCGCTGTTGTATGTTGCTGTTTTGGTTCGACCCTGTACTGCACAAAAGAGCAGATACAAACCCTACGCAAAATTATGCTATTTATGGAGTACATCAATTAATGTACGTAGTTATTTAATATTATTTTATTATTTGCATTTAATCAGTTTTAATAGTTTAACATTAAAAATTGTGTCAAAGTGGGTACAGGGTTTGAAATATTGGGCCCGCATGACTCTATTTTTAAACCTCAATTTTAAAGAGAAATATATTATTACACTTATCATTATAAAATACAAGCCTAACGACGGTTCTGCCAGGAATATTTGGGGATACAATATTTAGCTAATCGTTTCTATGCTGGTGGCATTATGATATTAATAATAATTTTGTTTGTCATAAGGCTTAATTTATTTTATAAAATGGAATGTCAAAAATGTTTTCAAAAACAAATTCAACAGTGCATTCAATTGAATAAATCGAATCTCACGGGTCAACTTTATGCCACACGAGCTAAAGAGACCCAAAAAATTTAACAGCTTTTAGTTGTTGTTTTTTATTTCATATTTAATGTATATATTTGTATGTATATAATAATAGCAGTTACATAATTGTAGAATAATTATAACGTGATAGAAAAAGAACAACAGATATAAATAGCTCTGTCAAATAAAAAAAGTATAAATCATATAAAACTTGCTATGAGTTCCACATTTAATGTAAATACGAGATAATTTGCAACTTTATTAAATATTTATAAGAACATGTTTTACGTATTTCTTCGAATTAAAAGAGAGAACAAGAATTATCCGGGAAATAAAGTTGAGCGGGCGAAAATAAGACCTCACAACACAAATACATAGACTTTTGTTGCATTACATATAAGGATATAATTACCATTGAATATCGTATATATGCGCGCATATTCATATATGCACATATACACACATATATATCTTTACAATTAATTATTAAATTGTTTAATAATTTTAACCGGCTAATTTAATGTGATCTTTTTTTAAAATTTAAATTCTAAACTTTTGAAATTTTCGAATGTGTGGTTTTTTTGATATCGATATCGTGAATGTGTAATGTTTTAATAATTATTTAATTCTGTGTGAATAATAAATTGTATTTCAACACATGTTGGCGTACTTGTACAACTGAGCTTTGCGAGCTTTTATTGAATATTGTCGCTTGCTTGTTTTTGTTTCCATTTCGTTATTTAATATATATATTAAATGTGTGCATTTATTCTTTTTGCTACCTTTATGCTTGTTTTTATTTATTTTATGTATTTAGTTTCCTAAAATTAAAATAATCAATAACAAATTGCGCCCCTTTTTACACTGCTACACAACATTGCTAATATTCCACTTTTTGTTGTTGTTATTGTTGTTTCTCTTGAAAGTTATTGGTGTTCGTCCCCTGTTGAATCCGCACGCATCTTAGTTGGTTGTAAATGTGTTGCTGTATAAAAAGAGAAAGTTCAAAGAAAGAGATTAAATTATGCCATATTTAAATTGAGAAATACGTATGTAACAGCATAAGCAGAGTGTACATTGAAATATTACAAAATTAAAGCTTCTGATATATATAGGCGAAATTAAAACGTTGCAGCTCTAACAATCTAAAATGTCAAATTTATGAAAGAAAAAATACATAATCGGTTATGGACAAAACTATCTAAATTGATCCATATCCATTTACTTTCAAATGAGTCAAAAAATACAGTGTATTGAAGTTCCCCATTAAAAATGCCCAGATAAATGGCAAGTAGTACTTTTAAGTAAATAATTGACTAACTTCCGCTCTTGCACAGATAACATCTCCGCTCGCAAGTGGTTTAGAGCTTATATCATGCTGAAATGAATATGTTTTACACGCATGTGCAGTCATTTCAATACAGTCTGCACGAAAGAGACTGTCGGCACTTATCGCCATTTCCTTCAGGCATAGTAAAGAAAGAGACAACAAAAATTAACGCTCTCTATCAACTAGAAAGTGTAGCGTATAATGCATACAAACAATTTTCTGGCTTGAGTTAAGTACATGCTAAGTAAGTTATTTCGCTATATATCAGAAGGTAGTTACTATCCTATTTACTACCCCAAAAATATGTATTTGCTTCTGCATTTAATTTAGTGGAATAGTTGCATAATTTGCCCAGATTAAAGCATTCAACCAGACTCACAGACATGCATGTATCTACTCATCTCGTCTCGCTTATAAAGGATTTTAAGATGTTGCCTGTTAAAAGAACCTACACTCCGCGTACAGGATATATATATATATATATATATATATATATATATATATATATATATATATATAAGTCATGCAAGCTGTCACCTGTCTCTTATGTAAGTCTGGCACAAGCAATGATAGAAACATACATATAATCAGATTCAGATTTTAGGGAGGGATATGAGGTGCAAACAAATACGAAATTAAAGGTTCAAAATTCAAAAAAACAACTAACCGAGTTGTGTTAACGCAATATTGATGTTTTACATAATCAGCTGAATCAACAGGTAAAACTACATATATATAGCGCATGTAGTATGTTGTTGGTGTGTATGCTATTGGTCGTTTGGCGCGCATGCAATTCGTGGGCGTTGTTGTAGTTGTGACAATGCTACTGCTGCTACATTTGATGTTCTTGTAGTGATTTTTGTGGGTAGTTAAAGTTTCAGTTGTCTTTTTGCTCTTGTTGGATGCCTACAAATATGGATAGCCCATGTTTCTCGCAGCCGATGCGGCAGCAGCAGGCGGATAATTTTGCGCATATTGTGGCGGTATTCCCATGGTCGGACCAGCTGTAATCATTAATTGTGGCTCCATGGATATTATGTTTTTATGCTCCGTGGTATCATCTTCTTTTTCGCGCTGCGCCTCAGTCAGTTCAAGTTTGTCCACTTTAATAGTGTACTCGCGCAGAACCTGAAAAAGAATAAAAATTAAATTAATAATAAAAACGTAGAGCACCATACAATACTAAACATTACCTGTATCAAATAGGGCATGGCGAAGTCCATGATTTTATGTTTCCATGCCAGTTCGAGGATGACATCAGGACGAAGCAAGTCATAACACTGGAAAATAACAACACATTAATGAATTGAATACATTTAGTAAATATCTCTTCACTTTATACGCAAAGACGCCTCTTAACCATGCCGGTTGAATTGAACTCTAAGTCGTAAGAGTAGGACCATTCTCCTCACTTCATTACCTTCTTTATAAATGTGTGTGTTGTGTGTTGTAAACCATTTTTTGCCTTCGCGTTTAAAAGCTTCATTTGGTTCGGGCTCTATTAAATGTTTAATTAAAACTAGCGAAACAAATTTAGGGATGCTTGTGTTCATATACTATATAGACAGACGGACGAATATGTCAGCACCAACGCGTATTTTCATGCTGATCATGAATATATATACATCGTGGGTTCTGTGATTTGGGGATCCTCGTCATATTGATGCAATATAGTAAGCAATTGCCAATAAAGTGTGGTCTACCATTTTTCCTTCTGGGCACTACCTAATTACACACAAAGAATTCTATATCTTACATTTTAGGGTCTTAAAACTGACTACTTTCAAATCTTGTTTTGCTAGCTAGTGTACAATTCACGCTTACCTGATAAAGACACGCCGCAAAGCAATCGTGAGCGCTGCGTTCCAGGAACCAACCCAACAATTCCTCAGCGATTTCCTGTTTGCCTGACTCGGCAGCATATTCCATTGCGTCCTTGTACAATTTGTCCTTTTTGCAAAGCTCCACGCTTTGCTTCCAGCGATTGTTTCCTACAATTGAATATCAGCTTAAGTTAGTTGAACCATAAAGCGAAAGTAGACATTTACCTTTGTACAAATACGCTGCTATGCGTCTGAATTCGGTCAGTTCGTGTTTCTCCAGTTTCTGTGCTAGTGCAATGGTATCAAAATTGTCAAAACCATCAATGGAATTCCGCAATCCCTGGTAATCCTCCTCATCGATAAGCAGACCGTTAAGTGATTCATTGATAGCTTTATTGTTAAGCGATTGTACAGAACGCAAGTAGGGCTTTACAAGCGGCAGGTAGCCCGTCTTAGAGAAGGAGCTTACGGCACGGGTGTGATCCATACGCGGCGCTAAAACTAATAACATGTCGTTCAACAGCAGCGGTTTGAAATCCAAATAGAACTCAATTGCCTTGTAGTAAAGCTCAATGTTAGCCACCTTGGTAATAATGTCTTTGAAGTGACCCTCGCGCCATGCTTCCGTAGGGTGGGCCATCATAGCCAGCACAGCATTATCGTATTCCTCATACTTGTCATATAGGAAAACCAACTCGGACCACAAATGCGCCGATTCGGCAGCCCTTAGTACCTTGGGTATGTTGACGCGCGACCAGAAAAGCTCCAAATGTTCGCGCATCTTTGACGGCTTGAATTTGGAGTACAGTATTGCCAATTCGGTAAACATGCCCATGTGTGCACGCTCCAGACCCAGCGCAGATTCAAGAAGCGCAATTAGTTCCTCGAAATATCCACGATTTTGATAGTAATTTATTAGATCCTCCAACTCATCGGCATGAACAACAATGTGTAGGCCGCACATTTGTGCCAACCTAAACTCCTCAGCATCCACGCACGCAAAGCAAACTTCCTTCCAGGTGCGCGTTGAATTGGCCTTCCGTGCTGAATCGACAGCACCTTGAAATTCCTTTAAATACACCAGGGTTATAGCTAGTCGTGCAAAGTTACTGACATTGTTGTACAGTAATTTTGCCGGTTCGTACATGCGATCACTGAAGCATCGATCGCCAATCTTTTGTATATCCGCATGATTAGGGCCCGATATGAACTCTTCTAGATCGGCCAGGCGATTGGTGCGGGCATAGGCATAGATGAGTTCGCTTTCAATATAGGATTCGCGTGCCTTTTTGCGGGCCATTTGCAAATAGCGAACCAAATCGTCCCATGAGTCCACCTTAGAGGCCACATCTACCACATCCATGTAGGCACTAGGATCATCGGCCTTGATATACGAATCAATGGCCTCCTTGACAAGGCCCTGCTGAAGTTGAGCCTTAGCCAGCTGAGACCAAACAGCAGGCTCATTGCAACGCTCGGCAAATTCATTTGCACGCTCCAAATTGTTCACCTGATCGATAAGCACTTGAATGGCTGATGTGTTCACATCGAACTTCTTGAAAATGGCAAAAGCCTCCTCATAAAGCTGATTACTAATCGCAATGTTGGCGATGTCAGGCGCATCATAATTGTCAAGCCTATTAATGTAGTCCATAACACGGGTACGGTCAGCTTTAATCGCTGTGAGGATAAGTAGATTTTGCAAATTGCGATGGTCACTAAACACTGACGAATCAAGAATGATCTTCTCCAGAAGCTCGATTAGCTCATTTGGCAGATCAGCACGCATGAACGCTTTCACCGTCACGGAAATATCATCCGGATCCTGGGTTTCAGACAATGCAGTTTGAACCACCTGATCGATTAGCTGACGTTTATACGGATTAGCCTCGGATAGGACTTCGGCCCACAGTTCAGCATCACGACGACCCACCAAATAACGCGCCTCGCTTTTAAACAGCGAGTTTTCATTGCATACGGCGATAAGCTCGCGATCGCACTGACCACGTTCATAGGCGACACATGCTAAGTGGGGATCACGCTTCTCGCAATAACGTCCAACCACGCGACTGTCATAGTTTTGGTTCTCCTTGAGGAAACGCTCGGGATTATTGTTTGAATCAATGTAGATTTTGGCCAGGGCATTGTGTGTTGCCGGTTCCACACATCCCTCGTGAACGCGAGACTCCAACCAAGGCAGCAACAACTTCAGCCTATTCCGTTTCTCCACTTCCTCCACCAATTCGTCAGTGGAAAACTGTCCCTTAACGACCAGTATTAGATTCTTGATAATGTCCTCGCTGCAATCCACGTCCAACAGACCACCAACGACAACAGGCAGACGTGATGGATTAACCTTCTGCACATAAATCTCAATATACTTTTGCAAATTGTTTCGATATAAATAAAGCACCAGATCATGGACAAAATCAAAGCGATCGCACACAATGATCAGAGGTAGCTGGTCTGTCAACTTGGCCTCCTTAAGAAAGTTCTTAACACGCTCCGGATTATAGCAGTTTGATTCGCGACAGATGCGCTCCACCTCCTTGATCTGATTGGTCTTGCAAGCAGCCTGTATATACTTGAAATGGACCTCGGGATCTTGCGAGAAATTTACAATGGAGCTAAGGAAGTAGAATAGGCCATCGTAGCTTTTGAAACTCTCAAACAAATCAATAAGCGCCTTTGTAGTGAGTTGTTCGTGGTATTTGGTGGCGATTTGAACACAAATTTGCAGATTTTGCCGCAGATTAGCCGTAAGCATAGCCTTCAAACACTCCAGAGAATCCTCCACTGATAGTGTACCAAAGAAACTGACTAACCATTCGGCATTTAACATATGCGTGTGCACCACTGCCCGCTTAATGTCATACAGATCCGTATAGTGCTCAAGGGCGCGTTGCAGCAGTCCGGCCTTCTCACAAAGCTGGGCAATGTGTGCCCGATCGTAGTGAGTGAACATCGCATTTCCTAAAATGGCATCTGCCACCTGAGGTGCTGACATAAGATTCATCTCAAGAAGACGTGTCTGCAATGCCCCTTCGGCTGGTCGATTGTGCTTGAGGGCGTCCAGCAGGAAAGCTGTGCATTGCTGCACCATAGAGTGCTCCATAAAAATGTCTACAATTTGATTGATGTCCGCCAGTGGTTCTTCCTCAGCCACTAGCATTGAGGCGAAACCAGCTCCTTGCTCTGGATTGGTACGCATTACTGAGCGCAACAAAAATATATAGTCAGGCGTGTAGTTAACCTTTTTGGCATAGAGCACAATCTTCTGGAATTGCCCCGTCTCAGCAAAGCATTGTATAACCTTGTTGGGTACATTGGCACGTAAATAAATCGACAGAGCCAATGTTAGATCCGAGGTTTTTGCAAGATCACCCAACTCTTCACTGCATTCGAGTTTTTCCTCCTTTAGCCACTTCTCACATAGCTGCTTTTTACCCTGAACCAGCACTGGGCGGCACAGCTCTAGTGATTCGTACTTATTCAGTTTGCCTTGATCGAGCAGTATGCCAAAGTATTGCAATAATGGCGGCGTTGTGGAGCCCGCTGGCGTTTGCACCTGCTGGAAACGTTGTATTGTCTGAGGAGTACGCAAAATTCCCTTAGGCGCCAGAGCTGCTACTTTAGCAGCCTCGGCATATTGACCGGCGGAGAAGAGTTTATTGAATTTGCGCACGAATAAATCTTCGGCACCTGCAAGATTATTGCGTACTGCCATGCGCAAAGCTAGATCGGGATTTTGAAGCACTGTGTTTATATAGGGAATGATCTGCTCTTCGTCGACGGTCACTGACAACACTTGACCTTTTCGATTGACGCCAATGATGCCACCGCTAGCCTCGTGCGGTGCAGTCACAAAAATCGTATCCGCCGATATGCGATTCATGTAGATGCAAGTGGCAGTTTCCATGTCGTACAGATGTATATAGCCATATTTGGTTATCAAATAGATGGTATCGTACTTAGCAGAGACCTGCATGGCGACAGGGAAATCATTTTGCGCTTCGGGCGGGAAAAATACATCGACGGCCTTCTTCGGGAATGGTTGATTTCCATTTGGTGGTGTTCCCACCTCAATTATGTGCAATTTACCGCCAGTTGCAGTGCGCACGGCAAAGCAGAATAGTGTCGTTGGCTCCTTGTTGCCTTCGATTTTAAAGGTGGCAAACGAGGCGGCATGGCCCTCAATAGCCTGCGACACTTTACGCTCCACAGAATACAATTGCATGGCGCCAGCAACGCGAGTGGAAAGTGCAGAGATCCCAACGAGCAGTAACCATTGCTGTGACGCATTGCAGCGATAATTGATAATCTGGCAGCCGCTTAATGAAGAATGTCTATCAAACATTTTCTGTGGCATGGAGTCACCTTCCATGGACCAATGATAGACGGAGGTTTCTGTCACCAAAGCAAGCGTATTAAGAGAGATCCATTTCCAGAACACTACATCTTCGTTCATCGTATGCGCCTTCATTTTCGATTTCATTTCAATGTTGAAAATTTGCAGTGTCTTTTGCGCTGGAAAATAAAGAATAAAACCATAATGAGCATAAGATTGGTGCGTTAAATATCTAGCAAAAATTCAAAAACAGGAAGTCAAAAATATCTACAATTAATAGTAATAATAATTATTAATAGTAAAAATTAATAATAATAATAGAACTTTGGACATAATTTTAGTGCCACTTTCTAGCTCTCAGTTTGCGATTACAAACGAAGTCAAACACAAACGTATTGTTTATTGTGTCATTATATAAAATAATCACATGCTTTAGTCGATCGTTTGCAAGGCACACCTATTATAGTCCTCCGATCCGGCTGGTTCTCGCACGGATAAGATGTTTCTCTGCACGTGCGAATTCGTTATGTCTAAAGCACGGCGAATATTTTTAAATAAATACCTAAATGTGTGTTTTCACATGGGGCTGTTAGATCAAACAGTAAGTAATATAAATAAGCAGCTTTTTGGCAAAAAATTTTGGTGTGTAACAATATTGTTTTTCTTTCGGCATACATTGATTAGGAATTTTGCGAGATTCAGTATTACTTTTACCACTAAATTAATTTCTTACCGCGTTAAAACGTTTAGCATACAATAGTAGATCGTTCAAGAGAGCGAATAGTATATGATCAAATGGATTGATGTATTTTAATTGTATCGTAATATTGTATTTGTTGATAATTAATTTAAAGGAGTTTGACGCTTTTTGCTATTCACTACTTAACTAACTTATCAATATGCGGCGAGGATGCCAAAATTATTTATTATACCACGTACCCAAAGTGCAAAAAGTATCCTTTGCCCCGAGGGGCAAAATTAATGTTTCTGTTTAACTTCAACTTTATCCCAATTTATTTACATACCTTTGAGCGCAATCACCTTGCTCGCTGGATTCATGATGGCCGAGTCCGCTGATATGGGACGCCTCGTGGGATTGGCCGAATCATTCATATCGATGATGACCACTTGAGCGGTATCATTGACCTTCTCACGTACGCAAATAAACTTATCCGACTCCATCGTAAGCGTACTAAAGGAGAACGAGTTTGCATTGATACCAACATTAGTGAGCTGTGAAAGAGTAAAAAAAATACATTTTTCGATTTTTAAAATAGTTTGTTATTAGAGTCAATCAATAATTTTCAAAGCTTCTGTCCAAATCATCGCCAATGATCAAAAATACAAATTTCCAAGTTCATAGGCCTTAGACGCGAAGTTATGGTACAGAACTGTTTTCATTTCTTATAAGCAGCATTTTTTTTTTATCCTCATGTTGGAATTATTTGGACTGATTTGAAAGAATAACATACATATAACACAATTCATGTACATATGTATAAAAGGCCATGAGTAAATGGTACAGTTGAGCGTGTCCAATTTCTCTACTTGTTATATCCAATCCACTTCAAAGGGTAAACATATTAGGTTTGTGGAAATTCGGAATTTATAGATTTCTCTCCTCCCTTACCCCCTCCAATTCAAATTTCATTCAAATCGATTCAATAAACTCTACGCCCACAAACTGCAGCATTTTGTTCGTTCTTCTTCTTCTAGCTGATTGTGCTATAAGCGCATAATACAGTGATATGTATGAATACAGTGAATGTACAACTGCTGCTGTCAGAATATAGAATAAATAAACCAGAAAAAAGAGTGGTGGATAAATTTGAGAATATTATTTCAAAATTTACGGGAGTTTCAATGTATTATAGTGGGATGGAAGAAAAACGAACTTCCCCATTGCTGGACATACTTATATATGTACATAGCCTGCACAGAACATTTAGTGATAAGACTTTTATTCTTGTCAAGATCTAGCGTTCATACAGACAAATGGACACGCCTAGATCGGCACGTTTGGTCATGGTAATTAAGAATGTACATACATATGTATACATATATATACTTTGTGGCGTCTGCCACGCATCCTTATGGATGTTACAAAGCTCACTGATGTCATAATACCCTTTATTTTTATACATATGTATATTTATACATATATAGGTTATCTATGCACAAATTTGCATTAAGGTCGAAATTGTCGATTTTGATTTTGTTTCGAAATCCGCCGGGTAAATACAATTTTAAATTTCTAAAACTGACTGATTCAAAGAGTTACCACCTAGTTCAGAACTTTCTTTTTATGATCCGATCGTTGAAACTAGTTCAGACATGGCCGAATTTTTGGCTTTTTGCTGATGTGGAAGAAGACAGAATGTATAACACAGATTGTATACACTAACCAAACAAGCAAAATAATATAATAAAATGTTTCGGAATCAGAGCTAGCATTGCACTCGCCACCAATTATGCATATACATACATCCATATTGGTGCAGGGTATAAAAATATATGCTGTAGACAGATAGCGTCTTTAATATATTAAGAATTACAAAATATGAATGTATGTATGTACATATGTATGCGTAGTGGCTCGTCAACAAGTGTTTTGGACAAACAAGCCAACGCTCACGTCCACCTCTAACCGATTAAAATCACAAACATTAAAAATAAACCCACAAAAGGGGAAAAGAAACAAAATGAAAGCTGGCCCTTAAAAACTCACCTGCAAATGCTCCTGAAAGCGAATGGGCAGCGGTTGCGTCATCTTGGATGGGTTTACAGTTGTAATATTTTATGTCCACACTATTTATTACTCAGAATACCGGCTGCAACGAAACGATGTTGACTTCGTTTTTGTATTTATACATACAGCTTTTTGTGCTTATTCTTTGTAGTTCGTTGTTTTTCTTATAAGATTTGTTTTATAATTTCGTTTGTATTTCTTATAATACACCACAGCTGTGAATGAAAGCAAATAGAAAGAAAAATATGTAACTAAAGATAATATTGATATCGATAATAGTCACTAAACTAGAGCTGCGAAGAACAATGTTGATTCCGCAATAAATAAACGAGCTCAAAACTAGTGTTATAACAAATTTGTAAAATATAAACAAAGTATTTAAAGAGTATTTATCGCTTTTTTCGGTATTCCATTTATCTTTTTTTAATATAGCCGTTTCCTTTGCAAGAATCTTCGTAGTATGTTAATTAACTTTTAATGGTCTCCTGTTTTCTCAGCGGTAGTCTCCGCCCCTTAATAAAACTACACCAAAATAAAATGAAAACAGTGTATGTAAGCGATTGTCTTTGTATGTAAGTCACTGTAAAGAACACAATACATAGTACTATTGAACTGTAACACTTTCACTTTCTTTATTAATGAACAGTTTTAACTATGAGAATATACATACATATGTATGTACAATTTCAGATATATTTCACTGATTCGGTGATTCATGTCCACCCATTTATTCGAGTTGGATGTGATGCGCAACACTTCCCCATCGGTTAGTGGTGTAAGAAAAAAAAACATCGATGTTTTTATTGAATGGAAACGTTACCGATAACTACTGGTGTAATGGTAGTCCACCATATGGTGTAAATAGCACAGCCACCACTGAAGTCAGCCATGTTAATTTACCTCATTCTCTCATACAGACACATACATAGATTGGTGTACAACATGAAAATTGCTGTTGAACCAATTTTTCCATCCAATCACTTCATGATGTACTGATAGTAATTACTGAAACTACTCAAACTACACACATACAGTATTACCTTACCACACACTTTAATTGGTATGTGTAAATTGAACAACTCGGAAAATTCGGAAAAAAAATTATCTTTATATTTACAAAATAAGATCAACTAAGTTTTCTCAAGTAGACTCACCGCTCGTTTAATTTGGGATGTGTGTACGATATTGAACGAGAAAAATGCTTTTACATAGCACTTTGGGTGTTGCGTACCATTTCAATCATGACGCTCTAGTATAAATACACAAACATACGCGAAACACACAAATAACACATTCTTATCCGTTTCAAAGACACTTCAGAAAGCGAAACACTACGTTTACATTAGCCGAAGCTGAAAAAAAATTATGAATGACAAGGCCAATGCAATATAGAGATGTGAGAAGAGTCACACAAACAGATGTGCTGATAACGTATGTGGCATCACTATACACATTTATAGCGATAACCGAGTATCCAAATGAATATGGGACCTGTGCACCAAATACATATCGAATAATATTTTTACCCTCTTTATAAAGAAATGAAAACTATTATTTAAATAATTGAAAAGGCTGTACATGTTATGGCAATTTCTAGTGTCATTCTGCTACAGTTGTATTAATTAGGTGGTGGTTGGGTCTACGTATTACTCAATGAAAACCAAACTAGAAATTATAAACATTGTCAGCGGTCGAAAATTAACAACAATGATAGTTACACTTATATTTATTTTAAAGAAATTTCGTTACATGATGAACGAATTCGTAACTATATATTAAAAACTATATTTATGGTAATATAAATAAACAGGCTTCTTTCGAAAAGAAATCGATTTCAGATATTTTATGAATTTCAGTTGACTGAAACTTTGATAGCAATAGTAAAAGAATCGAATTTATTTGGGAAACAATCGAGTTGCTTCTTGTTAATGTCATCACAGTATGTTGCGATAACGATAGAAATGAGATTTGTATCGACGAACCGCAACCATGCGACTTATTTTCAAAAAATCGTTCCTTTAGCAGCGTTATGATGTTGTAATCTGATCATGCAAGTTTCGATAGGTCAATTGCATTTCAGATTGTGCTTTATAATGACGCTTCATTCTCAGAATTATAATTTTATTAATCATATATACTACAATGTAAATTATTCCGTCAAGTTATACATCCAGAAGGAATTAACATAATTGCTAATATCTGATTTTGGATACGACAGCAGGTGAGTTTAAGCAGTTGAAGACTCTTGCAAACAAATATCATGACAGCATGGCTGTGGTCTGAAAGATGATTAAAAAGATAATGTGGTAGAAAAAGAAGGAAACGTAAGCCATTGAAGTTAGTTATGAGTGTAGACTATGTAGCTTCCTGTTCTTCGGTTCTTTCTTATATTAAAATATAAATATACCGATATTCTAACATACTAAAAAAGTTAAGTCAACAGAAATTTGCATCCTATGGTCAGAACTCACATCATTAAAATTGCTGCGTAAGCGAGAATACAAAGTGGAAATTATTTTGAATATACTGTAGTGCAAGCTTGTATGTATAAGATTTAAATAAATACTGGTTTCATTACTCACTGTTCTTTGATTTGCTTATATGTGATATATGGTTAAAACTTAAATGGAAGGAATTCGTTTTATTTGTGCTATCTTTTAAGCATTTGTATACATACATATGTATGTTTTGTACTCGTGATTAGAAACTTGTTGAAAATGAATTCTGTATAATTTATTTAAGTTTTTACTATCCCACACGCATATTGAAATAATTAAAAACAAAGATGTTAGGATTTTTTTTTTTTTGTATTTTATTGACAAAAAGTAAGGATCATGTTACGTTTCTGCTAATCAATGAAACAATACAAAGAAGAAATCTTCTTCATAAAGTACACCTAGCCCTCGCATAACACGGGGGTTACGTTCCTTGAAAACGTCGTGTTAAGCGAAATCGTGTTAAACGGGCCATGTATTTCTATACAAAATAAGACGTTACGTTCCTAGACTTCGAAAAATGCATAAAAAATATTTTTTATGTCTAAATTTATTAGTTTTAAATAAAATGGTTTATTCGAATGGCAAAAGTTTTTAAAAGTAAAAAGAGAACATGTATTAAAATAAAACGGAAATTCATTTGGTTGCATTTATAATCAGAGCAGTTTTTGTAATCAACAGTTTTCTTATATTGTGGCTCCCCTTGGGTGGCAAAAAAACGAGTAATTTTTGATTGTTTAGTGGCTCTTTCATTCAACGGTTAAACCATTTCACTTATCTCAAAAGTTTTAATCGTACAATGTGCACGTCTGAAGCAGTAAAGTTTTGCTCACCTTAGAAACTATTTACATACATACATACATATGTATGTACATACGGGTATGCACTCGTTCTTACTCTGATGGTGTAGAAAGTGGGACTTCCCTTTTTCTACACACATCTCATGTGTGGTGATATATCTATACTATATACAAAAATATTTACTCATCAATTGACAAAATAAAAAAATCGATTTTGTCAATCGTGTAAGAACGAGGTTTTTCACCGTGTTAAAAGAGAAAAGGTAGCAATTTTGTAATCGTGTTAGACTGAATTCGTATTAAAAGAGTTAGAGTAAAGCGAGGGCTAGGTGTATACATATCAGCGTTGCCAGATTTTTTGAAACTTATTAAGTGAAACAAGAAAGTAATGCTTAAGTCAACTCTTAAATACCCTGTACCTCCCACCAAAAAGGAAAATAGAAAAAAAAATTAATTAATTTTAAAATTAATTATCTCAGAAAGTATAAAAGCTGGAATAACCAAAGTTGGTATCCAGATTTTCCTAGATCCGAGAAAGGACGAGTTTATTTTTTGGAATTTTTCCACCCTTGCCCCGCTACAGAATTTTGTCAATACTGTCCACATTTCAAAAGGCACATAAACACACATAATTTTTATAATAATATCTACTTTTGTTTCAAATTTCATCTAAATCGGTTAATTCTAAGAAAAGTTATTAGCGAAACAATTTCACTCTGGTACTACACACACAAGCTGCAGCATTAAGTTCGCTGTTCTTCTTCCTGTTTTTGCTTCTGCTATTGGCGCATATAACTCAGCGACGGAAGTTTGTCTGGATTCAGGGTATTTCACTGTCGGGCTTGCTCGACTCTAGTGTTCTCTCTTGTTTGTTTAAACAAGAGGCAATTCAATTTATAGCTTTTTCTTTCAAACATACATAAAACGTGAGCGAAGAGATCAATATGCGGATACGATATCCTGTAGGCTTTGCATACATATGACTCCCTATTGAAAGATATTTTTCTCTCTCAATTGCAGTTAACTTCATCCTTAATACAAACAACTGCAGCAGTCAACAGCGTCCAGTCAAGGCTGAGCCAAAATAGGAAGCCGGAAAACGGTTAAACCAGCTACTTTATTAATGAAGATGACTGCACCGTACTTAATTTTATAAATGCCATGCGCCTAGCGATTATCGTTTATACTCTGAAATATCAGCGTGAAGCGGCAAATGAAATTCCAATGGCAGAATGGCAAGAACAGTGAAAGAAGACTGGCCACAATTGAAGCCAAACATCAAAAGGCAAAGGTCTCTCTCTTGTTACAATAAAATTATCATGTGCTATAATGAACACAGTAGGGTACTACAAGTCCGCGATGGCTGTGCTGAGTAAGTTTATCCAGAAGCACGACCGGAGGTGGTCGACTGGAGAGACACACTCGGCAAACTACGTGCGCGACTGTTGGTCCTACGCATATAATCGATCCGATAAAGATCGTGACAATTGCAAAGTTTGCAACCCCAGTATACCCTCACATAAATGATTTTGAACAGACAATGCCCCATATCGTCCTCCTGCTTAACAGAAGTTATTGGAGTCAATAGAACCAGAAGGCGGAATATAAGGCTACTGCTTGGCTATGGATAGAAATCGTTGCCTTCCAACAAAACAAAGGATATTGTAGCCGTCTACGCAGATGATCAATACAGTTGATAAAGACAATTTCAACGTAAAGTGTTGTACCGGAGGCAATCAACTTTGGAACTAAGTGCGCAGTCTATATATATTGTGTCTACATATATGTCACAGGTCAGTCATGCGTATTTCGATTTTCGGTAGTTAAGCTTGTAAAATCAGGTTTATTGAGTGCCATGCAATTGGAGACCTTCACCCTTTTATTAGAGAGGGTGATTCACTCTAAAGTTTTCTTCTAACAACCAACATACAATTATCCAATAGATATAATAAACCCAATCCTATAACTACAACTAAGACCGCAGATTTGCTATATCTAACTCTTGCATCTTATTTTCCTTTTAATCACATATTGAATTAAAGTATTTTGTGGATAGGTGCTCCTTTATGCGGTTGCTGAAAGTCATCAACTCAGCCAAATGCTTCATTACATCGCGATTGTAAGGCTTTGGTACTCCACCGATTAATCCGTACCTTTTTGACAACGAGTTCTATCTATAGCTTTTTCAGCTTTATTTGTCACCTTCGAAACCTTAATCAATTAATTTCAGCAGCGATTAGAAGCATATGGGAAATGGGGCCTGAACAAAAGTCTTCATCTGAAAAGCTTTTACATCCAATTCCTTCATTCTCACATTGTAGAGGCATATCCCATGCGTAATGCTATGGACAATTGTAATTCCGACATTTTAATGGTATTGTGACAATACTATTGACTTCAATTCTTATGAAGTTTGTTAAGTTCGATGAATTTCTTTCGTAACTACTAAAACATTACCGTCCGTTACGGGAACATAATTTGCACAGAAAAAGTCGATGATTCGGGCATTTGTTAGTAGTGTGGAAATTATTGCAATAAACATGCACAATTAGGCCAAATTGATATTATTAAATTCTGTCACTAATTTTAAAAGGCAGAACAAAATTTTAAAATTGTATGATCTAATGTAGCAGGAACGTTCAACAACTATTTTAGATTTTCTTTATGGGTCACCCTCCCCTTAATAAGCACAGACGTTCTTATGAGTGATTGTATTCTCTCTTAGAAACCCTCATGTTAGAAATTCTAAAAGTATTTCAGATTTGTAAGCCCCATCTAAAAAAGGACGATTGAAGCGTGGTAAAGGTTGAGGAAGCAGAGGGGCCACACGCCAGATCGTCCTTATAATTAATAAGGAATCAGAAGGAAACATAAACATTTTTCTGCTTCCTAACTTTAGCGATTGTGACAATATGACGGCATTTATGGAGACTAAGTCAAAGCCGTTGGGAGTGTGCTCCACATATATGCCAAATGAAGAACCAAGGTCTTCTCCACAGCACTGACACTAAAGTATGGGGTGACTTACTTTTTAACTACATCTT